TCCTGCAGAACCGGCTCCAATGGACCCGGGAGCGCCGACAGCAATGCCAACAATCAGCGTCGCCATTCCTGCCACAACCATGTCAAGGACGAGAGTGAGCCATCGCTGGATAACGAAGAGCAGGTAATAAGGCCGTTGCGATGCATCTGTTAGGCAACATATATTCGTAAGAAAGTTAGACTGCCATCCGAAAGCACGAATGGTTACCAGTCCGTTCACGGTCTCCATGAAGTTGGAATAGAGGGGAGATTTGGCTTCAAGCTCCATGAACCGTAGCTGTCGTGATGTCCGAAGGTAGAACTTTTGCAGGAAGTAGAAGACTGCCACGCATAGCGGAATGATAGCTGCAAGGTACTTTCCAGTGATGAATACTATTAGGAGCTGTGCTATTGCAGACATGAGAGCTTAGTTAGGTTAGCAAAGGTCATCTATTCAACACCAGAGAACGATATATTGGACATACCGACGCTTGTTTCAACAAGAGCAAGGGGTAGCTCCATGTCCACCAGTTGCATATCTTGACTGAACCTAATGCCTCTTGAGCTTCATATCATCATACAGCGATAGGATCTTACTTGTTGGTCGTCACACCAGAATCGGTTGTGTGAAAGAAGGATATGGGAGCACTGCAGGAGTCAGCAGAAGTCTTCGGTATGGTCAAAAAACCTTACTTTAGCACCGTGCGAAGGAGGATCTTATGCAACTTCCTTGACGCTCGGGGAATCATATTGCTCATCATATGCGTGCTTTAGGTTAGCAATCGCCTTTTGTAGAGACAGCGTATAGACTTATCAGCATCCTAAGAATAACGACAGCTCCGCCATAACTGCCAGGAAAGCATATACACCCAAATACATGCCGAGGTCCTTGTATGGGTGCTTTTCGTTTGCGGCAGCCCACCATTGGACCCATACACCTGCACCTGTGAGCTTTGATCAGATATAGCGGATTGCGGCACTCACTCGGAAATGCAAGACTGAATGTGAAAATCGCGACCGCGATAAAGAAAACCACAGAATTGAGTATTCCGACCATTTCCAGGTAGTACTTGTATATCGTCACATCTCCTGTCCGGCGGCTAGCATCAGATGTTTCAAGCTGTGCGGCAAGCTCGTGCGGTACATCGGGGTTGGACTGCCTCACAATCCAACTCAGTCTTGCATCGCTCAATATGGGCTCTGAGAGAAAGTCACCACCGCTAGGCCCAGGAAGACTAGAAACAATCGATCCCTCCTTTTCCGAAAATTGGACTTTGCTATCAAGTGTGATGGTATAGTCTGCAGAGGAGGAAAGGCGAGCTTCAACAGCCAAATTAGTATCTATCCTTCTTGAGTGCGCAGGTTTTCCACTTACTGGAATGGGTTGCAAGGATAGTGGTCAGGTTGTGTTTCCTACAAAAGCCACTCTGGCCAAATAGCCGTGCGATGACCAGCTTCTCCGTCTCTGCATCGAATCCACTGAATATGTCATCAAGAAGCAACAAGGGCTGTCGCGAATAAAGAGCCCTTGCAAGTGCCTGTGATTGTTGTTGTTAGTATTCGACAACCATGAGCTCTATGTCGAAACGAATAACCCACCACCCGATGTTTTTGACCCCCACTCAATGACAATCCCTTACTTCCCACAACCGTCTGAACACCCAACGGCATCGATTTCAAGTCCTGCCTCAATCCAGAAGCCTGCGTGACCTCCCGGAACCATCGCGGTTCGTACGTAGCCGGGCCGAGAATATTACTCAGTATGGTTCCATTCTGCAGCCATGGATCCTGACTGCAAAATGCAGCAGAGGGAAAGCGGCATCTCATGTACCCCTTTGTCACGGCTGTCTCTCCCCTCAAACCAGCAAGTAATGTCGATTTTCCACAACCAGTTGGGCCAGTGATGATCGTAAGCGTAGACGGCCGGATCTTAAATGTCATTCGTTTCACGACCGGTTCGCGAGTAGATACCCATCCCACGCTCCAGTTCAATGCCTCGACTGCATTCTCCATTTCGGTATCCTTCATCTCCATGTCCCGGAGGTTGTCCATTTCTGGGAACAGGGTTTGCTCAGAGGTAAAGGAGCTAAGGAAGCCCACCTCTCTGGTGTTCTCGGTCATCAAGAACACGCGCACGCGCTCGATAGATCCGACGGCTGAGATGAGGTTGGGAACAGATTGCAGTAGCATTGACATTGGGTTCTGAAGGACTGAAAACAGAGACAATGTGGTGAAGGCCCTGGAGGTGGTCAGCTCCGGGCCGTTGTCAGATCGCGATAAGGCGATGAATACGCCGAAGCCGACGACGGGTGATATGACTGAAGTTCCGAATGCTAGCGCAGGTTAGTGAGCGGCTAATCATGAACAACGGGAGCAATGTACTAACACAAGCTGACAGCGTATATGAGAAAAGATCTAAATCTATTAGCGTATCCTATTTCCTTGACCCTCAAATTCTGTACAAAGTCCATAAACCAAGGGGTCAGTCCTTCCAACTTCAAGCTCTTCATTGAGTTGATCATGTATGTTGTGACATCGATTCTCTTCTGTATGCCCTCAACCCAAGTCGCCTGCCGCCTCCCGACAGCTGGTGCCATTGTCGCAGCGGTAGCTCCGCAAACTAGTTGAATGTCAGTACCAAGCTTCAACTTGTCTGCTCCATTGAAGAGTCTTACCGACGGCAATAAGAATGGGACTCAGCCCTCCATAGTTCAGCTCCCGATATAGCAGCCACAGAGCCAAAGCTATCTCAATAATATTTCCCCAAGCCTCATGCATGTAGCGCATTCCGAAAGCTATCTTCTCAATGTCAGCGCTCATCAACGTTACTGGCGCATATTCTTCAGCCTTTTTGGGGTCCATAGAGAGCGTCTTTTCATAGATTAGCGGCACAAGGCAACCCCTCATGAGGACAATAGTGCGGTACGTGATATGTTGATAGCATGCTTCGGAAATCTGAGCCAGTATCAGCACTCTGCAAGATAGTCCAGGTCTACTCAAACTCACTCCCAGGCCGACGTATACAATGATATATGCACCAAGTAATCCGTATCCATCTTTACGGTTGTGATTCTCCGACACAGTCTGCAGGTATTTAACGACAGCGTCGATTAGGAACGGCTGGGTGAAGGTGAAGGCTGTGAAGCACAACCGCGGAAGGACCGCAGTCAGAAGGACCAATTTGTGCTCCCAAGCCATAATCCAAAGAAGTCCATTTTTCTTGCCCTTTCTTGCCGGCTTTGCTGTTCATAGTTGGCAATGGTTTCAAAGAACAGGAAAGGGGAAACACGCTTACCATTTTGCCAAACCTCCGAGAAGCTCTTCGAACATACTTCAGATTGCAGGGAGCGGTTAAGGGTGAAGAGATCATCCGCTTGCAAATCTTTCTTGGAACCCAAAAACAGCAACGGGTTCACCCACCAAAACATGCGCCGATTGATCCAGCCGACCTTCTCTTCAGGACTGTACGACTGTTCCAACAAACCAAGCTCCCGAGGCCAGGCCTCCTGCACGAGCAACACCACTTTCCATATGACGAAAATAGTCGATAACTTGAATATGTGACCATGATATCCCATACCCCATAGCGTGCGTAGTCGAACCGCATCGAAGGCGACAGTGAATAGAAAGTAAGCTTCGATAAGAAGGGGCGGTTTCACGGAGCGCGTGTGTTCGAAGTGCGCTGCGATACCGAGCGCAATAGCGGCTACCAGACTGAGCGCCGCAGCTGGGACAGTCGTACGTGTTGTGGGTTCATCGCCCGATGTCCAGGATACAAGAATAGCCGTTTGGATGGCAGCGAACCATCCGTAGCTGATCTGCGACAAAGTCAACGATGCGACGACGACTCGGGTGCAATGAGATAAAAGTCGTGACCTACGAGTTTGGCTGTATAAGCGCCATCTTTACTTCCATCTCTCAGTGACTTTCTGTATAAGTAGACCACTCTAGGGAAAAGACATAGGAGTAAAAGTCCGATCGGGCCGATCGTCATCACAGACTCCTCGAACAACAAAGTAAAGTCGTATCCGCCATAACATGCCCGAGCTTGAGGCCCGAAAGCATCTTCAGAGGCGATGGTGCAGTTCATTGCGACTTCGCCTGTTCTGCGGAGTACTGAGAGCAAGCGCGGATGTGTGCCATCTGGAGCAAAGCGATACAGTTTGTGCTTTAGACCCTACACTGCTCGGATTCAGTCTGGCAATCGTAGACTAGCACTGCCTAAGTCGATAGCACTGCTTGGGGTGCTCGAATGCTATCCGAAATCCTGAGGTGGGAATCCCAGCAGAGAGCTGCTGCCTGTCTGTGCCCGACATAGTCGGGGCAATGCGCCAACATGAGCGCGTGTATGTCCAGGAGGGGCATAATCATAGGCACAGACGACCGTGGAGACGCTGTTTAAGCGTGGGTGCTGCTCATTGGCGGGTGCGTAAATCTAACCACGCCGTTGGTGCAGGTCGGATCCTGCAGCGGCTCTTGCACTCCCATGTTTTGGACCCCACACGATCGGCGTTGCGGCGCGACGTGCGAAGGCTTGAACAATGCAGGAAGGATCTTTGCTATCCATGTGGCCGGTGGGTCCTCCCGTTCCGGTCAAGTCTGACATCTCCCCCCGATTGCAGTATCATTACCGTCACCATTTCCGTACCAGCGTTACATGGTATTACATGACGGTTTGGTATCAGACGTGGTATCGAGACTAAGGTCTATACAGACGTCTCGACAATTACGCGATGAGGGCATGCAGAAGGATCGTATCAACTTCAGTCGCACGATAGATCAATTCAGCCCCTGTTGCTTGAGACCTACAACACGAAGCTGACAGGGGAGCAAAGTATTGGCTCCCGGGTTCGATCTAAGCCTTCGAAGGCCGAACATCTTTGTTCAAGGCTTTCTCGACATGGACATATCACCCGGAAGAGAAGCTTTCATTTCATTCCATAACTTTCCTTAATTAAGGTGGCCTGCAGTCTGCATCTATCAGTTTGCAAGCCGACATTTCACTCATCAATCAGCTGCAAAATGGCTCCGATCGCTTTATCCACTCCTCAACCATCTCATCTTAGCATCCCTTCCAAGTCTTTCAAGAGCATCAAAGATGACACCACCATAGTCACAAGAGAACCTGCTTCGATAGACGGCTTTTTGCCTGTTGAAGTGAAGACAGGAGACACAGCAGAGGTATCTGGAGTACTCTGCACAGCCTTTGGCCTTGCCCTTCGTTGCTATAATACCGAAGGCGTGCATTTTGAATACCATCACGAGACAGCAACTGGTTCCAGCTCCACGAGTGAGTATTGTATGCAGAGCCCCAAAATCAGCACAAGCTAACGATAACCACAGATCTATTGTTCGAGTTGGACGAGTTCCGCAAAGTTGAGGACCTTCTCCAAGCAGTGAAGGCAACATTGCATAGTGCTCGATCAGCCTTGGAGACACCAGACGAGAAACAGCAAACTCAATCCTACCAGTCCTTCCGCAGCGCCGTAATCTTTCGTGAAGAGAGTTTAAATAGTAAACACATCTCGCCATCACCAAATGTAAGACCCAAAACCCACCTGTTCATCAGCAACCGAAAGATAGAGACTTACCGCATATAGTTTGACCTCGAACTTCATGCCACAAATAGTAGAAATGGCATTGAGATCCACATGCTCTATACTCCGTCTACAGTATCTGAGGACCTTGCAGTCCATTTGGCCGATACTCTCCATCGGACATTCGAATTGGTCAACAACCACTCAGAGACTGAGCTTTCGAGTGCAAGCTACTTGGGCCCACTCAGCCATAAGAGGATTTTCAACTGGAATTCCAACGCGCCTAATGCGGTGATTGAGTGCGCTCATGAGCTAGTTAGAAAGACAGCGTCCTTGCAACCACAGGCTCCTGCTATTGATTCATGGGATGCACAGATGACGTATGCAGAGCTGGATTCTCTGTCAAACCATCTGGCTACGGTGTTGGTGGAACTGGGAATCAAGGCCGAGGTGATTGTGCCTCTGTGTTTTGAAAAGTCTGCATGGTATGTCGTGGCGTTGCTTGCAGTACTCAAAGCCGGCGGTGCCTTTGTTCCCCTCGACCCGACGCATCCCTCATCACGTCTACGAGAGATCGTCAGCCAAGTTGATGCACCGATTATTTTGACGACAGCCAAACATCACGATCTCTTCGATGACTTTTCTGTCAAGACAATGATAGTCAATGAAGACACAGTCGGGACAATAACTAGTGGTGACGGGTGTCTTACTCCAGTCACCGTCACGCCTGAGAATCTCGCATATGTGATCTTTACCTCTGGGAGCACTGGAAAGCCCAAAGGTACGATGATCCAGCACCAGTCCTTCTGCAGTGGGTCTCTGCGACAGGGTGAAGCGGCCAACATGGGACCTCATTCCCGGATATTCCAGTTCGCTTCATACAGCTTTGACGTGAGTATTTTGGAAATCCTCACGGGCCTTATATTCGGCGCCTGCATCTGTATCCCGAACGAGCAGCTTGGTCGTGCAGACTTTGTCCAGTCCATGAATGACTTTCGTGTCAACTGGGCCTTCTTGACACCGTCGGTGTTGAAGGTGCTGACTCCTGATCAACTGCCGCTTTTGAAGACTCTGGTACTGGGAGGCGAAGCTATGTCAGAGTCGGATATGATGACATGGGCGGGAAGGCTCCAGTTGATGAATGGCTATGGGCCAAGTGAATGCTCCGTCGCAGCCACTGCCAATACTCAGCTCAACCCCCAGTCCAGCCCACGGAATATTGGTAGAGCAATTGGTGGCGTATGCTGGATTGTTGATCCGCAAAACCACAACGTGCTTCTCCCTGTTGGCGCCACAGGTGAGCTGATCATCCAAGGTCCTATTGTCTCGCGTGGATATATCAAGAATCCTGTGAAGACTTCATCAGCCTTCTTTAGAAACCCGGCTTGGATGGTGCCGGGTACATCCTCAATCTGGAATCGCTTTTACAAGACTGGTGATCTGGTACGATATGATGCGGACGGCATGATTCACTTCATTGGGCGTAAGGACCACCAAGTCAAGCTCAATGGACAGCGTATGGAATTAGGGGAGGTAGAGCACCACCTCTGGACAGATCCAGTCATCCGTAACGGAATGGCTCTCATTCCCTACACTGGTCACTGCAAATCCCGCTTGGTTGGTATCGTGTCTCTCCACAAGCATTTTACAACCGCTTCAATACAGACACACACGAGTATTCGCCTGGTAAATCATGCCGAGGCCGCAGCAGACACCCAAGCGATTGCAGAAAGGCTGTCACACCTGCTCCCCACGTATATGGTCCCAACCATCTGGATTGTCCTGGAGAGTCTTCCACTCATGTCGTCGGGCAAGATGGACCGGAAGAAGGTTGGGGATTTTGTTGCTGATATGAGCACCGAGGCCTTCCAACACATCATAGGTAACTCAACAAAACCTGGCGACAAGGCGTCTTGGACCAAGACAGAGATTCTCGTGCAGAAGGTTTGGGCGAAAGCTCTGAACGTACCAGAGGAGCAAATTGGCAAACACAGCAGCTTCCTGTCTGTGGGCGGTGACTCTATCAAAGCGATGGCCGTCATGTCAGAGTTCCGCAAACTCGGAGTCACCGTCCTAGTAGCTGATCTGTTGCGGTACAATGTTACTGAGATCGCCTCTAAGCTGGAGGAGTCTGGCTCTGCGGATGTGCTCCTGAGAAGCGAGACAGATCACCTTCCCATATCACACCTACAGCGCACCTTCCTCGAGGCGTCCCGTTCGGGCAACAGCGCCATACACCACGCCATGTTACTGGAACTCAATCACAAGATTAGTATCCAGCAGCTGAATGATGCCTTGGATAGTATCGTTTCTTCCTACCCAGCACTCACCCTCGGCTTCAATGAGCAGAACGGGACATGGTTGCAAACATTCAGAGACCACGACGAGCTTGAAAACCCCGTTTACCACTTGAATCTGAACCATGTCTCTAGCTTGGAAGAAGCACAAGAAATTATGCAGCATCGTCAGGCGTCAGTTGGTGTGAGTGGTAACCCAAATCTCATGATCGATCTGTTCTCTCTTCGCGGCACACAGCACATTTCTCTCGTCGTGCATGCAGCTATCCTTAATTCACAGTCTCTAAGTACTGTCATCGGCCATCTCGATTACTTGCTTCAGTCAAATGATGAAAAAGAGGAAAACGTCTGGGAAAGTAAGCTTTTGTCCCGAGATGAGTTCTCTCATGCCTGGCTTGATCACCTCAGGAGCGATACTGGCATGGAGCCTATGAATGGTCCATTGCAATCTGTCGCCCTTGAATCTCTTAGTGGGTATCGAGACTATGTCACAGAGACGCTAGAACTCGGCTCCGAGATTACTGGGCTTCTCACTGGACCGTGCAACCTAAAATTTGGCACCAACGCGGGGGATATATTTCTGGCGACCTTGATCCTGTCATACCACCAAATTCTAGAAGAAAATGACCACTCTACCTTAGCTATTGTCGAAACAACCGCTACTGAGTCGACTCTTAGCAAACACTTGAGAGGTCATGTCGGTCAATTCTCTTCGCTGCAACCCGTGCATGTGCCTGTGGAACACTCGGACCAAGTCACTCTTCAGCTAATCCGGGATACTAAGGACAAAGTTCGCCAGAGGGGGATAGGTAGCAAGCTTGGCTCTTCCAATGTCATCTTCAACTACGGCTTGTCTAGCCGACTTACAGAAGGTATCGTGTTGAAGCAAGCCACCCTCACTCGGCGACACGGCTTGGGCGCCATCGTTCCCACAACTTTCGAGGTTTCATGTCTGCTCGAAGATGGACAGTTCAGAATCACAGTCGGATCCGATCAGGTCAGCGCTCAGAAGCTATTACTATTTACCGACCAGTACAGACAGAACATCACGCAAGCAGTCGAGATCCTCGCGTCCAATACAGCTAAGGAATTCACTTTGGCGGACTTTCCATTGCTCAAACTCGATCATCCATCCCTTGAGAGAGTCAACCGTCAGCACCTTCCACGAGTTGGCCTTAGACCAAATCAGATAGAAGATATGTATCCCTGCTCTCCGTTGCAGCAAGGTCTCCTTATGAGCCAGGCTAGGAAGCAAGGCAGTTACAATGTATCCATTGGATGGGAGGTAGTCTCTTGCGGCGCAAACGACACAGTTGATATTGGCAGATTGCTCTCCTCATGGCAAAAGGTAGTCGACCATCACCCTGCCCTGAGGACTATATTCACCGACGAATTTGGCGGCAAGGAGCCATACGCTCAAATTGTTCTGAGACGTCCCAGGGCGGAGGTTTCGGTGAAACCTTGCTCAGATGTCGATGTTGCATCTGTGCTGGAGGAGACGATTGAACTAGGCACTAACCCTGTTGTCCCTCCACATCGGTTCTCAATCAATGTCACAGCGGATGATAGAGTGTTCTGCCGAGTCGATGCTAGTCATACCATTGTCGATGGTGTATCCAAGTCATTGATTCTAAGGGACCTGAAGCGAGCTTATGCGGGGACTCTTCTTTCTCCCACTGGAGGCGCTAAGTACAGGGACTTCGTCCAATATGTTGCTGCAAACGACATGTCCGCTAGCATTTCTTTCTGGCAGAACCATCTTGCCGAAGTCGAGCCCTGCTACTTTCCCAAATTAGCTGAGGCTGAAGGTACACCTGAGCTGAAGTACGTCCAGGTAGAGCTAGGAATACCTACCAGTGTTCTGCGTGACTTCTGTGTCTCCCAGAGTATCACAATCTCGAACCTTCTACAGACAGTCTGGGCACTCGTCTGTCGGGTGTATGTCGGCCGAGATGATATTTGTTTCGGTTACTTGGCATCCGGAAGAGATGCACCTGTCGAAGACCTAGTCAACATGGTCGGGCCAACTATCAGTGTCCTCATTTGCAAGGCATTGCTGGAGGACTCCACTATTATCAAGGACGCCTTGAAGGCTTGCCAGGAAGAGTTCCTTGATTCTCTCGCACACCAGCACTGCTCGCTCGCCGAGATTCAACATTCACTTGGACTCGCAGGAATGCCTCTGTTTAACACAGGCATTTCCTTCCAGACAATGACAGACGTTGATAGTGACGACGTTATCACCAATATTGACTTCGAGGGTCTCATTGTACGGGAGCCGACAGAGGTATGACTTTACTCTGAACTACTTTGCAATAACTGACCTGAAGTAGTACAATATCACGGTTCACGTTGTCGATTCGCCAAACAACGTGGACATCAAACTCGGATATTGGACTGATTGTATCTCAGAATCCCGAGCTGGATCCGTATCGGGAACATTCTCTGCCATCCTCAAATCCGTGGTCGAACATCCAGAGGCCCGAGTTGATCAGCTCAATGTTATCGGCCGGTATGATTTGTCGCAGATTGTATCTTGGAATCAGGATGTGCCGGAGATTTCATCGTACACAGTACCGGACCTCGTGCTCCAACAGATTACGCGTACCCCTCATGCTATTGCGATTGACACCATGGCCGAAAAGATAACCTATCAGGATTTTGGACGGATGTGGCTGTCGTTGTCTCGATACTTGACCAGGCTTGGTATTGGCGCCGGGGATTACGTGCCTTTGACGTTCGAAAAGTCAGCATGGGCTATCGTTGCCATGTTTGCTGTTCTGGGTACTGGAGCTGCGTTCGTCCCTCTGGATCCTAAAACCCCGGTGGAGCGCCTACGCGAGGCCTCTATTCAAACTGCTGCTAACGTTGTTCTTGCATCTCCGAAATATGCTTCAAACTGGAACGACCTTATTCCAACCATTGTCAGTGTTGACCAGGATCTCCTCGACAAGCTGAACGAAGAACAAGACGATCTCGACCAAGGTGTCGTGAGAGCCCGCCCCCATCATGATGCCTACGTTATCTTCACTTCGGGCAGCACAGGCAAGCCAAAAGGATGTGTTGTGCAGCATTCTGCATTCTGCTCTGGAGCCCTGGCTCAAGGAAAGCTTGCCTGTCTGGGTCCCTCATCACGAGTACTGCAGTTTGCTTCCTACAGCTTCGACGTTAGTCTGCTGGAAATCATGACATCACTCATGTTTGGTGCATGCATTTGCGTGCCGGACGAAGACTTGAGCAAGGACATCAAGCACTGCATCAACGTGCTCAATATCAACTGGACATTCCTTACGCCATCTGTCCTTAAGCTTTTACAACCGTCCGATGTGCCCTCATTGAAGACTTTGGTTCTTGGCGGCGAAGCTCTCTCAAAGGGTGACATTCTCAACTGGGCTGACAGGGTACAGCTGTACAACGGATACGGACCTAGTGAGTGCTCTGTGGCAGCAGCAGCTAACCCAGGATTGCAACCTACTACCGATCCAGCCAACATTGGACATGCTGTTGGTGGTGTGCTCTGGATTGTTGATGCCAAGCAACCTTCGAAGCTACTTCCCATTGGTGCTGTTGGTGAGCTCTTGATTTCAGGTCCAATTCTGGCGAGAGGCTACCTGGGTGATCCTGAGAAAACAGCAGCCGCCTTTGTCAAACAGAAGAGCTTTGTTCCAGGATCTCACAAGCGTGAGCGGTATTACCGCACTGGTGATCTTGTGCGATACAATGCAGATGGCACGATTCATTTCACCGGCAGAGCTGATGGGCAGGTGAAGATTCGCGGCCAGCGGGTTGAATTGGGCGAGATCGAGTACAATATCGAGCGTGATGAGAATATCCACCAGGCACTCACTTTGCTCCCATCTCAGGGCCCATTCAAGAAGCAGCTATTGGCCGTTGTTTCTTTCAAAGGCTTCGATCTCCCTGTTGAGGAGGGACGATTAACTCTCGTGCCGGAGGACAGGAGACCCAAGATTATGGCGGTCGTGACCAGAATCGCTAACACCATATCTGCAGCCCTCCGGATTTACATGGTGCCGGCCCTGTGGGTACCAGTGAACGCGATCCCCTTGTTGCCTTCCGGAAAGCTGGACCGGAAGAAGGTCCGGCGATGGGTCGAGACCCTGGACGATGCCACATATGAGCAGATTGCCAACGTAGGATCCAAAGCTAGCGGCCGCGGCCCGAGTACACCTGCCGAATTTGAGCTGAGACGCATTTGGGCCTCCGTGCTAAATCGACCCGAAGAGCAAATCAGTATGGAGCGGTCCTTCCAAAGCCTTGGTGGCGATTCCATCTCCGCTATGCAGGTTATCGCCCAGTGCCGTGATGCCAAGCTCTCGCTCGCAGTTAAGGATCTCATTCAGTGTCCCACTATCGCCGAACTGGCACCGAGAGTGCGACCTTTGGACGAAGATGCTGAGCCAATGGAAGACGATATTGGTGTTCCGTTTAATCTTTCTCCTCAGCAGACCTGGGAGTTCGACCTGAAACAGCACTGCGATCTCAATCGTTACAACACTACGTTCCTGCTATCGGTTCATTCTGATTCCGACCTAAAACCGGTCGTGGATGCAACAGTAGAGCGTCATCCCATGCTCCGTGCTCGGTTCCAGCGCGATGAATCGGGCCGCTGGATGCAGTATATTCCTCTTGACCGGTCCAATAGTCATCTGTACCAGGAGTTGGAAGTGCCTGACTTGGAAGCTATTGAACCATACACTGCGCCCAACCAGTCTGGCTTCGATTTGCAGCGTGGTCCATTGATGCGTGCGATTATTTTCAAGCTTCCGAACGGAGACCGGTACGTTGGACTTACTGTACACCACATGGTTATCGACACCGTTTCATGGCGCATTCTTCTCCAAGATATGCAACAAGGCTTATCCACCGGGACAATCACCTCCCACCGTTCCGACTCATTTGCCTTGTGGTGCCGTAAACTCAAGGAGCACGCTGATGAGAAATGGACTCCCAAATATGTACTACCTTTCTCGATTCCTGCTCCACTGTACGATTACTGGCAGATGGAGGAATCCATGAACCTTTTCGTGACCGAAACTATCCAGGAGTTCTCTCTGGACACCAAGACAACCGCCCGCTTGATGGGAAATTGCAACCATCAGTACCAGACTAAGCCACTTGACATCTTCTTGTCGGCGATCTTCCATGCCTTCAGCGCGACGTTCACTGACCGTCCCGTACCTGCGGTCTTTATCTACAGTCATGGTCGGGATGAGTTTGGTGGAGATCTTGATGTATCTAACACTATCGGATGGTTTACCTCCTCCACTCCGGTAGTGATAAACCCATCTGGAGATATTGTCGACGACCTGCAGGCTGTGCGAGATGCGCGCGCCAGTGTGCCAGGCAATGGAGTTCCCTACTGGGCAACCCGCTGGCTGACCGACGATGGCCATGCCGCCTTTGAACATCACAGCCCCTTCGAGTTGTCTATGAACTACCTTGGCCAGTATCAGCAGCTGGAGCGCGACGATTCGGTACTTCGTTATGTGGATGTGAAGAAGCCCAAGGCAACTGGATCTGGGTCCGGTCTCCTCCGCACCGCGCTGGTTGAGACGCAAGCCATTGTTATCGGTGACTCGCTGCAGATCAAGTTCGTTTATAACACGCGCATGGCCCGGCAGAAGCAGCTCCTCGACTGGCAGGCCAAGGTGAAGGATTCGCTACTGGAGATTGCCAATCGCCTCGGAGATGGTGTTGAGACTGAGTGAGCAAGGTTTTCGGATTCCTGTAACTGGTATGCTTTATTCCTTCCACTATTTGTTGCGTCCGAGAAAGCCTGAATCGGTTTGGTCATAATATGTATTTGGCGTTTGACGGTGAAATCTCATGGTTACAGTCTCGCAAATTTGTATATAGTGGAATTCACATTGATCCCAGAGAACGTTTTGGTTAGTAGTAGAGCAAGCTTCACCTACACTAGTCAAATGAATCCAATGTCGCTTCCAATATAAGAAAATTGGCATTATTGTACCCAATGCAGGCGCGGTCGGTAAAGATGAAGGAGTTTGAGCATCTTTCCTTTAACTATACAGACGGTCTCATTATGGACAGTAGAGTTTGGCAAGATGTGTGCCGCATACTAGTGTAATCTGACTCTCTCTGACTTACACGAAACGCAGGGCAGCGCAGCTTAATGCTCGAGGTGATAGTTCTTATGCTGCAGGGTATATTGCCCACGATTTGGCAATTTATTGGAAACGTATGTGCAGCGAAGGATCACGGCCTCGGCTGTAAGTATGCTGGGTTGTTGGTAAGCTACGGAATTTGGTGCAGTTGTGTCGATGCATTCTCCCGCCACGAGCTCCTCGTGTAGCTTGAGTATTATTGCAGCTGCAGCAGGCCTGTGTTTATGGCCAATCTCTAGGACCTCGGAGCCTGTCCGGTTAAACTCAATAACCACTTTCAAAGGTGAAGAGCGATGCAGCGATGTTGCGGATAGACAGGTATAATTTGAGCCTTTAGTGTACACCTAAACTTCTGCCTAGGTTAGTGAGTGACTCGGGAGAGCCGTTTGCAAATATCGCGGCCAGCACAATGTCAACCGCGTATATGCCGGGCCACGGAACGGCATCCGGATCATCATGAAACGACAGGAGAAAACAGAAGAATCTGACAGCCTAAGAGCGAGATGATACGTAAGGCAGACGCGAGAAAGCGGCGTTCACTGTCCCTAAGTAGGAGAATGGAGAGCGTGGCGGAGTCAGATTCAACCAGCGAGTCGAGTATGGCATCCGAGTCAGGCAGTCACGCGTTGGTGAGGGTGCTTTGTCAGCGATGCCAGATGGCAGTCCATCCTGATTGGTCTGAGCGTAAAAACAGCAGCATCCACCAATTCTTACGTTCGATCGCCCGCCAGGGACTGCCGGCATCTCCACTTGCCGTCAGCCGGTTCGCTGCTGCGTAAATATGCTCTTTGTGAGGTTCCGATCGAGGCCATACTGAGCCCCTACGTTTACACCAAACGAGCACAAATGATGCGCGTCGATCTGCGCTGTCCGAAGGGCAACAGGCAGACAAAATGGCCGATATTTCATTTAATAAGCTGTTTCTTTCCTCCGTCGTGGTCTTTCCCATAGAAATTACTCTATCGGTGGCATACTACTGCTACTATATACAGTGCCGCTAACTACATGGCGCATTAGACGAACACCACCCGCCCACGTCTACGAGCAGATATCGCAGTAATAGTACTGCAGTGCCAGGAAGTCTTGTTTCTGGCACTCACTCAACAGCTGACTTTGACAATCGTGCCTCTACATAAACACCTTCACGTCCCAAAATACTCACCATGACCACCGTCACGGCCCCTGCGCCCTGGATCACCAGCAGCCAACAATGTACCCTGGAGACATGTCCTCTATCATATGCCCATATCACCTATCTCCCTAACCTAGGCGGCAATGCCTTCTACATCGCTCTATTCGCCCTCTTTATCCCCGTCCAACTCTACCTCGGCATCCGACACCGTACCTGGGGGTACCTCTTCGGCGCCATCTGCGGCCTTATCCTCGAAGTCCTGGGCTACATAGCACGCATCTACATGCGACACAACCCATTCATTGACCGGTGGTTCATCATGTTTGTTCATCCCAACAACCCCTCATCTCCCCTCCACCACTAACCAAATTAAATACAGGTATCTCGTCTGCCTCACCATCGCCCCCGCCTTCCTCAGCGGCGCCATCTACGTTTCCCTAGCCCGGATTGTCGGCGCCTACTCGCCCCAATTATCCCGGATAAAACAGCGTAACTACTCCCTGATCTTCATCAGCTTCGACATCATCTCCCTCCTGCTACAAGCCGCCGGAGGCGCCATCACCACCTCGAACTCCGCCTCCGAAGTGCAAGACGGGATCAACATCATGATAGCCGGTCTCAGCTCCCAAGTCGCCTCCCTAACCCTCTACATCGTGATCTGTCTCGACTACGCCTTCCGAGTCTACCGTCTCAGCGCACGGAATCCCTCCCCACCATCGAACATGTTCCGCATGGCAAACCACACGAAGCAGGAATCCGAAAGCCAAGATCTAGTCTCGGGTTCCAGGGACTTGGTGACCCTGAACCCGGACTTCGCTAGTCTCCGGGCGAGTAAACGCTGGAAAGCGTTTCTGTTTTGCCAGGGGTTGGCGGTCGTGTGTATTTACATTCGGAGTTGTTTCCGGGTTGCGGAGCTGTGTGGTGGGTTTAGTAGCCATTTGGCGAATGATCAGACGACGTTCATGGTGTTGGAGGGGGCGATGATTAGTATTGCGGTTATTGCGATGAGTAGTTGGGGGCATCCGGGGGTGGGGTTTCATGGGAGGTGGGATGCGTTGAATTATCCGATGTTTCAGAGGAAGAAGAAGGGGGTGGATGTTTAGGTGATATTCATGGATGTGTTAAATATGATGGGTAGTGCGGGTTGTGTCTTTATCTCGTGACTTTTCTCCGTTTTTGCTTGGGTTCATTCTTCGGTTTCTTCTATATTTCTTATTTGGTTGGTTTGGTGTTGGCGCGTTTGTATACTAGCTTCGACTAGAACTGCATCTATAGGGATAGAACATGCATTGGATGATTCTGACTCCATCTCGGTCTTGGACGTGTGTTTTCTACCAGTTATACGAGTATAACTTCTGTAAATCTCAGTCCAACGATTGAGTTTCGATATCAGTATACTCTGCTATCTGATGGCCGTCTACCTACTCTTTCCAAGGTACACCCACTGAAGAATATCGAAGACAACCCCAAATCCGTAGTATTATAGCCCCTGTACAAGATAGCATGAGATCGCACTAGCCTAATCATCACCAAGCTTGAAACGAACCCGTTTCTTAGGCCCCACAATCACCGGAAGCCTGAGGAGAAGAAGGCCATTCATAAAGCGGCTTTGCGCGGCATCCCAGTTGATCGGTCTCTTAAAGCGGAAGGAGCGAAAGAACGGGCCAACCTTTCGCTCAGCCAACACCCAGACCCAGGTCGTTGAGGGATTTGGTCGATCACCAGTGTAAATGAAGGTTTTCATGCGCTCATTGAAGTCTGCTCGATCTTGCTGATCATCGTCACTCTCAAGCTCGTCGTTCTCACTACCTGGCTTCCGCAAAATCCCTTTGGGTCGGCCCCTTCCCTTGTCTTTTGCTCGAAGTTGCGGGACTATGTAGACTCGTGGTTTCTGTCGACTCCCCTCACCCTGGTCACTGCTCTCCTCCTGAAAGGCTGGTTGTGGCATCGCTTCAAGATCTGTATCACTTTGTCCGTCTGAGGGCGCCTGGGCATCTTGAACAGAATGGATATCGTTCCCGATTGCAGCCGTCTCATCTTTTGGATTCTCGCGGTACTTTTTCTTTTCATCCGATGTCGACTTCAACTCCGCGTCCATCTCCTTTTCAACCGTTGTTGATTGGATCGCGGGAGCTCTAGTGTCCATAGGGTATGCGCGCTCCATAATGCCGCAGACCACCAAAGTCCGCTGATCAGTGATATTGAGCTTGATTGTGCCTGCGATGGCACCGGCAAGTTCACCATCCAGATAGTACGCGCTCTGGAAGAAACGTATATCGAATACAGGCTTGATGCGCTTTGGGGTACCGACCGGTTCTTGGTAGAATCTCTCGGGCTGGCCCCTGCAATCAACGTAATCAATGATGGTGTAATCCATGTAGATATATTAGGGGGGCCTCTGTAACAGAAAGTATGCGGTAAAGACCGTGCAAGTAGGATCGGTGATAAGGATGTAGGTGCTCGCGTGTGGTTAGGTAAACTCTTCCATCGAGTCAGCAGAGTTTAGAAGAGCTGCTGAGATGCTGCTAGACCGTTGCCAGTTCGGAGAAGTAGGCGCTGAGCCATTGGCTCAGCGAGGAAGGAGCGCCAACCCCAAAACTTCAGACCATGCGCACAGCCAACTCAGCATCAAGACTGTCGAAACACAATATGGCGCATTGCAGGGGTCCAGCACCAGCACTGAGCCTTTCTGCAAGTTCGCGACCATAAACTCTCATAGCGTGTATTTCCTACCACCTAGTCTGTTGAAGCGCGCGATAAGGATTGAGATATTGGCGCTATGCGATCGCATCTTCCCATTCATCGCGTCGAGGAGTGGTACAAATCACTCCGACTCCGATTCATCAGGCTGCATAACCTTATCGTCAAGCTCCTGTTGCCTCATCAGCGTCAGGCCCCAAACAGCTCATTCCGGCATCCCTACCTTTGTCAACCTCGCCTTCAGGTTCTGCAGCTGGCTCTCCTTGATGACGAGATGACGGTCATCGTCGAGGTCTTCGACAATATAGTCGTGTCTTTCTTCGTCGTACTTGAGAATAATGGCTTTCACGGACGGATCGCACTCGATGAGGACTCCTGTTTAGGCCTTCGTTAGCGATAGTTGGGATTGGACGGTGCTGCGGTTGTGATACCTCTGACGGCACGAGGCATGATGAGTAATTTGAAAAAACAAAGTGGCTGTGTTCGGTGTAATGTGATTGTGTTGTGAATTGAAGGTCGCCCAGGTGCTGAAGTGTGGTTTGAGCTGAGGTGTGTTAAGAGTGAAGGAACGAAGACTGACAGTTGGAGAATGAAGGCGATCGGGGTGTGCCAAGACTCCGCCGGGCAGAAAGACGCTAAGGCAACAAGGCAACTACACGAGCATCCGGCTTCTATAGAGGCATTCCTTTCGTTTCAGTTACTATGGATAAAAGACTGTAAATATAGCTATTTAGAAATGGATACGCTCATCAGCCGCTATTATATGAAAGGGTATTAGAAGAATGGCAGGAAGACATGTCTGACTATGAGGGACACGTGAGCTAAACTGGGTGTTAAACAAATTCTAGAACCCAGGCATTCACTGCTCTTCCTCTGCCGTCGCCTCCAAATCCCCAAGATCCTGCCGCTTCTCACTCTTGTACGGTTTCCACCCAGTCCCAGCCTGGGCCGCAGCCGCAGCAATAGCCAACACACAAGCTCCCAGTAGCAGCGTCTTCACGGCTTGCTCATAGCTCTGAACAGCCACCGCTCTCTCGACGCCCGTCAGGCGTTTCGCCAGTGCCGGACTGCCGAGCAGTTTGCGGATCAATTCACCTCTATTGGCAAGTCCATGTTTCATGAACCCTGTCTCCAGCCCTCTCTTCAACTCACGCTGGAAGTAACCCCCACCAATAGAGGACCCAAAGCTGCCGGCAAACCCTCTGCTCATTCCTAGCAAGGCACTGATAACATAATGCATGTCTGGGTCTGTGAGATGTAGTAGATGGGATAGGGTATAGTTCATGACTGCTCCGACAGAAAGACCGTTGAAAGAGGTAGCAGAGAGATAGGCGACCGTGGAAGAGTGCGGTGTGGATAGAACGGATAATATGAGGTTGGTGAGGCCGAACAGGAAGAAGGCGATGAGGCCCGAGCTAGGATGAGGTTAGATCCGTTGTACACTGCTTCCAGGGGTTGGATGAGAAATACTTACATGTAGTAGCTGCCTGTTTTACGAATATGAATCCATCCGACTAGGAGTCCTCCTAGCCCGAACCCGGCGTTGGTTGGCACCAGAATCAAGCCCGCGGAGGCCGGAGACCAATCACGAACGACGAGTGCATAGACTGGCGAGTAGAAAAGAACTGCCCAGCGTGCCATCATGCAAACAGCACCCGCCAAGCAGCTGAGCAATACGCTCCTCTTCTTGAGTACTTCCATCGGGATAATGGGGTCGGTAGCGAATCTCGATTCTATTAAGACAAAGATCCCCAGAAAAACGAACGACAGAAGTATAGGCATTATTTTGATTACTGCCGCAGCAAGGCTCGACAGTAACAGGAAGACGGAAATTGTCTATAACGATTAGAATAAATCAACCAAGGATGAGGGGTCTCTTACCAACGTCAATGCCCCGGCATAGTCAACCTTTGCCAACCTTCGCAGCAGAGCGCGTCCACTTAGGTGTTCATCCTCCGGGCGTTCCGGGATCGCCAAGAATTGCACTGGGCCTAATATCAGGGCCAGCGGTGCTTGGATCCAGAAGATAATCCGCTACGTCCTTGATGTTACTCCACGGTACGATATATATGGTTATTATGGGAACTCACCCATCCGTAAGCCGGCGTCAGAAGACCGGCCAGCACCGCCCCAGAGGAGACACCGGTAGTCATCCCTGCGCTGATTAGACCGATGAAGAGACCCCGGCGCTTCTTGCTCGTCAAGTCGAGGGTCAAGACAAAGGCAATAACCATCTGCCCACCAGCACCACATCCTGTAAGAGCTCGTCCCAAAAGGAAGACAGGCAGTGTCGGAGCCAACGCTGTCACGAAGAGACCAATTGACAATAATGTGCAAGAGAAAAGAATATATACACGAGGTGTGAATATTTGGGAGAGTCGACCCGAGAGAGGTGTGAGGCTGGACATGGCAATCTAGTGACAATGGCATTAGCATGTGGATCCGCTGCACATGGCTGAATAGAAGGTTACGTACCAAGAAAGCCGAGTTGAACCATGTTGTCTCCGAAAAAGCATCCAGATCGGCCGCAATGTCGGATTGCGCGGTAGTCATCATCGACATATTGGTTGCTGATAGAGTTCAGCTTGATTTATCTGGATCACAACAGAGCTCCCATACTCATGATGAACAGCAACAGCCCCATGGCGGCCACTATCGCCGATCCCCTCAGGCGAGACACTTGAATTCGCGCCAAATCTTCCCCATTGTCGGAAGACTCCCCCAAGAGGGGCGTAGTCTCCTCCGGGACTGCTTCTGGACGTTCCTGAGCCGTCATGATGTGCATTCAAGTAGTCTACAGATTGTGTCTAAAAGAGAGAACGTTTCCCCCCCGCAGACTCATATCTGTTGTTTGGGCATCGACAACGACGGGGGAAATGATGTGATAAGGGGACCCAAGCTCGGGATGGGCGGAGGCGCATTTCTAAGCAATAGTAATGTTGCGGCCCTGACCAGGATTCCGTCCGGTTGGGGCATCGATAACTGTTATCGGGGGCCAATCATGAAGACTCATCGCGATCGGATTTCCCGCGAAGCTTTCAACTGCCTTGCGGAATAAAAGTACGCGGTACGTGTGCCTGTTGGTAGCCTTTGAGCCCGTGGTCCGTGGGTGTAGTCGTGACGTAGGCACCGTACATTTGTCCAGCTGTCTGGACCCTAATGGCTATGGTGAGTTATGCGTTGTGACAGGCGGGTGGACTAAGTAGCGGCATGTCAGTTATGCAGGCTGCATCGGAGGCAGTTGGACCCGATTTGCCGATGGTGGAGACTGAAGCGACCGACGGGAAATCTGGAAGAATAATATCAATAGTGAGGCTGCTGATTTGGTGGGGAAAGATTCCCGATGGAAATGGAAGGTTTTCGGGGAATTCTTTCCCTCAGGCAGCAGGTGACACTTGTGTGCCTGAGGCATTATAACTAGATTACTAGTACCAGGTGATGAGAGTTATGCAGCCAAGATGTCTGCTGTGTCGAGTGATGGTTGCAGCTGACTGCAACCACAGGATATATAGTATCGGATGAAATGAGACTCGCAGAATTTTGATCCATCATGGCCCAACAACAACTGGCAATCTGTAGTAGTACAACTCACGAAAATCTGAAACTATGATGAAGGCAACAATATATATTTGGACGCTCGGGCTAAGCCTGCTGACAGTGGATGCACATCATGATCGAACAATGATAAGTACGGATCCACTGCAATTCCAAATGATTTAGCTTTCATGTTGTTTCCGAAACATTGGAAGTTTAGCTAACCGAAGAGATTTAGCTGGGATAACAAGCTCTAAGCAAGAACCCATGCTCGATTCTCTCGCCTCGGCGCAGAAGGTGCTTGGTGATACCGCTAACTGTACGTTCTCTACGACTGCCCAGACCACATAAATAAAGGTGTACTGAGAGTCATTCAGCCTGCTACGTCTGCTCGTCGCCTTGCTCTCGAGCTGTCTGCTGTCATGGAGAATTCCCGCAATGTTGCTCCGATGGAGTCTATTGCTATTGCTGCCAAGATTGATTATTTGCTGGTTTTGTCTAAATAAGAGCCATCTAGCCAAGGTATCCGCGTGTACTGTATCCCAATGCTTAGCTAGACTGGCACATCGAGACGATGTCGTCTGGAATATACGGCTGGAGAATGCGGATCAAGGACGATAGAGGTATCCAATCCAATGTGCCGTAAATTGTTTCGATCGCGTGTCCACTATACAATACACGAGCGTAGAGGTCGTCTTCCGATGTTTGCCTACAGCCTCGTGAGACTCATAATGGTTATATTTGGGAGAAGGGTCCGAATGAAAATAAACGTACCATACTTCAAAAGCAATGTTCGATCCCATACCTGGCCACCGCAACGCTTTAATGCCCAACGCGCCAAGGATGGGCCCAAGGTCTCCATCATGAACGAAACTGTGGCTATACACTAGTTCGGATGTCCCTTGTTGCACCGCTTCTAGATGGTGAACAATTTCTCCGATGAACAGACCTTCGACCAGTTGGATGTACCGAGTAGCATTTGCGTTGTGTCGCCACCAGTAGTTCCACTCCCAGTCGCCTGCACGAAAAACCTCATCTGCCTGGCTGACAGTTGCACACTGCGTGTCATTCTGCAGGCTGCAGGGTAGCTCATAGCCATTGCAGAGGCGCGCCTGGAAATTATCGGAGAAATGGTCAAACGTCGACATCCAGCTGGAGGTATCGGCGTCGAACATGGTCGCCAGCTGACTACGGAGCGACTGGGTCACTGTCAGATGCTCGTTCCACTCCGCCGTGGACTCAATGGTGGAGAGCACCTCGCTGCGAGCGGAACAGGAGTATCCTTGGTCGACCGTGTCGACCCCCGAAGCTTGCTGGTGTAGCGGTAGGGGTGCATTGTGTTCGGGCCAGATACCTCGCAAAACCCCACCGGCAGATTCTTGGGTGAGGGCCGAGGTACTTGAACGGAGCCAGACCTTCTTGCCATTGTCCTCGTCCGGTGACGCCGGAATTAGCTGCAGTTGATCCCTATAGACGGCGCGGAGGTCGCGACCGTGCTGATAGCCATCCAGAAAGCCCCCAATCGTCAATTGAGGATACTGACACGATCCATTGACATAGTTTGTCAAAAATGGGTTGGAGGGATCGGAATAAGTTTGGCCATAGACGGGGATCGGAGTGGGACCTTGGGAAGCTGGAGAGACGTAGAGATGAGCCTGGAGGTTGTTGCAGTGATATTCCTGGTTCTAGAGCGAAGTTAGCGAATCTCAAGTAGGCACCGTGTTGAGACCATACCTCGCCGCCCGGAAGAATGTTGTAGGGGGTGCGACGCTGATGACGCTGCACGTATTCAAGGTAGACTAGGCGGGCAGAGACGGATTGGTTGGCGACGGGAGGTGGGAGCGAGTAGGTCTCCGCACGGGGATGCGGCATGGAACAGTAATTGTAGACATCTTGTGGTGTCGGGCTACTGGTCTGATCTGCCGGGGCGCTGTAGATACCTCCATAGGTGCCGACGGAGGAGTTGGTGATGTAGGTAGTGTGGTTGAGGGGAGGATAGAAAGTGTCGCGGGCCGCGAGGGCGGGATTCCCTGCGGAGAGCAGCAAGGAGAACAACACGGAGATCATGTCAAGCAACCCTTGGTAGATGCTGGTCATCATCGTAACACCTGGAGGCGGGAGTCCGATTAGATATAAGTACGATGTCTCCATAACTCCCTCGTAGTCTCATTGTGCTCTTCGGTGGTCGTGCCATTGAATCTTGGCCTACGAAGATACCAGCGTGCCTGTTGCCGACGGTCGGCTTCCACTCAGTTGCGACAATCTCCCACGTGCGCAGAGCTGAGGCAGCATGATGGAATGCCTCACCCCCGGCGATAGTTAGCGAGATTTAGTAGTGAAGCCAACCCCACGTGGGTGAAGCTGGACAGCTGCAGGACCCTCTTATCCAATGAATATACTGGGTCCCATTGAGGACAATGGACTCCCACAGATACCTGCGTCGCCTGGAAGGTACTTCATCCTTCTAGTGACAACATTCCACATCACCGTTGCCGAAATCCGTAAAGAAACAAACTCCTCCAAAGCATGAATCTTTTCCTATCGGAGATGACGAGGGAGGGAGAACTGCTTCATTTACTCCCAATCTTGTAGCGGAAAGAATGTGCCCTCCAGGCTGTCATCACGTGGGCACGACTAGTGTGTGCACCATCGAGGACTGACTTGTCAGCTTAGCCAGTGACGCACATTATTATTGCCACAATTCCCAGCTGCGATCCCTAGTAGCTCATCACAAGCAAATGCAATGGAACCGAACGCAGGAACCGCGTGGTCGGTGCTTGGCCTGTCAAAAATTCCCTGAATCGTCGATCCGATAGTCACGATGATAGACCCCGAAGACAACCCGCCAGCTTCTTGTTTGTCAAATATCAGGCCCAGACTTCGCAGGGCTCCACGGTTTCCATAAAGAAGCATGCTTTCATCAAGACGATGTATCATCGATCCAAAAAGGAACAGCGACTACAAAAGCTGAAAGCTTCCATCGGCCCGTTGCCGACCCAACGATCCAACCGATCAATCCTCCCGTCAACACCGGGATCCACCACATTCCCTATAGACGCGGAGGCGAGGGTCGAAGAAAACGAGGCATGCTCCTTCGACCGGGCGTTGCGGCCCGCTGGCATTGACCCCTTTGCTTCGCTCTGTATGCCTGCCAAGTCCAGTGTGGATTTCTACTTTGACCACTGTAAGATCGAGTCTACCTCGTCCGGTCGCATCAACGCCAGTTACCTCTCTGATCATGCTTCCAGACCGGACCGAATGTTCTTGAATCGACCCGTACTGGCCTTCCACTGTCGCTTGGAAGCCGCGCTTCTCCCTATTCGACGCTTGGCGGTCGATCTATCTTTCTGGATGCTCTTCACCGGTGGAATTGCAGCAATGCGTCATCCCAGTCGCGCGTGGTTCGTGGACCGTCTGGCCGAGGTGGCCGGTCAATTGTCTCTCGCAACCTGGGATGAGGCGCAGGCCTTGTTGGAACAGTTTCTCTTCTTCTCTCGGCCTACTGATACCCGAGCTGAAATTCTCTGGAAGGAAATAAAAAGGCAACAGGGTGTGATGCAGAAATCATAGACCAAGCAAAATATCTCATATTTTCAGACATCCATATAGTGCGTAACGATGCATCACAGTCGGATTGGACCCCTTGAATTCTATCACTATCACTATCAGCTTGTTAGTAAAGGAGGAATGGAGGGAGCGAGGGACGGGTATATGGAGAGCCATCATGAGCAGGAAAAAGAGCACCACGAATATAGCGCGTACAGGCAGTTTTATCAACAGGTCATGTGAGTAGTTACTCGTATGCTCCTAATGCAAGGGCGTCCGACAAGGTCCAAATCCTTTATACTGCCGTCCACCCACCCCAGCCAATAACCCACCGTATGTATTCGATTCGATTATCCTGGTATTTACCTACAAGGCCTACATATGGAACTAGGTACGGACTAGACTGAATGATATTGAGCCTGATTGGGCTGCATTTAGAACTAGTAAGTAGCGACAGCTTCAGAAGCGGGTCTCTCGCCGTCTTCATCGGCAAATACTTTTCTCTGTAGATAATACTAATAGTAGAGACCCCTGTGTTCCTTAATAGAGACGGAAAGACTGCATGGTACACAAGCTCAATCATCCCTTGCCAGCTCACTAACGGCAAGTAGTAGATGCCTCAAGCTATGTCTCCATCTTCATCAATGCAAATAATCTGGCCAGTAACTTCGCTTATCACTCCGCTTATCCCCCCGGCACGATGATATAATTATCCTGAGAACTGCTATTCTTCCTTCGCAAGAATTCCCGTGTTCTGCAGATAATGCCAGAACATAGATTATAGCGACAGCGTTGTACCAAGGCTATGATCACGAGAGATGAAGGAGACACATGCAGTAAGTAAAATCAAGTTATACAGTGCGATGTGCCACCTGTAAGAAACTCGGTCATGCTCGATTGATCTAAGGAAATTCAATCGATAGATGAGACAGAGAGTGACAAGACTGATGATGGAAGTCATAAGTGCCGTGGGCAGAGTATATCCGAGCTCGAACACTCTGTGGGAGATGAGGATATACTACGTCCATGTTAACTCTGGCTTAATAGTAGTAGTAGTTGATGAACGCCATATTGTGAGATCTTACCTCCATCGAAACAAGTCCCAAGGACGTATTGATCCGAGCTATTATTTAAGATGAGGAGGTCAGAACAAAAACTAGAGATATTTCTCAAAATTCACGTGGGCACACATACCCGGAATATCCCCTAGAAGTATTGGGGTCGTTCTACGCCCGGCGGCCAAATCACCAGGGACATCGCGGAAGTCCTGGATAGGAACGGTGAAGAAAATCCATGGGGTGATTAATTTCACCCATCTCCAGCCGTAATGCATGTCCGAGCCTCCCAGCTTCCAACAGGCCATGAGTTGGGAAACGACACCTAGAACGATGCAAAGATCCTTTGCAGGTCCTATTCTCGACAAGTGGAACAAATAGAGGGAAATAAGAACCACTACCCAAAGTAAAGACCACATGTGGACGTCCAAGGTATAGCTCAATAGGAGCCATGTTCCGGATGCTATGTAGAATCGTATTTTCACTGCAGCCACAGTAGTTCGGGACTGGGCTATTGGGCGGTTTGGCTTGTTGATCTTGTCTTCGATAGTTCCCCCCTCGGCGTTGTTTGCTAAGTCGATGCAGTAATAGAAGAAGAAACCGTAAAGTAGTGTATCTGTTATACGCTGTCAGATATAAGATGAGAACCGATTTCTGGGTAGGTCAGCCGTACTGGAGAGAGAAGATACGGCTTCTGCATAGGTTGCCCTTCGGTAGAGTAACGAAGCGGCAGTGAATATTGGAAAAGGAACAAAGGCTGCATCAAAATTGCTTTCCATAAACGCATATGATAATTGGATCTCTCGCTTTATTGTTACATAAAGCCAGTAGATCACATTAGTCCCAGATACTGATCTGTGATTGGGGTCGTTGGCGCGATTAACCACGACACTCATGTTGTAGATGTAATAAAGGTTTGAAGGTGGTAGCAAGTAGTAATATTACGAGTAGGCGGCAGCCTCAGTCGCAGTGCCTGAAGCTGTGTCGATATATAGTCCATACGACGCATGGTTAAGCAGTAGCCGTATTCCCAATTTATATAGCAAGCTTATGAAGACGAAAACAACCGACGACTCTTCCGCCCAAGGATGTAGTATCGGAAGACCAAGACATGTTTCAGTTGCTTTCGGTCCTTCTAAATTTAGAGGGGAGGAAGGTCGAAGATAAGGAGCAGTAGGGCGATGTTGAGTAGCTAGCGAAAGGTCTGGTGAAGGTGCCTACATTCTGATGAATCCCTAAAACGACGTTCTGGTGCACAATGTCAAACCTGCAAATAGAAATACCCCAAACCCCTTTCCATATGCGGTTAATTTCGCAATCTCGAGACTTTGGTCCGTAGGATGCAAGAATATTGGAAAGCAAATTGAAACCCGAAAAAGGTATCCAATCGGTCTTCTCTGCAGTAGAAGAAGACGCTTCCGAACATTGTACCAGCTACTAAAACTGTTCAACCGATGTAACTATACTTGTGAGATGTCAAACATCAGGTGCCTTGTGGTATAAGGAAGAGTATTTCAAGGACATTGCAGTAGGCATGACAAGTGCGACAGATCTTTGATACATCCGTCCACCCATCGACTCTGGTAGCTAACATCCCCAGCATTTAGTGATATAATATACTCCTCCCATAGAACAGTGCATGGCTCTGTAACAGCAAGCCAACTGCGTTTCGGGTGAAATAGTGACCTGTATGCTCCCGGCCAAGACAGTCTAGATATGAAATAAGGTTTACACCAATCTGGGAAAAAGCAGTCACCGGCGCAAGGGGAAAATGGTCAATATTGCACTGGCCGAATGCGGAGAAGGATCCTTGAGCTCATGTAGAATGTATGCTGACCTGAGGACCGACTGCAGAATATCATAGATGGTCAACTCAATAAGACCAAAGAAAAGAAAAGTGATGTGATGAGTGGCAGCTGCGCTAGAAGCCTTCAATTATAGACATTCTAGTTCTCATATAAGATGACTGTAATGGAAGGAGGCTGTTGAAGCGCTACCTAAGTGCCTCAGGCAGAAATCGCGTCGAGAGGTTATCCAAGAACTAGCCTTCTTTCTCCTCAGGCACATATAATATAAGCATCTATACTTAGAGCTACTCGTACTGCTTCATTGCTGTCTTTGCCTTCACCACAAAGGGTGACTATCATAGCTAGGGAACATCTGAGTATGTTGTGAAGACCACTACTACTTACCTTCAGGGCTGCGGCAGTTTCAGATACCAACCTGTAACAGACCCCAGGTTCGTCACAAGCCTCAAAGTGTATGTCAGAGCCACGTTGTGGTAACCTAAACTTTTTTACCTATTTCTTAGCTGTGGTTGTCAGGCTAAAGTCTACTCAATTAACTTTAAGCAAACGCAGCCGGAGAAATTCGACCATCCGAAATAGTCCAAGATAAGCCACGATACGGTCCACTTCTTCCTCATTCTGAGAACATAATATTCAGCGATCGCAGCACTTGGTGAAAGGACACGAAAGGGAAACACAGACCAAAGAGATTATGAAGTTCAAGAGCGGGGACGCCAGCGTGGGGCACTCTGGTGGGCTCAAACCATCAACCGATGTTGGATTTTGAGTAGGGATGCTAGTAGCGTGTTGCCAAGCTTTGCTAAAGATTAGTGGGATGTTCAGGGATATCGTTTGTCACCTTCACCAACACCCTTGTCGGCCATCTTGGGGACTATCTCAAAGCCCTAGTAAGAGAGTCCTGCTAGAAATATTACTATCAAATAATGTAGCCCTCTCTCACAATACTCCCGTTGAATCAATACGCTAGATACACTGCAATTAACAGCATTCTTATCCGACCGCAGATACCGCCTCGTGAAATCCTTCAGTCTGCCGATCGCGGACTTAGAGCGAGGCTATGGCGCATGGGCATCTTCACTTTTTCGCGTGGCAGTTTGGGGGCCAGAGTTTAGTTTAATTTCCCTAGGGGGTTCAGACTTATCTCCCCGTCTGTCTTCGTCTGCCCATGTTTGAAGTGTCTTCAATTCATGAACGCTCCCCCTTGTGGTGGTAGTGGTTTAACGATACTATCCACTCGACCTTCACGATGAAGGGTTTCGCGCAGATCGTCGGCTTGTACGCCTCCTTGGCCGCTGGGAGAAAATATTGTACCCGGACATTTCACTCTTGTGTGTGAACTTTGTGCTACTTAGCTCTCATGGCCGCTTTTTGCTGACTTGCAGTGTTTTAGCCATCATAAATAACCAGACTTTGTTCATCGACGGTGGTGAAGTGCGCTACCTTGAAGATAATAATACCATTTCGGCGTATGCCAGTATGTTTCAACTCATGCGTGGATGATTTGCTGGCGAACATCGTTCTAATATATTGGGTTTCAGTCCGCGACCTGCAGACCGTCGACGTCTCCAAGTCCTTTTCGAATACCGATTCGGATCTCTTCACTCACATCGACAAACCGTATAATGCATCTGATCCCGATGAGTACCCAACTTTCCTTGATGAAGGTTCCGCGTTCAACGACGGCGAGAACCTCTACTTTTACGGCGGGTATAAAAGCGGTCGCGACGGCCCAAAGACCGTCCCGCCCGTCGAGACCTGGAAGTATGATATCCAAAACAACAACTGGACGCGCGATGGATTTGGTGGTGTGCCGCTGGTTCGGCTGATAGAGGGAGGGGCAGTCGTTTCGCACTCCCAGAATAAAGCGTACTATCTGGGGGGCGTTGAGGACCCGGGCGGGAATCCGAATATCTATGGTACTGCGGGAGCGGACGTGGAAATTGTCAGTGGATTGTTGGTTCTGGATCAATCTACCCTGCAATGGTCCAATTTATCAACGTCGGAGATGAATAATTATGGGACTATCGGAGCAGGGTACTTGAATATCCTGGAGGACGTTGGGGATGAGGGGCTTCTAGTAGCCTTTGGTGGGTATAAGTATCCTGTCGGACATAAGGTTTCGCTTCTTTGTGCGAGCCAAACGAATACTACCTTCCATGTATGCCCCATTATTCTGTTATTGCTCTTTGTGTGTCAGCTAACCAGAGCTAGAACCCTATGGAATACATCACCCTGTATGATATTGCGAACCAGAAGTGGTACACGCAGCAGAGTACCGGGGATATTCCAAACTGGCGGATGGCGGGCTGCAGCGTAACGGTGGCAGCACAAGATCGGTCATCGTTCTCCATGTAAGTATTGATGATTATGCGCCGACTGTTGTGTCTATTGACATATCTCCAATCCAGCTACGTGTTTGGCGGGATGGCTGCAACCACCGCAAATTCCGACGGGGATGTATATGTTCTTTCATTGCCGTCATTCCGATGGATCCGCGTGAACGAGGGCAGCAGCATCCGCGAGAAGCATACATGCAATGTCCTAGGGAAGCATACCATGCTTGTTGTTGGAGGCACGATCCCTACGGACAGCTCGGAATATGAACCGAAGCCGGTGAACTGCGACACGGGCACATTCGAGAACGGACTAGCCATCTTTGATCTGAACCAGCATACCTGGCTCACTGACTATAATGCGGACGATCAATCAGAGTATGCTCTCAGCTCAGCAATCACGGATGTTATTGGTGGCAGGTACGTTTGAATTGACTTTATAATGTTTAGTAGTTTTGCGGCAGTGCTGATGAACCACCAACAGCTCCACGGGCGGTGCCAATGTCACCCAACCGAAGAACGGCTTCAACGACACCACATTGGCGACGATGTTCCAGAAAGCAGTCATCACCACCACCACCAATTCCACAACGGGTGCTAACTCGACCTCAACATCGGCAAACAGCAGTAGCAGCAGCACGGGCAGCTCCAAGGCTACTTCACTATCCAAAGGAGGCATTGCGGGAGCCACCGTCGGGGCGGTGGTCGGTGCCAGTGCCATTGCGGGGCTTGCCTTCTTCCTAATCAAGCGCCGACGTGCCCAGCCCAGCCAAGAGACTCCTGCCATGGCGCATCCACCCGTCTATGAACCGCCCCAAACAGGGCTGGCAGAACTTAGCAGCGGCGGGGTGACACATGAATTAGCAGGGAGTGACACGCAGGATGCGACTGCCGGGAATTGGTGGCAAAAGACTCCTAATATAGCGGAAATGGATGGGGTTGCAAGGGCTGAGATGAAGGGGTGAGCTGTGTGACTATGAGGATCTAATTTCATCATGTTGGGTTTGGCGTTTAATCATAGCGTTCCGTATGAATAGGGAGTGGTAACCTAATATCGACTTTCCGTATGCGTTCACTTTTCGAACGAGTAACCTCCCAGAGGACGCGTCAGATATATCTACGGGATTCGTCAGGATCTGTGACCTGTCAAAGCACCACCGCTAGCCTTCCTTCGTCCCTATTAGTGTCTGTCATATTCAATGAATTGGGAGAATAATGTCAGCAATGGCGTGCAAAAGCACTGACGCGTATGTGGGGTAGTATGGAGAGCCAGAGGGATTGGAGGACAAAGTAAAGGGAACTGGTGTATGCGAAAGATGATCCAATCAATACCCTGGTCTACATAGCGCGACTCTCGGAGATTACTCGACTGCTTATGGAAGTTGCTGCACTATGCTCGGAGTCCCTCCCGATCCATGTGCTTCCTTCGCTGGAGTTACTATAATTAACGCGGTCTGCGGCACACTAAACACGACAAAACAAACTCAGGAACAAACAAACAGTCAAAACACACTGAGTCCGGACTTGCTGCCTGAGGCGACGATCGGATCATTGCCGTTACAGCATAAGTTTTCAGTTGCTGCCCCCCCCCCCCCCCCCCCCTTTCAAACAATAGTGCTACAGTCCGTGACCGCGACAGATATTTCCCAGGGATCCATTACGATCTAGAATTCCAGACCATAATCTATCTACTAGTATCTACCAAGGATTTAAAAGGGGTTCGACCGTACTCTGTACCGTTCCTGGCTATATTGCCCGTCCCTGGAAGAGATAGGGGGATCCACTCAGATAGATAGCATCACCGAACCCCTGTATCGAGTCACGGCGCTAGCAGGGAACAGACAGGGTTTCTTGCATTCACCGTGCACAGCTATCTTTTCACGACTTGGGGATAGAAGTCTCGTGCGATTCCTAGCATAGTTGATATGGCAGAATTGTTGATGTGGAGAAAAGTTGTTAATTTCTTAAGAGATAGGGATCAACCTTACGGATGAGGAGAAGAATGTTACCTTGACAGTAAGTTGGGTTGCCGCGTCTCGAAATTTCCTCTTGCCTCTCCGGTGGTGCCGTCATCGCGTCACGGGCTTGGGCAATTTTACTATGTGAGTGGTGATTGGTTGAGATGGTTCCAAAGACTTTAAAGTGGGGCTCTTATGGCCAATCGAAGAAAGCGTAGTGGGGCAGCAGTGCCCGGATGGGATTATTGATGCCATCACCAGTGACTTGGTAGTTGGGACTTTCTATGGTCGTAGTCAGAGTAGGACACATGGGTAGTATTTAGAGGGAGAGGATGTTGAGATGAGGACACAATTGTGAAAACCATCATGATCCGTGGATAAGTAAGGGAGTGACAGTACTTGATAAGTAGTCAAGCATGGTATCGTCATCACCTGCCATGCCAAGGTTTGCCAGCCCTATTGGCACCGTTTAAGTTACTCGGGGACCCATCGTCGTTCATTTGGCGGCGTGGATTGATAGGCAGCACCAGGGTCTCCTTCACTCTTGTCCTAGTCCACCGCCGTGAAATTACATTATCTCCATCCCCCAAGTCCCTCTTAAACCTTTCATCTACCCCCCTTTACCTTTGATTTGCGCTCTTTCTGTTGTTCCATCTCTGTCGGTCTCTCTTCTGACGAGATTTTGTTTTGTTGCCCACCCTCATTCCCCATGCGTCACAATTACCCTCACTGGATTGTCTCGTCCCGCGTTGGCTGAACGAAATATTGGAGTTGGAGTGTGGCTATGCCTGATACTCGAGTCCTATAGATTTGACTTGGTATCTCACAGCTTCATTTATTCTTAGCTTATCGCAGACTTTACACCTTCATCTCGGATCCCGTACTGTGCTATCCTTACTACTTCTCCGCCCACCTACTTGACGTCACACAGAATGGGCCGGGAACCCGTCCCCCGTCGGCGTGCCTATTGGGCAATCCCGTCGCGCAAGGTCACCAACATCCTGGCCTTGATACTCTTCGTCGTTGTGGCTGCTTCGGTCTTTAAACTCGAACTCGGTGCGCCCTCCTTCGACCCGACTTCGCTATATCGCCACCACGCGCATCCAGGCGAACCCGATTTCTGGGAATGGGAAACGACCTCCCGCTTTCCTCACGTGCAGAACCCCGTCAAAAATGACGACCAACTTTGCGACTTGTTTCCCTCCTATCTGCTATCGCGCATCCAAGTTGTTCTGAAAATCGGCGCCTCCGAGCCGGCTGATCGCGTCGACGCGCAAATCTCCAGCGTGACTCGCTGCATTCCCAACCTCATCATCGTCTCCGATCGAGAGTCGCAAATCAAAGGCCATCGAGTTCACGACATCCTGGCCGCTCTTCCCGAATCTTTCCGAGCCAATACTTCCGACTTTGAGGCATACGATGCGCTTCAGCGAGGCGAGGACAAGACCGTGGCGGCGCCGCAAGGATGGAGGCTCGATCGCTTCAAATTCCTCCCCATGGTGGAGCGCGCACACGAAATCAACCCCTCGGCGGATTGGTTCGTCTTTGTGGAATCGGATACGTACGTGGTTTGGGATAACATGTTCCGGCTTTTGGATCAGTTTGACCCACATACCCCCTTGTATATGGGGTCTCCGTCCCCGGGACGGCGAATTAACGAGAAAGAAGTTTCTTATTTTGCCTACGGCGGCTCCGGCTTCGTCCTATCCACGGCAGCTGTTGATAAGTTGGTGTCCAGAGAGGTTGGACCTCACGGGGAGTACATCCAACCTTCATTGAGCGAGCAATACGAGGATATTATCAAAGCAGACTGCTGCGGTGATTCGATACTCGGTTGGGCACTGCATGAGAAGGGCGTAGAGCTCTCAGGCTTCTGGCCCATGTTCAATCCCCATCCACTTCATGGAATTCCTTTTGACGATGCCTACTGGTGCCAGCCGGTCATCAGTATGCACAAGACACTGTTGTCAGATATGACTGGGTTGATGCGATGGGAAAACCAGCGAGATCGCACAGTAAGCCTTTCTATCTCCTATCCGAAAACATTCCACTAACGAAGCTGTTCTAGCGCCCATTGATCTACGCCGACCTGATGGAATATTTGAAGCTGGGAACCGTCGATCATATGTCCGATTGGGACAACGGAGACTGGGGCGGATGGCAGGAACCTCCCGAGTCACCGGCCCACGGCTCTTTTGAGGCCTGTCAGACAGCCTGCCATGAGCATGCGCAGTGCCTCAGTTTCAAGTATGACTCCTCGGGACACTGTGTCTTTGTTCGCACGATGCGGCTGGGCGCGAAGAAGAAACTGGGCGATTCGTCGGTGCGATTATCCTCCGGATGGGATCTGGAGAAAATCAAGAACTGGCGGGCGTCTCACCGGTGTGAGAAAGCGATGTGGATGAAGCCCAGCACGGAACGCATCTTTTGATTTTGCTGATACCCCGGTTGATTGGCGAGTGGGTGTTTCATGTTTTGACGATTGTAAATACTATGATAGATGTCCTGGATCATGCCATACTAATGATAGATAATCTTAATTATTAGCTGTCAGATCACATGCGTGCTTTACACACTCGTATTTGCAAATGGGAGGGCTCCTTGTAGTAGTACCGCTTCCCCTCTGCTTATCACTGCCCGATAGCGATATCGTATCGCCCAGCAAGAGTTTATCGGCCGCGGGAACCAATCGGCCCTCGCCTGCCCCGGAGCGGTTCCGCCATTGGTTGTTCCTTCGCTGTTCCTGTCAGGCCAGGCTCGCCCATTCCGCCCATTCCGAGGTTCCGAGACCAGGGCCCCAGGCCCAAAAGGGAAAGTCATACGCCAGGGTTCATACATATGAGTTCAGCTTTCCCCGCATATTCATTCCCCCAGTCTGTGTGGCAGTTCCCTTCATCTTTCATTTTCCATCTTCATTTCCTCTCGCAATGCTTCCTCATCCGCTTGCCATCCTCTCTGAAGAGGAGACCAACATTGCTCGCAATGTCATCCTCGCTCAGCACCCCAACGCAGTCATTGACTTCCGGGAGATTTACCTGTCAGAACCTCCCAAGGCACAGCTCCTCGAGTTCCTGGCTCTGGAGCACTCCGGCCGTCTGAGTCCAACCTCTCCTCGTCCGCCTCGTCTGGCCTTGTGTCAGTACGATGTTATTGGTAACGACCGCATTCCCTCTTTTGAGATCTCCGTTGTCGACGTCGGGACACGGCAACGTGTGCAACATCGTGTAGTGGGGAAGGAGCACCATGCCTCTTTGACTCTGTAGGCTATCTCAAGTACCCTTTTGGATAAGTAAATACTAACGCAATGTCCCTAGGAGCGAGTTTGATACCCTGGTCGAGCGTTGCTTCGCCTCCCCTCTCTTCCAAAAGGCTCTGGCCGACTTCGACCTCCCCGAGGGCTTCGAGGTCGTCATCGAGCCTTGGCCATATGGTGGACTGGACTATGTTGAGGAGAAGCGTCGGTACTTCCAGGGTCTGTGCTTTGCCACCGATAAGCGCAAGAACAACCCAGACGCCAACTTCTACTCCTACCCTCTGCCCCTCATCCCTGTTATGGATGCGCTTACCCAGGAGATCATCCGGGTCGACCGTCCCGCCACAGGTGGTAAGGGAGAAGGTCTGACAGAGCAGACCTTCAAAAGAGACATCATTGGTCACTGCAAAGACTCGGACTATGTACCTGAGCTGCTTCCCGGTGGCACACGTAAGGACCTCAAGCCGCTGAACGTCGTCCAGCCTGAAGGTCCTTCCTTCCGCATCACTGAAGAGTCGCTCGTGGAGTGGCAGAAGTGGCGTTTCCGCGTGGCGTTCAATCCTCGCGAGGGTGCTACCATTCACGATGTCTGGTACGACGGTCGCAGTGTGCTTTACCGACTGAGCATCAGTGAGATGGTAAGTTTATATTGGCCTGCAGCAGGAATTGATAGCTGACTCTACAGACCGTACCATACGCCGATCCCCGCCCTCCGTTCCACCGCAAGCAGGCCTTCGACTTTGGTGATGGTGGTGGCGGTAACATGGCCAACAACCTTTCAATTGGATGTGATTGTCTGGGTGTCATCAAGTACTTTGATGCCGTGATGACGGGTGCTGATGGCTCGGCCAAGAAGATGCCTAACGCCATCTGCTTGCATGAGCAGGACAACGGTATTGGCTGGAAGCACTCCAACTGGCGGACCGGTCGTGCGGTGGTGACCCGTCACCGGGAACTCGTCGTGCAGTTCATCATCACCCTGGCCAACTACGAGTACATCTTCGCCTACAAGTTCGACCAATCGGGTGGCATCACGGTCGAGTCGCGGGCCACCGGTATCTTGAACGTGGTCAACATCGACGCTGGCAAGGTCAGCGAGTATGGCAACGTCGTCAGCGGTGGCGTGCTGGCCCAGAACCACCAGCACATTTTCTGTGTGCGCATCGACCCAGCCATCGATGGGCCCAACAACTCGGTGCAGGTGGAAGAATCGCATCCGGTGCCCATGAATGCCGTGACGAACCCGAACGGAAACTTCTACAAGGTCAACACCGAGACCATGGAGCGCGCTGGCTTCTTTGATGCCGCGCCCGAGCTTAACCGGACTGTCAAGATGGTCAATCCCCACAAGAAGAACCCGATCAGCCAGAAGCCCGTGGGCTACAAGTTCATCCCGCTAGCGACACAACGTCTACTGGCCGATCCCAACTCGATCCAAGCGCGACGCGCACAGTTTGCACAGCACCACGTGTGGGTGACCAAGTACCGCGATGGAGAGCTGTATGCCGGTGGGCGGTACACACTCCAGAGTCAAGAGGAAATCGAGGGTGTGTCGGATGCAGTGAAGCGAGGCGAGTCCGTGGTCGACACGGATGTCGTGGTTTGGAGCACCTTTGGCATAACCCACAATCCCCGTGTAGAAGATTGGCCTGTGATGTAAGTGACCCCCATACTATCTGCTATGGCAGCCTACTAACTGGATTAGGCCTGTCGAGATCTTCCAGCTGATGATCCGACCTGCGGATTTCTTCACGGCCAACCCCTCGTTGGATGTGCCATCCGACAAGAACGTCTCGTCACGGGTGGTGGGTAATGACTGCTGCCGCAATGCGCACATTTAAGATTTGGTAGTACTATTTTCGGATACGAATTATGACTTCAAATGTACATATATAGCTGGGATTTCGGGCATACCGGAGGTGGATCTAGTTCTGCAATGACATTCATTGGTTGTTCTTTAGTGAATGTGGTGTAGATCGAGGCAAGAAGCCGCCTCATGCCCCACCGTATTTCAATAGACTTATCAGCCTTATGCCCGATTCATTGGCGTAATGACTGATAGTACTGCCGCACCGGTTACGCTGGAATGTGGTGGCCTGGGGATAAAACTCCGCTCCGCCGACCTCGGATTGCTCGGAATGAAATTTAAGTTTGCGCCTCCCTCCAGCATTCTTTCCGAACCCCATCTTCATTTCTCATGCGCGAACACATACGTCGGAATCGCTTTGGTGTCACCCCAGTGGAGTGCTGATTGCGAGACACTTAATGTAACGCGATCAATTTGTGCCCTGTTCGCTAAAAATAAAATAAGAACTCCATGGACAGCGATCCAGCTAAGCGAGGCAGCAACACTCCGGAACCGCCTCGGAGCAAAAAGCGCGCCAAATATACTCAGGTCGCTTGGTGCGCTAATCCTCCACACATGGCTTCTTGGCTTGACTGACCCCCTTAGCAATGAGTGTAAGCGACGAAAGCTGAAATGTAGTGGCGAGCCTGTGTGTTCCCGCTGTGCTAGAGACAACGTCCGCTGCGTCTACACCGCGAATGCTCACGCTGTCGCCAACACGGCTTCTCCTTCGGTCGAGGACCCTGTCAAAGATGAAAGGTAATACATATCCTGGCCATCTCGGAACTATATCACTTACGCAGGTATGGCAGACTGTCAAGTCGATTACAGACCGTCGACCAGCAAATCGCATCCCTTCAGCGAGAAATGCGAGCCATGGCCGCTCGTCTTCGCCATCTGGAGTCAACATCCGTGACCACTCCGGCAAACAACACTAGCATTCCCACCTCCATGTCGACTGTTTCTTCTACCTCGGTCAACACAGGACTACAGCGGATTCTGAATCGTCCCAAGTCCCCCAGCTACGTCGGTCCGACCAGTGCAGAGTTTGGCCTCACAGCGCGCCAAAAGCCGTCCGAGGACAGCGATGGCGATGCGGACGAAACAGATTCGGCAGCAGCGCAAAGCCCAGCGCCTGTTCAAGACTCAGAAGCCTTGTCAGGCGACCCTCTTCGCTGTATGGGTCTGACAGAGACCCTGCGACTGGTCACAGTATACGAACATACCGTTGGCCTGATCTATCCGTGTGTGGACCTCGACAGCGTGCGCGCGTACGTGGTCGAGTTCTTCCGGGATGAGGGGAACGGTCTCAATGAGGCACGCTCACCGGAAACTGAAGACCAGGATTGGTTCTTTGCTCGGGATGTAGAAGTGCTGAAGATCATTGTAGCAACAGCCCTGCTAGCGGAATCGCACGGTCGGAGCGAAAGAGCGGCCTGGTTGGCAGATAGCGTCGAGGATCAGTTCGCTTCACGGTACAAGATCCCTGAGGTGGACATGAAGGAACTGCTTATTCTGACTTTAGTGGTGCGTTGACTTCCTTGAGCTGCTGCTCTCCCTAGCTAACCAGTTAGTCCATTTTTCATTCCTACCGCGACGACGAAGTGCTTGCATGGCGGACAATCGGGTCTGCCGTCCGGGGTGCCGTCCAACTCGGCCTACACTGCCAGGAGACATGGCTCAAAACGGGAGGAGTATTTCCAGGGGAGCTACACAGGACATGGGCCAGCCGGCTGTTCTGGTGCATCTACGTACTCGATCGGAAATGGTCGTTCGGGACGGGCTTGCCATTTGCCATCCAGGATTCCGACATGGACACGAACCTACCGGAGCCGGGCACCTCAACGCCCTACCTGACCTGCATGATCTCGTATGCACGACTCAGTTCTAAGATCTGGGGCCTCGTGGTCGGCTGGCGCACGCGGCCTCGAGCCGCGACGGCAGACTACTGCTCATACCTGGACTTCCAAGTGCAGCAATGGATCCAATCCATCCCTCCAGAGCTACGCTTCGACCCGTCGCAGCGATCATCATCCACCGGTCCCAATGCGCAGGCAGACAGCATGATGATGCTTCAAGTGCTATTAGCACTGCAAGCGAATCAGCTCCGCATTCTCGTCTACAGACAATACCTGCTCAGCACAGAGAGCATTGAAGAAAGCGTGCCGAGTGCATCCATCGCCGTCGAAACCGCCAAAAGCACCGTCCATATGCTCGACTTCTTCAGCCGTGTCTCAGACATCTATTTCCAACGTCCCGAACCATTCAACTACTTTCTCATTTCTGCCCTCGCTGCGCTTTTCCTAGCTGTGCTCCACGCCCCCTCCCGATTCAGCCAGGTCTGCCGTCCAGAATTCTACAAAGCCGTCGACATGGTTCGCCGATCATCCACTCGAGCGCGCACATCCCGTCGTCTGCAAAAGATCATCCGGAACTTGAAACTGATCCGCTCGAACCTGGGCAGTAAGTCGCCCCGACAAGCCGGGACCCAGCTGCAGCAGCAACAACAACACACACATCAAACCCCTAGGCGACAACCATCGGTATCTACGACCATGTCTGCCGCCGTACCTTTTACTCCAGTGGATACTCCCTACCCACCACAACACCAACTCTCGGGGTTTCACCCCGTTCCTCAGCAGCCACTGTCGGTATCCGCATACTGGCCGCCAACTGCAGGCGGGAATCATTCAGCTGCGGTTGATGATCAGCAGGAGAGCTGCGAGGATCTGACGAGTTTCTTTGAAATGGCGGGCGGGTTTTATTTCGATCCCAGAGCGCAGGCGGAGGTGCCTGAAGCTGCAAATGGAAACGGGACTGGGACTGATGGGGCGGGGATTGAGGCTTTGAATGCAGAGGATGAGGCGTTGACGCGGGTTATGGCAGGGTTGCTTTAGTTATATCGACACTACACAGGCGGAGTTGGGTAGCCGCGTGGCAGGCATCTACATACATGTTGATGGATTCGATCCGGTATACGAATAGATAATACCAATTCTACAATACCTTTTTGCAGGGCTTAAGCTACACAGATGGACAGTTGCACTGGGAGATAGACAATTTGATTATCTTACAATAACTAAAATAATCCGACTATTCGACGATCATATCAACCTCCTCCTTCAAACGAAGCGGCAAATCCTCCTCCTCCTCCTCTTCTTCCTTCTCCTCCTTCTTCTCCTTCTCGCCCCCCTCCCCCTCCCCCTTCGCCGCCGCCGCCGCCCGCAGCTTCACGGCGCGGGTCCTTTTCTTCCGGGCTTCCTCCTCCTCGATAGCAGCGGCCTTATCGAGGCGTTCAGCCTCGTCCAACTACGTAGATGTCATCTGTATTAGTCCCTGTTTTGTGATATGGCAATGTAGAAGTCAATAGTCTGCTCACCAACTCCTTGACGGAGGCGCTCCCATTCTCCAATTTCTTCTTCTCGACCTTCTTCGCCTTCACCTCCTTCTTCTCCTTGCGCCGAAGCGCACGAGCCTTGCCGGCGGGGACGGAGTTGGGGGCAGCCGGGGCGAGAAAAGTCGCTCTTTGAACGACTATGTTCTGAAATATTGTGAGATTGGGGATAGTGTTGTAGTTAGGTTCGAAGACATACTTGAATGGGGGCGGACATGGTGGTGGTGGTGGTCGTAGTAGTAGTAGTAGTAGTAGTAGTAGTAGTAGTAGTAGTAGTAGTAGTAGTAGTAGTAGTAGTAGTAGTAGTAGAAGTGGTGGTGGTACTGCTCTTCCATCTCCGGTCAGCACGCACAACCTATACAAAAGAAAGCAATAGCACCCTCATACATACACTCTTGTCAGATAAAAGTCAGCCAAGGAGGGAAAGGAAAAGGTCCAAATGGGCAGACGGGGAGATCTTCTCTATATATACTACTCAGCTTGTCCCACATTGAATTTGAGTGTTAAACTAGTCTTTAGCGAGCTACTACTACTGTTGCATCGTTTGGACTGCTGCTGCTATTTACATACATTACTGTAACTCATGGTGGCTGGGGCGTATAGTTCTCTGAGTGTTAGGCCATTCGTTAGTAGGCTAATGTTCTTTTATATCGCAGTGTTGTTCCTAAGATCATTAGTCTAGCGTTGTTTGATACTTGGGACAGCTGTTTGCGAGCTAACGGCAAGCTATCTTATCAGGACCTGTTCGCACTAGGCTTTCATGTCCGACAGTGTTATTTCCAAGATAATGGGGGTCGCGCTTCGCTCTCCACATCTATATTACTTTCAAAGACCATCAAATTCTTAGTCTCTAGAGAATCCAACAAAAAAAATAAGAAAAAAAATTCTACATTACCTTTTGATTCAAATATGTCTGCTAATTAACAGTCTAATTCATAGTTATCATCTTCGAAATAATAGGAAACAGTAGAATAGAATCAGATAAAGATAGTCATTTTCTTTTCGTTACTGCTCTACTTCCTCCGGATCTTCCTTCCTCGGACACACTTTTCGCGAATAAAATCTTATTTCAATATGTAATAGCAACAACACGAAGTGTTAATTGAGAATGTTATTAAATTTAACCATGGCCCATAAAACGCCGACCATTGCCCAGTTGATCTGGACTAATTTAGCAAAGCCAATAAATGAGTGCTGATAGCTCAACTACTTATGCGCGAGAGCTTATTTGTGAGAAGATTTGTTTATTTACTTTATTGGGGAGAGAAATTCAATCCCGCAGCTGACACGTACATGACGCATACCTGAAGTAAAGGGAGAGTATTAGATGGCACGCCTCTATTATATTTGAAGGAAATGTTCTCCTTTTTCAAGGTAGATTACAGTACAACGCGATTCACACGACGTGTACATCATGTTATCCTTCGGCCATTTCCCCTTGTGCACGGTCTGTGGCTTGCTTTTGCGTCCCCAGCATCGCTTGGTAAAAAGGTTCCGGGCAGGTAAACTCCTGGTCGACGCTGTTTTCTCTCCGATTCATCTAATCTATATGCTAGTCTACTGTACCAAAGCAGGAGTAAAGGTGACCAAACCATTAAATGTGTCACCCAATTATCCCACGGCCCAAATTCCAGCCCATGCGGAGGCAGATGAATGGACTTCTGCGAGAGTTCCAAAGTATGATCAGACCGACCTGTACTTCTTCCATGAACCCTGCTGGCAGCGCCTTCTGGAGCACTTTAGCCCCCAGGAATTTGACCTGAGTCGTATCTTTGAGGCGTTGGAACACCTGCCATTACCCCCAGCTTTGAATCTCATAGACATGGTGCCCGATGATGAACCGGTCGATACCGTGCTAGACGCAGTTGATGGGAAATTTCAAGGTCATCTGGATCATCCCAACCTGGATGATCTTAGGCGCTTTGCGAGAGCACCTCCCAGACCCTGGTGTCCAGTGCTGCGTTCTTCTCCGCTCGCGAAACACCATTTCGATAGTCTGCCTTTAGAGATAATTGAAATGATTGCCGTCATGCTGCCCACGCGGGACGTACTGAGCCTTCGCCAGGTATCGCGCGGTGTAGCACCGATCTTTGCAAGCTCAAATTTCTGGAAGACTAGGTTTTATCTGAACGAAGAGCGCGGGTTTCTTTGGCCTGCCGTAAGGGACTTCATGGGCGCAGCAAATCCACAAGAAGAAATCGACTGGAGGCTTCTTTACCACTCTACTAGCCAGCTTAACTGCAGTACTTGGCTTCTCTTGGAGAGAAAAATTTGGGAAGCGCTTCGTTGGCTTCGCGATACTGCCTTGGCCCTGGCCTACGGCACACCTCGTCCGCCAGACTACCGCGGTATGGCCTTACATCACTATCATAACACACTCATCCGAGGTACACACCTTGAGACGGTGAACATTGATTCGCCAGTCAGGCAGGTCGCAATCTCCGCGCATAGCGATATCAGTCCCGTGCACGTCACAGGGTTAGAATTCTTCTTCAAAGATAGACCAAAGGCCTCGTTGGACTACACACTGCTCGGGGCCAAGGAGATGTCTGGGGAGGAGTATAGAGATGATGAATCTGTGCAGGAATATCTAGAGTATCCTGGTATTAGGGTTACTGTTGACCTTGAGGAGTTGCGGGGAATTATCGCGTTGCCGACTTCTAGTGGGATTCAAAGTGTGCTATTAGTGCCATCTTTCCCTAAGCCGAAAGATCTCCAGAATCGATATGTTTATTCTGTGGGCCACACGAACACGCAGATGCGTGCGTCTGATGTGTCGCCCGCTCAAACCCTGGAACAGATCACACAGGTGGTTGCGGTCCTAGATGTGAGTACATACGAATCTCCATCACCCTCCATTGCTTTCTAATATGCTGATAAAGAGGACTATAGAATCGCAAGATGATAGATATTGGAGTTTGGGGTCGGTCATCCAGACGATGTCCGACATGGCCGAAGGGAGTACGAAAACGTTTAATTAAAGATTACAAAAAGGTCAACATGATTCCGGCGGAACTGGAGCTGAAATAACTGTTCGCAAGAGAGGCAAGACTGCAATTAGCATAACCAAATTCGCCACATGGAATGAATTTAATGAATGATAATGACGTGAAGAAATCTTTTCTACCTACTGAACAGAATGCAAATATGTTACTATCTCTGGCTCTGTGGCTAAGTCTTATCCGGGTCAATTTTTACCAACTACCGCTGTAGTGGTATAACTGCTGACATCATGTCTATAATTAATGCTGTGTATTGACACACCTCGTGTGAAGGAACAGCTTACGAAGCTGTAGATATCCAAAGTGTTTGGTGTAGCTGATACTGTAGAGAAGCTTCGTATTTACTAAATTCAATCCCATACTTCCTGTCTCAAGGTTTCGTATTGGGGTCGATTTCCCTCGCAAAGATTCAAATGATCACCAAACATGTCAGGCCCACAATGGCTGATACTTTTGAATAACACGCCGTTTAAAAGCCCAGAAGTGAGTTACCTAAACCAGCCAGTGGATCTGTAATAAGTGAATTGTTTGCCTAAGTGTTTGCATGTGTTTAGGATACTATAGACATTTCTTTTCGAGGATACCTTCCTCTCTCTTCCTTTGCTTGCATCTCTGCCTACAGCGTCATTACATCAGTGGATTTGAATCACCTAGGTAAGAAAGCTGGACTTTTTATCACACAATTCAATCATCTACTATCAACAATGGCCCAGCAGGGACAACCGCAGCAGGTAGCACCAGCGGCACCGGCGCCACAACTGCCACACGTTCCACGGGTGGGGAAAGCCTTCAACGTGCTCGTGATCCGGGATTACCTACGAAAGGTTCAGGCCTCCGCGCCTAACGTGCCCCAGGATGACTCCTCCTACGCCGGTAGGATGCTTGTATCATGGTTTGCTGTGAGGTCCGCAGGACTTGACGGCGTTCAGGGCGATATTCTTGCTTCAGACGGTGAATCTACTCCATAGCTGCATAATGCTGAGCGGGCTCAATTAGTATGAAATGGATCGGTTTGAAAATATCGTTATGAGTGTAGAGGATAGGCTTCATAGCCATCATTTCTTATGTCTTGAAGTGACTTGCCATGTCCAATAGCCCACCTAAAACTTAGAGAGATATAGATAGAAAGCTCTTATATTCGTTTATATAGGCGATACCACCACACTCGCCAAGCTTCCCTTTGCGGCGGCCACTGTGGAAGACGCGTCCATTTCGGGGAAGTTTTAGAAGCCTGTGTTACTCAAATCATACAGCTTTACTTATTGTTTGCTTGTGTGTTTGCAAGTGTTTAGGCAACAGTAGTATAGATCCCCACAAATCCATTCTTCCTTTCTCTTCCTTCATTTCTCCTCGTCCATAGTGTCATACGCGAGTTTGAATCACCTAGGTAGGAAAGCCGGACTCTTCTATCATAAGATTCAATCATCACCCGTCAACCATGGCACAACAGGGACAACCGCAAACAGTGGCACCAGTGGAACCATGCTGGAATTACCCGATCTATCAGGCGTACCTCGCCCGGATTGACCCGGCTGCGCAGCCCTACCGTAACGTCGTCGATCACTTCTGGTTCAATCTTCTACGCCAGTATTTTGCTTTATCGGAAGACTGTGCCTACGAGAGATATACATGCACTAACCATCCGAGACCCAGACGACATTGGAATGTCTTTCTAACCAACCTTCGTGATCAACAAGCGCACCACGTCATCGCCATCGAAGCGAGGTGGTTTCCGACCGACACCGCGTCCGGTTGGCAGAATGACTACGACTGGAAAGATGTCCGGGAGACACTTCGAAGTCATATGCTCCGGGATCAGACCATGCGAACGACCATGCAAACCACGTACGGTATCGTGGCAGTTGGGGACCGGGTTCGCTTTTACTACATGTCCAGGAACGATTTGGAAGGTGAACTTTGCACCTGGAACGGTAATCCTGTGAATGCCCCAGAGGCGGATGAATCGCCCATCTTGAATATTCACGACCCTATTGATCAGGAAAGAATTCATCAACTGATGCTTCGCATGCGTCAGGATATCCTCTCTGGGAACAATACCTACTAGATATGGCAATAACCACTGGGCCACCTACGATGAAAGTGATTACTATTTCTACATCTTGACACACGGAGAGTCATGGCCTACTAGACAGAAGCTACTAAATCTACAATAGCCATGAAGACCTTGCTACGGCCACGGGCAGGCCGCTGTGACTGTATTGCTGGGGCTCAGGCTCACAATATTACTTACTATTGTGTTTGTTACAAACCGGGAGAGGTGGCAGCGGTTGCTTCCTTGGAAGGGCTTGTAGTCTATGATGCAGCATGACTGAACGAACAAGGTGCTGGGTCGGCGAGAAAATGAGAAACATTCAAATCAAGTTGTGAATCCTCTTTGGTTATGGAGACATTCAAATGATCAGAGGTAGAATAAATAGGTGTCCCTGGTGGCGACCCATGGGTTTATCTATTAGATAAGTAATCGAGCGACTAGGGAGGGGATATAGTAGCATAGAAATCCCATAGGTGTATATGATCATAATCGGGGCGCCCATCTTCACGACTGCTCTCACGATGATCAACCCCCTCATTCTGCTTCCCCCTATGACACTATACGGGCTTTTCTCCGTACTTTTCATGGACAAGGCTGACAGTGCCCACGAAGCGCTTATGATGGCCACCTACAACATCGCCAGTGCCTACGGGGCGATCTCGCCCGAGATCAGCGCTCGGCTCAGCTCCAGCTGTGGGGGGATCAGCAGTTGCGGGCCATTTCCACACAGCCTTGATGATTCCAATTGGAAAGTGGAAGCTTCCCCCATCGTTTTTTTTTTTTTTTTTTTTTTTTCTTTTTCTCGTGCTTGGTGTTGATTTTTCCCAACTGCCGTGTCGTCGAGACCGTAGCCCAGCAGGTGCCCCGGTTCCAAGAGACGCATGAATACGCCTTTGGCATTGCTTGAATTGTAGTGCTTATGGCTTGGTGCGCCATTATTCTACCGGTGATTGAACGCTATTTTACGAAGTGTTGTGCGGGGTCAATCGTGATCAGATCGCTTGCCTAGAATGGTAGCCTTGGCCGCTTGCGCCCGACGAGTCAGGGTTTGTGAGGTGCCCAGTGAATTTTACTACTTGAGGACGATCCTATCCTACATGCCTGAGGCTCTATTACCTCCAGTTTATGCGTATGATCTGTGTGAACCCCATGCCGATAGAACTCGTCGTCTGTAACCCCCACGAACACTTGATGATTATATTATATACACTATAAGACTCAATATATACATATCCTGTCCAAAGGAGTCCCAGGCTTGAGCAGGTAGTTTATGTAGTACCAATAAAGCAACAATTAATGTCTCCCTCCACCATCCAACTCAGCGACAGGAAATTCCGACGGCAATTCCGCCTTCCCATCCCTTCCCGAAGCCGGCAATTCCACCTGCTCGGTCATGAACGCCCCAGTCCTCGTGGCTGGCAACTCATTCAGCCTCTGCACCCTATACCCCTGCCCCGGGGATTGATCAGCCTGCATATTTGAAAAAGCACCGTTTGCCTTCCGTCGGCGCAGGAAGAAAAGTAAGAGAAATATAGCCAGCACCGCACCCGCTGCAACACCGACGCCAATACCTGCTTTCGCTCCAGTTGATAGCCCCGATGAGCCGCTGGGTGAGGATGTGGAAGTGGGTGATGTTGTCGAAGAGGTAGCGGTCGCGGGTGAGTCTCCGGACGAGGTTGTTGATGCTGTTGTGGCTGCCGGGGTCGTGAAATCCGTCGACTGCCAGCGAATGGAAATTCCGTATCCGTTGATGTGTCCTGGGCTGGATAAGGAGCTGGAGGTGCTGCTGGTAGATCCGGCGCTGTCGGTCCAAGTATAGGCGAATTCGATCTCAGTTGTTGTGCCGGGTTCCCACGTGCAGACTTCGAGTTCGGTCCAGCCGGGGGTGTAGGTGGTTCTGGTGGAGTAGGTTTGGATGCCGATGCTAGAAATAATGGCCAGGTGTGTTAGTATTGCAGATGTTGAAGAAGAGCGCAATGGTATGATTGAAGTGCTCACGTCGGACAGCACGTCGCCGCAGTCTCAGTAATAGTCCCATCTATTACGATGTTACTGGCCGCAATGCGATATCCAGTGGGACATAGTCCCGGCGAGAAGTAGCTGGATATGTCCCATCCCGAAGGAACACATTCAGCTGTGTGTGCTGGTCCCAGGTTCATCCATGTTTTGGTACTGCTGCTGACGAGCCAGAAATCGCTAATGCACGTGCTGGGAGGAATGAAAGTCGTGGTTAATGGAACGGGGGCTGAGGCTGTGGTTGCCGCGGATGTTGTTGTGGCTGCTGTTGACATGGTGGATTGGGGGTAGAAAGAGATGCCGGGAGCATCAACAGTGGGTGCATTTGGTTGTGTGCCGTGTGAGAAGGAGAGAAGAAAGGGGGCGTAAGCTGATCAGGCTGAAAATCTCAAGCTTGGGGGGTATGCTGGAGACCCTTACTCGACCTTATGCAGGATCTAAGATGGTCGTGTTTAGCGTGACTCGGCACTCTTTGGGGGCCAAATGAAGAATGCATCAATATTAATCCTGATTGGTTGGAATTGGGTTTTGTTGATGTGTGTCCCGCCGGGTTTATAATCCGAGAAGCTTTTTGCCTGTCACAATACTCTGAAACTATCCATTGGAATGCGAGGACTTCACCATAAAGCTGATAGCATATAGATCCTACTTAGGCTTTCATTATACTGGTTTTGACTGATTTTTGTGATGCTGTGTATCTAGCTATAGTACCTCCTTGGTCGTAGAAACCTATATAAAGAGCTGTGATGACCAACCTTCGAGCGCCTTTGAACTTCCGATCATACTACTGAGAAAGAATGAAATCAAACACAATGCACAAAGTTCTTTTGATCTATCATTTGAATCCCGTGGGGTAGTCGAGTTCCACTCACTCTCCGCCTCCCTCGGAATTGTTGTGTTCGAAATCAGCAGAATCTTCACCGCTCTCCCATTTCTGCCTGAGGCTAGAATTTCATGACAAGGGCATCAATGGGTTTCTACCCTCACTACTATAGACAATTAGCAATTACAAGTACATATTCTGAAGGTGTCTCTACGTTGACCATTCCTGTTCTATGTAACTACTTACATGTCGGGCAGTTCACGCGGCTCGACAGGATTCACCTGTCGTGATAGATTCAACGCGCTTTCGAGGAATATATATTCCAGGCACCAATGCAAGTATCTGCAATCATGTAGGAGACTGAAAATGAACCAACACCTACATAAACCGTTGGAATTTCGGTGAAACACTCGCATTTTCCCACACATAGCTATGCTTATATGTAGCTTGTGGAAGCATTGAAAGCAATGAGGGCTACCAGAATATGCTAGGGACAGGAAATTGAGACAGAAACAATTGATTGTGTCAGATTTATTAAACCAGGCTGAGAAGTTAGAGGCCACATAACTGTTGTTTTTTGGTCCAGATCAATTCTAAAGCAATCAAATATCAGTGCGGCGACTACTAGCAAATTTTGTACTGCTGATCTGGTAAGATATTTTGTCAAGACGAAGGGTCAAGGATATATGGATTTGATCTGTCTAGATCTCAAGAAGATGGTTGGTGGTTGTGTTGGAAGAGGTGGTGGTCAGAGACCACACAGGAAGAAAGGCGAAGAATCAGCTGACAGCTGTCTGACTGCAGTAAATATCTCAATACTGCCCCCCAGATAGGCAGATCCGAAGCTATTATATACATATAAAAAGTTCTATCTCAGAATTTCAAGATGGTCAAGATGTTCGAAGTACTTAATTAAAACATAGAAATGCAAAGTAATCAAGATCACACGTAGGAGTACTTTGAATATAATTTTCTATAGAATTAAGCACAGAGATTAAGAATTTTAATGAGTTCTACTAATAGTATTCCTCCACAACTTTTTTCTGTGTTTCGAGTGATTCAGGCGTACGCGAGGTTATTGGAGATGCCTTTTAAAGGATTGTTTGGAGCGTTGTTTAGATGGCCGTTTAGATGGCTGTTTGGATAGTCGTTTAGATACTATTTAAATAATTATTTGGATGGCCGTTTGGGTAGCCGTTTAGATAATTATTTGGATAGTTATTTAGAAGGGTCTTTGTATGCAAGTTTTTAGATCAGCAAGCATATAGTCAACTGTTTTAATAGACTTTGAGATCTTTAGTAATTTAAAATATTAAATAAATAATAATAACTTTCAGCGGTCAGGCCGGATTTAAAAATTAAAATAATAGTAAATAAATATCGTATAAAAAGCCTTTTTACAGTAAGAACATCTTCTATATTTAGAAGATTTAAATATACATTTATACGCGTATTCAGCGTAATTTACGTCCGGAAGTGGTTTATTTTATATAGATATTAATGTTTTAGCTGTCTTTCTTTTTAGAGAGATCTGCTTTAATAGAGATTTTAAGACTAAAAGCTCTTCTTTAGATATTAAAGCTTTTGGCAGGGGCTCTGGCTCTAGTCTTAACTCTGCTTTCAACCAATCTTAGAACTTTTATATTCTCTATATAGAAGTAAATGAATAAGATCTTAGATCTTCTCTGTGAAGTCGATCTTATTTTATTCACGTAATAATAATATAATAAATTCTTTTTAAAAGTTTGAGGTATTCATCCCACTCTTCAGTGGTTGTATTAAGATAAAGAAAGAACTCAGGCTGTAGAAATAATAAGATATATTAAAGCTCTTCAGAGCTAATAATAAACATTATTTTAAATTAAAAAAGAAAAGAAAGACATATATAACTCTGCGGTAAAAAGCCGGGCTTATAACCTGTCAAGATAAAGAGTCAAGAATATATGGATTTAATCTATCTAGATCTTAAGAAGATGGTTGGTGGATGTGTTGGAAGAGGTGGTGGTCGGAGACCACGCAGGAAGAAAGACGAAGGATCAGCTGACAGCTGCCTGGCTGCAGTGAATGTCTCAACATATTTCAATAAGCGCGTCTTTGTCTTCAATGTGAAATGTGATGAGCTTCGAGACTCTTGCTCTGAACCATCACTCTATTGCTATTCTGTTCTTTTCACTTCCATAGGGATAGATGTAATAGGTGTTTCCAGGACTGGATCACTCGGGCATAACCCAATCACGAGAGAGATCCAAGTGCATCTACATTGAATTTCAGGCATTAATCCATCCAAGCTCAACCAACGCAAATGGAAGATAGACAATCCGTACTGTTTATAATGGCGCACCACAAAGCGGGAGGGAAAGTGGACCTCGCGCTGCTGATCTCCGTACCGGGACTCACAGCATCCCGACACAAAAGAAGATTTTGTTTCGCGATAAGCCCCTTCTACAGCCTTGGTCTAGAATATATTTTCTACAACACAAGCCGCGCCAAGCATTGTCCGGAGGATATTTACCGGCCATCTAGTCTACACCGTATCTTCATGGCATGATGCTTCACCGTAGTTTAGATGAAACGCCCGCAGCTACAGTGGAGAGCCAAACTCCAGCATCCCCGCTAAAGTGGGACTTGGGGAGATGATCAGCAAAGTAGTCTGCTTTTAGGTTGGATTTTTCATGTCGACACCCGCGCACATGCTGCAATATGATTATACTAGTCAAGCGTCTTCCTCTCGAATGACCGAAGAACATCTTTTCTAATATAAATGTGATTCATTGGTGGGGTGGAAAACACAGACAGCCAGGTAGAATAATGACACGGGACTGGTACCCCCATGCATTTGAAGCTAAGTAGGGCTGATCTCACAATAGTCAGTGGATCACAGACCTCACTAAATAGTAGTCTATGCTTGGCAGGACTGGTTGTCTTGGGCCAAGAGCCCGTCTTATTTTTGTTGTTATTATTTTGCTATACCACCGGCACACGCCTTCGCGAATTGATTTCTACCCTTTGAACACTTCTGAACACATTTTCTCACTTGATTATCCCACACCAGCTGAATCCGAATCACACAAAACAACACGTTCAATATGGGCTGGTTCCCAGTCGGGCTCGAGGAGGACGAGAACAAATGGAAGTTCGACATCATCCCGCTGCTGGCGGTCATCGGCAGCTCAGCAATCCAAAAGCACATGCAGGCCATCACAGCCTCTCCCTTCGCCATCTTCCCCCGGTTAATGCCCGCCCCTGAATCGCTTCTCGACACAGAGCGACCGACGCGGCCACCATCCGTCAAAGATGTGAAGATCGTCGGTGTCAAATCAGGCATAGAACTGGATGAGCTGAACTTTTTCGCGAACCTAATTCACAATGTAAACGACATGGAAGAATACGAATTCCGCGTCTACAGAATCAGCTACGCTACTCGCGACTCCGAAGAAGGACAGAATTCGAAGATTTCATCCAAGGTGGAAGAGAGCTACCGACGAGTCAACAGGCATAGAATCCCAATCAAGCTCAAGACTTTTTGCTGGCTCAATTTTGTTACGCTCGTTTCAATTCTCATCACTGTTGGTCTCTATATCTGGGCGGGCTGTATCCATGATGGCACCGCCCTTGTCGGGCTGGCAACCATGTCTTTGTCAACCAGTGTAGCCAGTCTATCGGCGCGGTGGTACCCGCGCCTTAGTGGCCGTTCGTCGCAAGCAGAGGTTCCCAGTGGAGATGTGATTATTCGCACCAGGGCAGGTGCTTTCATTCTTGTCTATGGAGATGACGATGTCATTCGCGAGTTGTACGAGGGCATGGAGGACTGCGAGTACATGTTCAAGGGGAACACGCATCACCGGCTGCTAGGAACTAGCACGTTATTGCTCATGGCGTCAATTATCCTCCTGAGTAACTGCGGTTCAGAGATGCAGATTGCCATTGGTGTGGCCTATATTATCCTGAATGCACTGTACTGGCTCTTGGCATTGCTGGTTGAGCCACGCGATCTATGGGACATGAGCAGATATAAGATCGAATTTGTCGAGTGTCGCCCGAGCACTCCTGACTCGAGCTATACGGAGACGTTGTGGGCTGTCATTAATATGACAGGAAGTGTTGATTGGGTGACCAATGGCGAGTTTACTCCCCAAACGCCTGCTTGGGACCAGTGGTTGCAGGAAGCAAAGGAGCATATTGGAAAGGACTGGGATCCTGTTAGGAGGAAGGATGAGTTGATGAATCCTAGATTGGCGTATCGCAATGGACGGTGGTTTGACTAAGCCACGTCGTATATTAGTTACAAAATGGCCTTTAAGACAATATTAGATTAGACTAGAGCCTGTAGGATAATTGACAAGCTTCCACGATACTCGTGCTGCCTGCAAGTACGCTGGCATGTACCACGTTGCCCTACCACCCAAACTTGGGTTCTGTAACCCACGCTGCGCCAGGAATAGATCCTTTGACTTACCAGCGTCAGTAGTCTGGCAATCCACCCCTCCTTTCAAAAGTTTCACACATGCGCTAGGAAAGCCTCATATTTACACGCTGCGTGAAACAGCCTTTAAGGATATAAGCAAGGTTCTCGGCACTCTGTTTGATAGGTGCATTCTGACAGTAGTTACGGCCTTCAGTCTGATCTCTTTCATCTTTCTACTACCCTGCCGTTTATCTCTCCCTCCTCTCCCCCCATTGACCCTAGGGTTGTGTATCTATACATAGCCAGCCGTCGGTGACAGAAAGCGGATCGATTATCAATGACTGGGATGCGACCGAGGAGCGGAGGCTTATTCGCAAGTAGATGCTCCCTACTGGCCCAATCGACGCACCCAAGAGAGTCGATTTCTATGTCCTCCCACTCCTGCTCGTCGCCTTTTCTTCCTTTGCCTCGATCGTTCCAACATCAGCAACGCCCTCACCGACCTAGGCATCACCACCGCCCAGGCAACCCCAGGCAACCAGCTTCAGCAAGCTGGCATCGTGATCCTTCGAGCTTCCCGCCAACATGCTCCTAACCCGCGTCGGGGCTCACCGTTGGCTCGTCTTCCAGATGCTCGTACTGACATCCCTCAAGAGGAACCACTATCTTTTCGCTGACAATATAACCTAAATTCTAAGCATTGAAATGTCGCACACCGTCGTTTTGTGTAGGTATATTCGTACAGCAGGTCCAAAAATATGTATATGTACACAGTAGATACAACAGGCAAGAATCAAACTTTCACACCTCTGATCGCATAACAGTCTATCCAAACGGTGAGCCGCCAGCGCCCCTGCTAACGAGATTGTTGCTCGGCACAAGTCAAGTCCTAGTTTCCAGGAAACTTCTTGTGATAGTTGACAATCTCAGTTTCGGCCTTCTCCAAACATTTCTTCCAGTCTGAAGCCGAGCATGAAGGAAGATCACGGAACTCGAAAAGGGGCAATTGCTCCGTAGGATGGTCCAGGCGATGCTCGGTCAAGTCCCCATACCCTCCAACTTGGTTATCGATCATTTCCTTATCAGCATCTTTAAGCAGATCTTTGCCATCCTTCAAACCTTGAATCCATGCCTTGACATTGACAGGGCAGGACTGTGAGCCGTAGCAGATGTTAATCTGCAGTTTCTCGAACTTGCCATTGATCGTCGTCTGCCCAGGGTGCCCAGAGCAATACCGCTCATCAACACTAAATCAGATATTGTTAATCAAGATTTCACCTCAGGTAACGTAGTTGCACCAAACTTACGCGGCATATTCATGTGCATCGTCGATAGGGTTTTCATAGCAAGCAAGCTTGTTCACAATAGTCCACAGATCCTTCTTTTCAAGCTTCTTCTCAATGAGCTTGTACATCTTGGAGAAACTTGTTCGCGGCATGATCGATGTCAGTTCCTTAGCACTCTCACTGTTTCGGACCTGGCTGCCAGCCTTTGCATAGGAAAGAAGAAGCGAAAGGTATCCGCGAACATCTTCGCCAACATCCTTGGTAAGGCCACCAGGGTTCTCTTCGAAGAAGAAATCGTTAACCCAGACCTTATTCTGGATCTTGCTACTTGCGTATGTCATGAGAGGCGAGGGCTTGTTAAGTTTGGCTTGCTTTATCAGGTCGTTGATGGCCCCAAGTGGCATTGGGGAGGTGATCTGACGAGACCAGGCTGAGTTCACTGGATTTGTGCCCACCTTGAGACTCCAAGGGTTTTTCTTATTGCCAGCAATTTCAACCTCCTGGCCGCTCTTCGGGTTCCACTTTTTCTGTATCAGAGGGTGGTCAGTTAGTCTGCCCCATACGTCTCCCACTCAGATGCTGTGTAGCTATCATACCAGATCTTCATAGACCTCCTCTGCTGCAATTGCAAGTCTCCCTGTTCCCAATTTGATCTTCTTCCCATCTAGGATATACTCTGCAGGTAGATGTCCCACCGTGCCTCCCGTGGCATCCGCTGTCAACTCCCAGTCTTTACCAGACAACTTGGCACCATTGCCGTCCTTGGCCGTTCGCAATGTAACAGCCTTGCCTTTGGCGTCGATACCAGCTTCTTTGACCGCCTCTTTCTCTTTCTCTGACAATTTGTGCACATCTTTTGTGAAATAGATACTCCCAGATTCGAACTCAACGCCGATGCCCGGAGAGGCTACACCCGAGCGTTCGACAAGCTGGTTGTCAATTGGCGTGGCAGTACCGAATTGAAAAGAAGAAAGGGACAAGAAGAGTAAAGCCGCATGCCTCCAAGAGATAGTGTGAGAATACATTGTATAATGAGAGGATAGAAGATAAAAGGCAAAAGAGTGATACTCGCTGGTGGTGATATCAATACAATGACCAGTATCCCCAGCTGCCTTAATATACTTTTTCATGCAAGGTACGCCTTACCAAAGGCAGAACAGCTTGAAAGCTATCATGGCTCACAAGCTATGAGAGTCGCAATGCAATGGCGGGTCCAAGGCTACAATGGCCCTAAGGATGTAACGGCCCCGAAGCTATAACGGTCCCACCGAACTTCGCCTATGCAGATACCACATGGTATCTTCGACATTGCGCACCTTATCCTCAACTAGGGAGTGGAGGATCTGCAGTCTCCCAGGTCTACTGACATTATGAACATAACATGCAACTAGTGGTACTTGGATAAAGTGTCTAGAGAACATAAAAGGTGGTACCCTAGGTGCTGCCTAGGGTCAGTGGTAAGATATAAACCAGCTCATACAGATAAAGAGGTCTTTGAAAGGCGTTAGGTCATAAGTGAAGTCTCATGAAGACCCTGAAAGCATTATGAGTATGGCCCCAGTAGGATTTTCACAGGCCCCCACGTTGACCCTGAACCTACTGTGCAAAGAGCCTCCACTAGGCTCCGTACAGGCATCCACATAGAGCCTGAATGTCTCATATTCAGGATCCCAATTAGGCTTCATGTAGGCCCTCATGTAGACCCTGTTCCCAATATGGATAAGGCCCCCAAACGCTTCACAATGGCCCCCACGTGGACCCTGTAGTATGGGAGAGCCCCAACTAAGTCGCACGTTGACTTGATCCGAGCAGAAATAACCCTTATTTTATTGCAGAAAGTCTCTGATCAAATAACGAGACTCAAAACAACCGCAGTACATATCATATAAACCCAGTGTAGGCTGTTATTCAAGGAAAAGAGCCTATCACATAGACCCAAGTCAGCCGCTGATGATTATATAAGCACTAATCAAACACAGAAAAAGCCCCTGACAGGTTTCCTCTTAGCCCCCAAATTTGCCCTGGATTTAGTGCGAAACAGGCCTTGGCTCAAGTCTGAATATGGGAAGGCGTATTGAGAGACCGGGCTGCTGCAACAGTTGTCGCGGGTTTTTTAGGTCCAATCTCTAATCACATGATCTTGGACCGTCTAAAAGGCGAACAGAGACAAGACGATGCATGATTTATTCCTCGGCAAGTCAAACTATCCCGGAGATTCGTTCACCACGCTTATCATGCACTCATTCTCACAATCAAGTCCCATGCCTACAGAGGTCATCATCAGGATATTCGGGGAACTCACTCTTCCGGATGCGCTTCACTTGGCAGCGACTTGCCGTCGACTGCGCCAGGTTATGAAAGAAAATACGCCTGCCATTTACAGACGCCTACGCAGACAGATCCCATGTGAGCGATATGCAAGAGTCGTACTGGCAGATCAAGGGGGCCCGCCACCATATTCGTCTTCTTCAATGACTATCGCGGATCTTTTACGATTGCGACGGAACTCTAGGGTCGTGGAGAAGGCGATCGAGGTGTTTGATCGTGATATTACCGCGCATATTCGGAGTGAGTAGACAGATCAAGAGGCACAGGAAGTACAAGAGGCATGTGATAATTGAAATCTCTTACAGTTTCTCTTAAGAGCATCGATGACCAATTCTATGGAGGAAACCCACGTCCGCTGTCATTGACTCCAACAGAACGCCATCGGTTCACTCGGAGCTACTACCAAGTCTGGAGTCTTTTGCTCCTAAACCAACGATCCCGACAAAAACGATATCAGAATATGTTGCTGAAGCACTTATACATGATCTACGAGATGACTGATCTTGACCAGCCAATTGGGGACGAATCGAGATCTTTCCCAGCTGACGAGAAGCGATGCGAACTGCTTCAAGAAGTAAGCGAGTACCTCCGTGATCTCTACCACAACATCCATGGAGTTGACTACATCGATTTCTCGGGGCAAAGTGTTTCCATGCGTACGCAAGGTCATGCAGCTATATGGGACCATTGCCAGCCCGATTTCAAGAAGATTGTTTGCTACCAGTGGCGAGATCCAGAGAAGAAACCTGTCCAGGAGGAAGAGGTGTGGGAGCATACAACTGATGAAGAATGAACTTAGAGTAGCCAAGACTGCCAAGAATCTACCTCTAATTACAGGCCCAACTCGCATGTTTCTCGAAGGACCTGAATGTGGTGTACCAAAGAAGACCAGTGCAGGCTACTCGAGGTTTAGCTCATAACTTCGCGTCGTTGTGCATTTGACTCGTTGTACGTAAAATCCTTTATTCTTCTGTATTTCTCATTGGCCATTGCTTTCAGGAGGACGCCGTGAAAAACTCAGTCAACCAACCTGCGTCATCATATTGAAATTTCCGGTGCACATTCCGGATCTGATAGACCGTATCACCCAAACTATACCACATCATGAATTTCTTTATCTCCGCTTTAGCAGTCACAAGATATGATTCAGAGCCGTGAATACTCCCCGACCTCCTATCGCCCCTCTTCTATATTTTTTGGACATTGATTAGATTGTGCAACCTGTACGCATGCTATATGAACCCGTCACTACAAGCATAAAGCACATACGACCATAGAAATGTAAGGTAGGAGATTTAGCCTTGCTTACTTTATTCAGTTGAATTTACAAAAGGGTATTCGGTCCTTTAGACTGCATCAATGTCCTCTCATGGTCGGAAAATATCTCCCTATCTTTGCTGGCATCGTCGCTCGATCCAGTGACAACCAAACCCCCCACCTTGCCGGGTGCAATCGGCCAAAGCATTGTTTCCACCCACACATTTGGCACAGCACCGCCTCTCGACGTCGTTCTCATTCAAGGCGGCTTGGCCACAATGGGATGCAGTCCAATTCTCCAGGAGATCATTATATTCATTCAACGGGTCTATCCACGGCTGAAGCATCTGATCACCGTGTGTACTGGCTCCGGTTTAGCCGCTCAAGCTGGAGTGTTGGACGGTAAACGTGCAACCAGTAACAAGAAGGTCTTCAAGGAAATTATGTCATTGAGGCCTCAGGTTCATTGGGTCTCTCATGCCTGATGGGTTACCGATGGAAACATATGGACTTCGTCCGGAGTCAGCGCGGGCATTGATGCCACCCTGGCTTAGATTGAGGAGGTGTATGGAAAAGAGAAAGCGCAGGACATTGCAAATGAGATAGAATATTTTCGGCATGAGAATGCAAGTCGTGATCCATTTGCCGGTTTGCATGGAGTTTGAGGCTTGGACATGTCAGGAATTATGATGTCTCGTCAATATAGATTACTCTTCTCAAAGACAAAAAGATGCGTTTTCAAGCTTGTTATCTCCCTCATATGTATGACTTGATCATCGGTAAACGGTATGGAATTTGTGTACCTGTACCGAGACCTTGTTTTCATTCCTCACTGAAAGAGTCTTGATATGTGAGTTCTCTTCCCTGTATTAAGAACATGAACATTGGTCAGAAAATACCCTTTTGTAAATTCAACTGAATAAAGTAAGCAAGGCTAAATCTCCTACCTTACACCTCTATAGCCCTTACTTTAGAGCGACTCCGCGGTAGAAGGTAAATATACAGTAGATAGAAGAGCGATCTTCGTAGATTATTAAGATCGCGACTTGACCTAGCATATATTCAAACCTTCCAGTCATCCTAGCCGCCAGAGTAATGTATTGATATGCAGGGGCCTAAACTAAGAAAGGTAATGTCACCTTTCAACTCCACAATCAACAACCAATCGACGCAACTCCCGAGCAAGTGGACGCCGTCCGTCTACCAGCCGTTCCGTAGGACAGGCAGCCTTTAGGTTGGGTCCCTTATCTGCAGCCGCGCTTATCGTATTCAATGTATCCTAAACCTATTTGCATGGTTACTACTATTAATCACCGTCTGTATGTAACCACAACCTAGTATTCGCAGGCTATTGTTTGTGGCATATCTTCTGAATCCCAGAGTGTGTTTTAATTATGCTTAACATCCTTGATGAGCGCATGAATCATTCGTTCAGCACTACGCAATAACGTCCGAGCTGAAGGGAGGCCTCTCCTATCTTCGCGAAGACGTCCTTTAGTGGATACGCATGTACGAAAAATGAAATAGTCGATATATCCAACTCTACATAGACTGACCAATCTTTTTGAATTACAATTTTCTATATTCGGGTTTTTAGCAATCATCCAAAGTATAGTTGCGTTATATGTATTGCGCTTTTGGCGCAATAAGGCACTGAAAAGACGGTTAATCAGTTGGCATTGTTGTTAGGCTCGTGTTGCATAATATTGGTGGACGGGTAGCTTGAAACGCTCGTAACCAATTACTGTTTTCATTTGAGTTAGAGTTTCCTTCCCTAGAATTCGTTTTGATCAATTATCGGCCCGGATCGTGGATATTTTATAGTATGGGTTTGATACATCAATAAAGGCTGCAGCATAACGAACACTCAAGGGTTCTTTTATTATCCAAGGCGGAAATTGCAAGTACAAAAATATCTCATACTGTCGCAAATTTGGAGATAAATGCTTTAATGAAACGGCTGTTATTCAAAGTGCTTCAGTTATCTTGGCCAGTTGGGTACGCAACTCGGGCGGATGAGCGGCCAGTCCGGATAACTATTCGTTAACTAGTTAACTAGCCAAGTGAGCGGCAACTAAACCCCCGAGTCATAGCTTCAGGATCAGGTACTGCTAGTACATAGCCCACCAACCCTAAGTTACACCCACCAGCACCCAACCTATTTACCGCTTCATCAAACAACACCCCAGTAACCGTTTTTCTTTACATCCTGGCTATGTACGCCCGCTCTCTCCTTCGCCATCTCTTCCTCAATGGTCCAAGGTGTCCATACGTATCCTGGTGGCAGGTTGGTATTATGGAATTCTGCACCACTTTCGAGGCACGAGCGGGCTCGATAGAATTCTGTGGTCGCATATTGCTCAGGATTGTGAGTCCAGATCCACTTGCCCTGACGCAGCACGTCGTTTGACATTTTGTTGTTGATCTCGCTCCGGTTATTCATTCCAGTCTGCTGCACGACGGATGCGCGTTGGTATCTGCGTGGCAATACATTAGCAATGCGTCCGACTGGTCAAAAAGCGCAGGCAACCGGCGCCGGTCAGGCTCTCACCTAAGAAGCTGGTGTACTTGGGTTGCAGTTCCAACATCACCTGCCCCCAGCCGTAGGCATTCTGCAATTGAAAGCGCATCTTCAATGGCCATCGTCGCTCCATTCCCGGATGTAGGAAGAAAGCTATGTGCACTGTCTCCGATCTGCACAATTCTCCCGCAAGGCGAAGTCCATTTCGGCTGCGGGTTGCGCATCACCAATGGCCAGCGCACTATGCTGTTATCCGGCGCATTGCGGATAATGTCAGCGATTACCGGTTGGCAATCAATGAACTCAGGATGCTCTGACAGAACATAGTCGCTTGACACGGTTGCGGACCATGACTCGGTTGCGGTTCCATCATCCTGGTAGAATAGATTAACATTTGACGATTATCAAATGGAGCGTCCGTGGCCAACCTTGACTGATAATCCCAAGGAGACATAGTCTTTGGCCATCGTAAGCGCATAATGAAGTTGACCAGCGGGCCCCAGTCGGATTTCTGGTCTCCCCATCTGCTGATAAAGCTGCTGGAATGCCGGGGCGTTTGCTAGCCGCGAAACGGGGCACTTGAGGCGATATATAATAAATCCGGTGCTGATAGCCCTGACTTCCTCACCGAGGACAATCTTGTGCGACTTGGTTCCAATCCCGTCGGCAGCTATCACAACGTCCCCGCTAAAGCGCTGACCATTAGTAGTTATAGCTGTTGCTCTCTTGCTGGGACCATCCTCCTCGTAGTCAACGATTGGAGTATTGAAGTGTATTGGGATGCCAAGCCTCTTGCATTGGCCTGCTAACATCTCGGCCAACTGGGAGCGAACGATGAGGGGCTTGATGCGAAGAGGATAGCATACATGTTGCGCGACACCGTTTGAGTTATACTCATATTCTGACGGAGGAGCAACAGGTCTTCCATCCTCCCCGCAAAAGAGCCACACGGGATCGTCAGAAATACGATCCCACTCCTCAAACATCGACGGGTACTTCTGCAGCGAGACCCAGGCAGACGGACCAATTCCGACAACGTCGCCTAACAAGGGTGAGCCGGGCCATTACAGAGCAGGAATAAATTCTCTTCATGGGGACCACGCTTACCTGCCTCAGAGATGTTTGCTCCCCTTTCAACAACCTGCACATCATGTCCCTTTCTCCAGCATTCGAGAGCAGCGAACAAGCCCGATATCCCGCCACCGACAATTACAACCTTGACGGATGTTGGAGGGTACCGGAGAACGCCATCTTTGATAACATTGCTTGTGAAGGTCGACCCACCGCCATTAACTTCATCGCTGTTGGTACGTGTCATTTTGCTCTCGCTTCCAATTTTTGCTCTGTTGTTCCTGACGCATATCCTTGACTGTCGGGGGGACTTGGAGGCTCTTATAGTTCGAAAAGAGGGATAAAGATGATTTTGGTGAGTAAGATCATCGGTCTGCCGTCTTTTTGCGGCATAGGACCGGGGCCAGACGGCTGTCCTGTCTTCTACACAAACCTGAAGGTGCAGGGTTTCCTAGTCTCATATTGACGTGGGTGTACTTTCATTAGGTGCAGCAGCTGTATACCCCCGAGATTCCGCTGAACTCCACACAATGGCTTGTATAAGGTTGTTTGGAGAATTATGCACTGCTACCAGCGTCGTACTCATCGAACTGTACCTGTCTGCTAGCGGTTTGTGCTGCCTGATAGCTACCTGGTGAGTACCATCCACTTACCGGAGCTCCACACCGTAAGTCCCGCTATTTAGCCTTGCATGTCTTCATTCGGCTCGGAACCTTGCGTAGGTTCCGCTTATTCAGCACAGTGGGTTAACTAACTAACTTACGAGTTGCTGATCTGCAGTTGAATGACGGTATCTCTGTGATTGACTCAGAAAACACGTACCTTTGAGTCGGCCAGGAACATCACATTACGTTGCCCGGTGAATCGATTGGTTCGGCAAGTCAATCTGAGCAACCGTGTATAGTCTTCTTGGTGATTAGCCTGCAATTGGAGTGTCACATGGCTGCGATGGAGGTAAAATGAGCGACTCCAGGCGAGTGTACATGTTATTATGCAGTGCAACAAGCCGTGATATATAACGACGCGTTTGTGCCTGTGGCAAGCAAGCCATCCTGCATATTCAATATCCGGTCTTGTCCTTGCTTCCATCCGAGGTTCTATCCGAATCATGTCTGAAAACCACGCGATAGTGTTTGGTGAGTACCTGACCCTAGTAACTATTCTTAACTACCACCGAAATTCACTAATATACGGGTCTAGGCGCCAGTGGAGTCAATGGTTGGGCTGTGGTGAACGCTCTATTGCAAGGATATCCATCCGAGGATGCCTTTGCATCTGTCACAGCATTGACAAACAGACAACTTAGCTTGCAAGACACACTATGGCCGAAATCACCCAAGCTAGATCTCGTCAGCGGAATCGATCTGCTCGTTGACGCAAAACCAGAGACCTTAGAGGATGAATTGAAAAGGAAGGTGGCAAACGCCGACAAAATAACCCATGTCTACTTTTTTGGTGCGTACTCCCTTATCAGTAACCACCTTGCGAGCGCTAATCAATTTAGCGTATATTATGGATGCCGATCCGAAGGCGGAGGTACATAAAAATACAGAGCTAGTGAAACGAAGCGTACTTGCCATCCAGAATGTTTCGTCCCACCTCAAGTTCGTTGTTCTTGGGACTGGGGCCAAATCATATGGATCTCACCTTCTGGAGCAGTTCCCATTCCGCGATCAGGTTCCGCTCAAAGAGTCGCTACCGCGAATGCCCGAACCATTCGCATCGCAGATATTTTATTATCATCAAGTCGACCAGCTGTCTTGGATTTCTCAGGGAAAAAGTTGGTCCTTCTGCGAGCTGATGCCTGACCTGGTTGTCGGCTTCGTACCTAACAACAATTATTATTGCATGGCCCAGATACTTGCTACATATTTGGCTCTTTACGCTAAGATAAACGGCAAGGGTAGTGAAGTGGTCTTTCCAGGGACACAACGGTCATGGGAATGTTTGTCACAGGACAGCAGCCAGGATGTCATAGCAAAGACGGCCATATATGCATCCCTCCACCCACAAGAAACTTCAGGACAACGGTACAATGTGACAGACAGCGCTAGACCGGCGTCTTGGAGCGAGAAGTGGCCAGTCATTTGCGAGTACTTCGGGTTAAGGGGCACAGGCCCTCGTGATGGTGTTGCCGGGCCTGTGCCGAACGAGTACCTAGTTGAGCACTACAATGAGTGGAGGGAACTGGAAAAAGAAGAGGGCCTTAAGACGGGAAGAGTTGGCAACAACAAGAGCTACGGCGACTTTGCGCGTGTTATGATGACCTTATGCAATTTAGATCGACAGCTAGATATGAGCAAAACTCATGCGATGATGGGCAGTGCTAAGGTCGAGACGGACAGCAGAGGAGCTTGGTGGACGGCATTCGATCGCTTCCGTCGCGCAAAGATTATTCCATGAGTAACGCGCGGATGTAACTACGTTTGTTTAGTATTTGGTTACCACGTTGGAATCTTTGTTCTGAAATTGCAATTATGTCCGTGATATCATGGAGATTGACGAGATAACTGAATTGTAGGATATCTGGCATTTTCGAGGTTGGGCAGTAAGGAGAGACAAGTTTGTTCCCTATTTAGACAGAAGACAACACCGCCAAGGGCAGTCGATGACCTCACACCGTTAAGGATGATGCGATAAGAGAATTCTCCGCCCCTGCAAGGAAAGCTCACCCGAGGAACTTCCGCCCTGAGGCCGTCGAGGTTTGATAATCAGATGCCTATGCGTGGGTATGCAGTCCCTCTACATACCCGCGAGCCGCGCCTCTTCCGGGGGCGTACGGTTTCGGCGGGGAACATTATACCCGTGAGGACTGCCAATCTTGTATTGGATAGGAAAATTTCGAGGGGTTCGCCTTTCGACCCCACAGAAATGGTTATGGAAGGACTGAGTTTGGTTCTCTAAAAACATCTCGAGAGAAAGTGACTGGTTTGCTATACGGATGTATTTATGCCTTTGAGCATCGTCTAAAGATCGATCTACTGCTTCATCCTCGGTGGCCTGCCAATTGTATTCCCCATAATCGCATTCCAATATGTTTCTACCTATTTGGCGAGGTACAAGTCGTGGTGGCAACAAAGGAAGTCACAGTGTTCCACTGCTCAAATGTCCAACGAACAATTGCTGGCTGGCACTCTTCCAAGCGATGACCCGCAGCTCGTTCTGAACGACTTAGCCCCGGTGACTTCAGATAATTTCGTAGATATTGATAACGACTCAATCAGCCGATGCTCGGGGTTGTAAGTCCCCAATGAAGCAAGAAGTGTTAAGCCAATCCCACTTGCCAGGAGCGACCTCGAATCGTGGCCATGTCTTTGTGTACCAGGTTTTGCCACCCTCGCTCGCCGAGGCGCAGTCACCATCAAAGATCGCCTTTATACTTGATTGACTTGCCCCGACCAAAGCCTTCATTCGTGATAGATATAGGTGTACCATCGCTTGCTTGGATGCAGTATTTGGCGGAGACATGCACGACTCCATCGGGTCGCACAGCTTCCCAGTCTCCGCCACCAGACAAAACCTTTCCTGTCAGACGCGGTCCATCAATGGACCCTCCAGTAATTGCAATAAATCTTCTGTCGCCGTTGAATATTGCTCCAAAGTCGATTGCTGGGGCAAGCTCGACATTTATTTGTAAAGGCGTACTTTTGAGTTGGAGTAGTCATAGTGAGAATTTTCAGATAATTCAAAAAGATAGGTGTTATTGCCTCTATCCTCCAGCGCGTCGTTGTACTTAGGGTAGGGATTGGGATCGAAGGCATTGGCTTTCCCCTGCGTACCCCCGCTTGTGTCCGCGTCGCGGATATTAATGTCCGGCGAGCCAACAAGTCCTTATGAAGCCTTCTGGGTTATGTCCAGTGTATGCACTGACATGCTCTCGTTACCGTTGTCCAATTGGAAGCTAACGGGGGTATAATACGGGATATACAACCTCTTTCAACTCATTGTATCCCCACCATCCGTGCGGTTTGATGACGAAAATTCCGAGGTCCGTATTTTTTCGCGTATCGGCCCCCTTATTAGTGGTCGTCACGGTGTCTGATACGCCTGGTTAGAGGTACGGACGGCCGCGGTCTGCGGCTGATGCTTCCCCGAACTCACGCATAGATTATGGAGCCCGTGTGAACAACAGGCGATGCTCTTAAGCCAAAGCTAGCCAGCTGCAGCTCGTCGATTTGTTAAAGTAGAAGATCGATGATCTGCTATAACTCTCAGGTATTTAGTTACACTGTTTTTCGACACACAAAATGTCACTTGCCGCAAGTATTGTTATTTTGGCGGTGTTTGTTCTATTGGCTCGCTATGTCGTACGCTTGATGTTGGATTCCGTTTCACATACCAGAGCAATTCCAGGGCCCCTTTGGTCACGATTGACGAACCTATGGTATTTGCGTCAAATGGTCAAAGGAGACTTTCACAATACCAATATCAAACTTCACCGTCAGAAGGGTAAGATGGATCTGCAGGAACCGCTGCCGACAAATCCACGGGCCATGTTACATTCGTTGGTAGATGTTGCTAAAGCTAGTATTAGGAACGATAGTCCGAATTGCTCCGAACTACTATAGTTTGAGTGATCCAGCATGCCTCAAGACTATCTATGGCCTCGGAACGAAATACGTAAAATCATCGTGGTATGATGCGTGGAATACAGAAGAAGATCTTACTTGGACCAACCTTTTCTCTGAAAGAGACCCGAAGAAACATGCCGCCAACCGCCGTAAAGTCGCAAGCATGTATTCCATGACAACGTTGACGAGCTATGAGCCTTTCGTCGATAGTTGTATTGGCCTCTTCCGAAGACAGCTTGATCAGGCGGGCAGCTCGGACTCCGCAGTCAATCTTGCGCACTGGGTCCAGTGCTACGCCTTCGATGTCATAGGATATATTACAGTCCGTAACTCTGTCTAGTCATGTCATGGGTCAACAACTGACTGTCTCTCTTTAGTTCGGAGAGCGATTCGGGTTCCTCGATAACATGCTAGACGTGAGCAATATTATCAAAAACCTCGATGCTGCTATTTCTGCAGCTTCGTATATCGGCTTGTTTATCACGCTCCGGTCTCTCATTATGAAGATACTTCGCATAATGGGGCTGCTAGGCACGGATGCTTTAGCAGACTTCGCTGAAAGAAATGTTAAGATGGGTGGGTCGAGAAAAGCTATCTATGGCGCCGAGACTATTGGTTCCCATTCACCTATGCTGAATAAACTCCTGGAAGCTAAGAAAGCTGCTCCCGGAAGATTCACAGAATGGGACATCATGGCCAATGTTATCTCCAACGTGGGAGCTGGGAGTGACACTACAGCTATCAGTCTCAGTGCTGTATTCTATTTCATCTACAGTAATCCCGAGACTCTCCAAAGGCTTCGCGATGAGCTAGAAGTTTCTGGAATTGATGATATCCCGAGGTTCAGCGATACGCAAAAACTTCCGTACTTCCAGGCGGTGATGAAGGAATGTCTTCGCTTGCACCCTGGCACGGGGTTTCCGATGTTTCGTGAAGTTCCTGAAGGGGGTGCTATGATATCCGGCCAGTTCTTTCCACCAAAGGTAACCTAAGTCTAAGGGCTGTTCGCCTTCCATTCCTATTTTAGTTTGATTAGTTTGATTGGAGTTAACAGTCTCTACGTATGTTTGACTCAGTCCAATGTCGGCGTGAACAGCTGGGTCATACATCGAGACAAACAGATCTACGGTGCTGACGCGGATGAATTTCGACCGGAGCGGTGGTTACATGCTAGCGAGGCCGAAAAGGCGCTCATGGAGCGAAGCTATATGCCCTTTGGTATGGGCTCACGGACCTGCATTGGAAAGAACATATCCTTGTTGGAAATGAACAAATTGATTCCCCTGGTGGTACGAGAGTATGATGTGGAAATTCTTGGTCACGGGCAAGGGCTTAAGACATGCAACCACTGGTTCGTAAAGCCAGTTGACTTCATGGTGCGTATTTCTAAGAGTAAAAATCCGGGATAGGGGAGGCAGAGTCAAAACGAGGTCAAGATACTAAACACCTAAACGAAGTATTGGTATTTATAGTAACGTTTTCAAACCGAAGGGAATTTGGAAAATTAACAAGTCGTTATTCTCGCTATTTGAAAGCTGGAAGTTCAAACAATTGTTGTGTACTTGGCATATTTCCTACCAAGCCAGTTCGGGGCAAAGCTGCCTCGCAAAGGTTCTGGCGGGTGATAATGTATCCCGTGTAGAAATCCGCTGGCTGTTCTTTAGCGGAGTAAGACGCAGATTCCGGTCGCCGATCCATCGATACAGAGAATGGCATTGGCCCCCTCTTTCCCCGCTTTGCCCGGATACCGCAGTTTCCGCCTCCCGATACACCCGACCATTCTTATGGCCTTCCTCCTCCGCTGTCTTAACTGCACAATAACCGGGTACCAGAATCCTGCAATCGGTCAGCCCGGGAGCCGAGTAAGGGGGTTAGGGATCCTCGATCCTCACCCAAAGATCTGAGACCTTGCGCCTTCAATATGTTCAAACCAGAGCCTCTGCGATGCTACACTAGGCGGACTGGAAATTACTAGTTCGGCCATATGGCATCATGCTTTCTGCAGAGTGGGCTTCCTGAGATACACTATGCAACTTTGAGTAGACGGATGTAGGAACTAAGGCCCACGAGTCTCCTCACCGTTTCGGTAATACCGTAATTATCCCTGAAAACTATGTACTCCGAGAGGACGCGGCCGTGGCTCGTCTTGACCGCGACTCTCCCTTCCGCATCTTCACTGTCTATCCACTCTGCATAAGCTCGTAGCAAGACTCATAGGCCCCTCGTGCGGGGAAGTGAAGCCGCCAGGCAGGTGGCTGATCTCACTCACACACTTCGATTCCACCCGTCAAAATTCCATCGAACCTTTGTCCATCTTGACTCAAGAGAACACCATCAGTTTGTACACTCCGATCATTTTGCGAACCCTCTGAGATGGAAGAAGATCGTCGTCCGAAGAAGCGAGCACGTGTCTCTGTGGCGTGTCGTCAGTGCCGGGACCGAAAGACTCGCGTAAGTCGGAGCAGCTTCCCCCAGAGAGAAGTATCATTGACAGCGCCTCTCAACAATAGTGCAATGGAAACCACCCCTCTTGCAAACGATGCGAGCAACTGGCCATACCCTGTGAATACGATCAGCCCACTGGCGGTGGCATAGCACGGAGGTAAACACTTTCATCAGGACCCTGCAGGTGACAATGCTTATCATGATGACAGATCTGACACGTCCGGGCTGCTGTCTAGGGTGAAAGAATTGGAGAGTCAACTAAAGTCTTTCGCAAGATCTCCCCATGCGTCTCGGCGAGTATCTACCAGTGCAGATGGGGCACTCGATGAAGATAGTATCAGCCTGGAAACTTACGACCGACGAAACTCTACTACACCGTACTCACCAACCAGTAATCCGGAAGGCGGCGCTGCTCATCATCCGGTCAATACGGATGGTGTTGATGGTATGGGAATAATCACACTTTCGGATAATGCCACGTTTTCATCGTATTTTGGTAGGCAGATGCTACATACAATTTGCGGGGATAAGGTTTGCTTACTTCTGTCATAGGTCCCTCATCCAATGTCGCACTCGTCTACGAACTCACTCGAGTGCTAAAGACTCTCAGTGGCGCACCAGTAAATTTGGTGAACCTTCGCGCGGAAGGTGTTGAAGCGAGCAACAATCAACAAAATAATCTAACATCCAGCTACTCTTTAATACCGCGTGATATTACAGTAGCAGATGCTCAGTACCTGCCCCCTGAGCCGGAAGCCACCTCCCTTCTTCATGAATATTTTGACACCATCGGCCTTTTCTTTCCTTGCATATATAGAGACACGTTCCTTGCAAAATATAGGGACTTCAGAAGGAATGACTCCAGCCATGCCAGTCGATCGTGGCGAGCTTTGCTCTTTGTTATGTTTGCTGTGATGTATCAGATGAGAAGCTTCGCCTCTCCTACAGATGCTGAAGACAAATTGTCTTGGGAATATCTTCAAAGGGCCCTTAACCTGGCAATGCCCGAGGCGGTAATTAATTCAGACTTAGAGACTGGTATGGCGCGTGCCTTCTTAACACTTCCACAAGAATCTGATAGCTTCAATTTAGTGCAACTGCTCTGTCTCCTGACTTGTTATCTTCAATGTTCGACAAATTCAGCTCAGACATGGTCCTTTCATGTGCTTTCTGTCAAGGCAGCCATGCAAATAGGCCTGCATTCCCTTGAGACAACCCAGAACTTGCCACTATTACAACGTGAATTATGCAAGAGAACGTGGTTCTGGTGTGTTGTGAATGATACGTAAGCAATGCCCCCAACCCCATGCCTTGCTTTCTCATATTGACTTGTTCGTAGTTTAGTCAGTGTTTATCTCGGCCGGCCTCCGGTTGTTCCAAAGTCTCTCATTAGCAAGAATCTTCCAGAAGATATGAGCGACATTTTCCCTACTTCTAATCAGAGCCGCACGGTTGCCATGACTAGTTTGGCATACTACAATGCGAAAATGTGAGTGCAGCTACTTTCAACCCAGAGATCCCACTAATCACGTGCAGTCGGTTGGCCATGATCATTTCTGATATATTGGCTCAACTCTACGGTGACAATATGGCTGCAAACAACAGCATGGGTGTTTTTGAAACTCTACGTTCAGCCTTTGACTTGTCTTGGAAATTGTCTGAATGGCGCAGTTCAGTCCCTGCTCAGATCCGTCCCGGCAGTGTTATAGCTGCCCCTGAAATCCCACGGGCTTTGCCGATGCAACGTTTCCAGACCGGCTTAAGCCTATATTTCCACGCCGCGCAGGCTCTTATATATCGCCCCGTACTCCTAAGGTTTCTCCAATACAAACCAGATGGCACCAACGCTACCGAGACCTTGTCCCTCCTGAAAGATTCAGGCTTCTCGACCATTAAAAACTGCATGTACACGTGCAGCGGAGGTGTTGCACTTGCAAAGACTATAGTGGACGAACAGTTTCTTCCAACGTCGCTATGGGGAGCTTGGTGGATGACGAATTTCCTTGGTATGTGGCCCAACTCGGTCCGCCTCGCGCGTCCCAGAGATCCATCTAACCAAGTTGCGCAGTCTTCAACGCATCTATGATGCACTTTGGTATGCTTCTTATAAGCACGCAATCGTCTTTCTCAGGTTTAATGGCAACAGAAGACATCGACCTTATCCTTTCCGATTTGAAGGACGCGAGTGAGGTGCATCGCCGTTTAAACAGGAATAATCTTATTATCTCGCGTTGTCGTGAATGCTTGCACAATTTTCTGGACCTCTACAAATCCTTCAGAGACACAACATCTCCCAAAGGGATAGGGGCATGGGAAGATTTGACCTTATCGCTTCAACAGCCCGAGTTTGAAAATACCCATGGTTCCCAAACGGCGACCAGTTCGATTTTGCCAAACCCTGGGCAGGATTTTGCGTGGTTTGATATGGAGGCTTTCGCTGGGCCAATGGCATAGCTACGGACCTGCATCTCTCAAGCTGAATGCGACACAGCGAGAGCTGCGGAGAGTGGAATTGAATAACATCACATTTTATGCAAGTAGTAACAGATCGCAAGTTGTACTCAGTCTGCAAGGTAATCTAGGATTTTTCTAGACCGAACAAGATAAGGCATAATGATTCTTGCACGAATGAATGATTGTCTTGGATGTTGCCCAATCAACTCTTACCCCACGACAGCGGATTTTCCCCTTTGATTTGGCCACCAGCTGCTCATATGAGTGCTGTGGTCAAAGCCGCGTATTCCTTATAGCTTCCGTAAGGGGTCTCGATGACGTCCAAATCCCTGACTTCCCCTGGGATAAGATGCCATTGGGATCTAGTGTCTTCTTAATAGTCCCCAGTGTGCGATGGAGGACGCCATTTCCCCAATCATAATGTCTCCGAACTTCGTCCATGAAGTGGATATGTGTGCGATATTCCGAAACGCTGGACCTCTCCACGCCGTCTTTTAGTAGCTCATCAAACAGACTTTTAGCCCTAGCCGCTTCAGCCGGGGTGTATACCACAAGCACAATGCCTATAATATACCGCCCATAAATATGGAAGTCTGAAAACAGATCAAAACCTGCCTTCTCAACCAACGGCCGTATCCTAGAAAACCACTCCTGTAGCTGCTTTCCATCTGGGGGGAAGAGCGGCGAAAAGGCAATATGGCCACCCTTGGCTCCCCTAATATTAACAAAATCCTTGGCGGTAAGACGTGGGTATCCGGTGTGTGGTATTTCACCCATGGGTAACTCTGCAGCATTCAAACGACCGCCAAGCTTGTGCTCGTGTCTCTCGGCGGTGGCCGCAGCCCCTGGGATAGCGGCAAAACGCTCCTGTACGATGGTCCAACAAGCGTCTATAAAGGCACCCGAAGCGCCATAGATAGCAAAATGGGCTTTCCAGTAGCCCCAGCCCTGTTCTTTTGCAAGCTTTGTCATGTCAGCATTTGTAGCACAGCCACCTTCTACCCCTGGGCCCACCGCTCTCTCTAACACAAGTGGGTCTTCCGAGGACAGGGCTTGCCGGTATGGGTTTGCGATCGAGGCGTGGTTTTGAACGATGCCTTCCCTCTCAAGAGCGGACATAATGCGTACCAGTGCGCCGATGTCTTCTTCATTTGGAACACTGACTACGCAGTCCATAAAGCACGCAGGAGCCGGTGTTAGATGGATCCCAATCTTGGTAACAACTCCTGTTCGTCTATCAGCACAGCTACTACCCAATAGATCTGCCCTGCCTTTTGCTTACCTAGGTTAGACTGGTAAAAGAGACCATCTACACTGGGCCCATAGCCACTATTGAAAGGTTAGATATTTCATCGTAGCAGTGGTCTTCTGTTTGGGAACCCGACGACTTGCTTACCCTTTATACAAGGCCCACATAGGACTTCCGGACAGGGCACCCATCCCAGTTCTGAGAACCTCTCCTGTGGCAAGAACAACTTCCATGCCACATTGTTGTTCCGCATGCTCGCCGTTCGGCGTGTAGCCAAATCCTCTGTCGAGCGTATTCCCAACTATCGAACCCCAACCTAGCGCGGGGCATGATGGCCAGAGCCGGTAGCCTCTATCTTGGATGTATTCATAGAGATCGAAGAACGAAACTCCAGGTTCGACAATAGCATAGGCGAATTCCTCGTTTACTTCGATGATTTTGTTCATCCGGTGCAAGTCAAGTATAACACTTCCAGGGACAATAGCGCCACTCCCTCCATAACTGGTAGTTGTTTGTCAGAAGGCATTACATCGCGTTTGATCGCTTGACGGAACAGAAAATCAAAATAGAAAGTGACCGAGAGAAAACAAACCAGGAAGAAAATGTTGACATACCCAAGGTTCCGTCCGCGGGAAACAATCCACAATGGGAGCTTATACTCGTTTGCAATCTGTAGAACCTGCTGAATCTCGTTGACGGATTTCGGTCTCACTGCGCCGCTGGGGGTATGATCGGTTGGGTTCCCCAGAGGCCAGAGATCGTCATAGAAATTCTGCCCCTGTGGTCCTTCGAGATTTCCATACAAGTGATTGCGCGAGATGTTGGGTTCGCCGACAATTTCGCTAAGCTTGTCTAGTACCTTATCAAAAGTCGACTCCTCTAGCAAAGGGGGCAAAATCCGTTTGGTGGGCTGCGCCATCTTGAAAATATTTCTCCGACTTTCGATACCTGAAGCAATGTCTTCTGGATAGATTTTGTAACACAGGCGACTCTATCTGATTGGAATGAAGAAAATATTAATATAAATTTTCTGAGGCCTTGGCTCGCTTTCTTGGTACAGCGCCGAAGACGCAGGACATACATACCCGTGCCGGGTGTGCGAATAACATACACCCCCGGCGTAGAGACCTGGTTTGGGGATCGGTTCATTCCGAGTGCAATTGGTTCCCGACATGAGCGGGAATGTCAACCGAAGAATCCCATTTGCAGGACAATATGGCCCGGGTGCAGCTGGAAGACCAACATAGTACACGTGTGTCGGCTTGCCACCGTGGAAATAGAAACGGCCGCCGCGCTCGGGGGTGGATGGGGATGGCCGGGTATAGTCTGTCCGGTCTGTGGCTCCTGAGCCAGCCAATCAATCCCCGCCGATATACACCACGCAGGACGGGAGGATGCGTATTTCTTACAGCACACCTCACCTCACAAAGTTCCGAAATCAATGATTTCCATCAAAAGTCTTCCGCAGTCCAAAATGACACCGTCGCAGATGATCCCACAACACTTCCCTTCGCTTCCCCAATTTTCACACTTCATGAAACCATCGCGTTTCGAGGGTGAGACAAACTACCTTGAAGTGATAGGCACAATCCCACCAGAAGTGCGTGGCACATTCTACCGGGTTATGCCGGACCCGCATCTTCCTTCGCGAGTCGAAGATGACCCAGTATAGACGGCCCAGTTCTGAGTCTCGGATTGAAAGTTTCTTGCTAATTTCTTTTATTCAAGTGGTTCAATGGCGATGGCAACGTCAGTGCATTTCGTTTTGAGTCTGGCAAAGTACATTTCAAGCAGCGCTATGTACGCACCGAAAAGTTCATCAAAGAATGCGAGGCAGGGAGAGCACTGCTAGGTAAATTCCCTTTCTTTTTCTTTTCTTTTCTTTCTTCTCTATTAATTTGGCGGCCATCAGGAAAATACAGAAACAAATTCACGGACGCAATCGAGTTCACAGTCCGCACCACTGCAAACACAAACATTGTCTTCTTCAACGGCAAGCTGTTGGCCTGCAAGGAAGATGCTCTACCCTATGAAATGGATCCAGTTACCCTTGAGACTATTGGCCTCTATGATTTCAACGGCCAGTTGCCCAGTCTAACATTTACAGCCCATCCAAAGCTGGACCCTGTCACCAAAGAATTAATTGGCTTTGGCTATGAGGCCAAGGGTGACGGAACGCCAGATATCTGCTATTTCTCTGTTGACCCCTCGGGAAACTTTACCGACCTTGTCTGGCTTGTTAGCCCGGTAGTGGCTATGATTCATGACTTCGCAGTGACAGAGAATTATGCAAGTCTTCACTATAGAAGATTAGAGTCGCGGTTGCTAATATGACATTGTATAGGTCTTGTTTCCTCTTATACCCCACACATGTGATCTCGAGCGAATGAAGGCTGGCGGCGAGCACTGGCAGTGGACACCAAACATTCCTCTCTATATCGGTGTCTTGCCTCGACGTGGAGCAAAGGGCTCTGACATTAAAGTAGGGTTTTGACAAAGGGAAAGCTATGAAGACATATTTCTGACTATTCGAAGTGGTTCCGTGCTCCCAATGCGTTCCCGGGCCACACCAGCAACGCGTTTGAGAAAAACGGGAAGATCTTCTTCGACCTTCCTGTTGGCAAGAAGAACGTCTTCTTCTGGTGGCCAGATTCGCAGGGCAATGCTCCCAGTCCCCAGGAGGTGGCTTGCCACCTTTCCCGCTTCATAATCGACCCCAGCTCCGATAATCTGGAGCTACAGCCCGCTGAAATTCTATCATCTGAAGATGTAGAGTTTCCGAGAATTGACGAGCGTTTCCTTTCTCGTGAACATAATCATGCCTTTTTCTGCCTCAACGACGATACTGCACCAACCATTTGGCCAACAGTGGTGGCGAAAATGGGCGGCGGCCACCCGGTTTATAACTCGATCGGAAGATTGAATTTGAGGACGAGACAATTCGATAAATATTTCCCCGGCAATAAACACTTGGTACAAGAGACCGTGTTCATCCCAAGGTCAAGTGGTGCCGCAGAGGGTGAAGGATACCTGCTATTTTTGGTAAATAACTACGAGACCATGTTATCGGAATTGCACCTGGTCGATACAGATGATTTTACCAGGCCGCTAGCCGTTATTTTACTCCCGCTGCGTTTACGACAAGGCCTTCATGGAAATTGGGTAGATGATGAAGATTTGAAACAAGCTCGATACTGACTTCACCAAGATTTTTTTCTTGCCTTATGGAAGTTCTTCAATCAAACTTTTATTGTCCCCTTACCTCCGAATATCTGTAATGATGTAACCCCCCGTGTACTGTCAATCCTGAAAGGGGTGCCAATAAGGGTCCGCAACCATGTACTCCGTACTCTGGACAGGATCCTTCCGGGCGTGATGCTTGTAAGAACTTTAATCATTGCGGGAAGAAACGAACCGAGGCTGGCATAAGCCATTAGCAGTCTATAAGACCACTAGACTATATTTTCTGAGCGAGAAACAACAAGCACATACGACCATAGGGTGTGGAGAACAGGGCTTCCCGTCCGCTCAGCCGTACTTAAGCCACACGCCGGGAGGTTAGTAGTTGGGTGGGTGACCACCAGCGAATCCCTTCTGTTGTATGTTTTTTGCTTTTTGAACAATTTAATGTTCACCTATGATGTGTGAGAAATGGCCGGTTTTGGGGAATCTTCTGTTGACCTGCGGAAGCAATGGCCAGGGTGTAGATTGTCCGGCAGGTCAAGGGTAGGCTTGAAACTTTTTTTAATGTAGGGGCTTTTGGTAGGCTCTTGCTTCCTCTTCGCTTTTCGAGAATCCAATCTTGATCGCCAATTTGGGAATTTATCCCAGCGTCACATGTTCGCAGATGTTGTTATGGCCAATTGCCACTGAAACCTACACATAGGAAGGGGATGTAATATCCATGAAGCACACACTATGATCACGCCATTCATATTATCTTCCTACAACCGTCTACGGAAATATCCAGGTAGGCTACAAGCCTAAATTCGTGTCTGTATGCGATTGCGTGGATTCTGCATCAAGACCAATACTCAATCATTTCTCGCACTTGAACCCTTTTCTCGTTCACCAGGTTGTGAATGGATTATATACCGAAAAAGGAAAGGCTCTGAACCAATTTGTTCTATCAAGCAAGACCCCCAAGAAGATTACCTTGCATGTTATCTCTTTCATACGACGTGCCTTTCACACTTCCACATTTGCTCTCTCAGTGTTATACTCCATGGCACCTGCCTCTCCGAATCGATATTTTCCCCGTATCCATTGCCATATCGCTGATCGATGCACCATATCTCGAGCAGAACCATCGGCCCATATGGCGGTCACGTCCAATACCTTTTCACTGCCAACATCTAAATCAAGTTCGCCTTAGGATTTTGGCCTCACTCGATGTGACATTTGCAATATCTCATCACCGTCGGGTACAGCGAAGCCGCACAGGTGATACCGGAAGGGCCGCAAACAGGGATATTTTCAAGTACGAGGCGGGTGCCTGGTGGAGTGGATCACCGCCCTCATCACAAAGAGTAATGTCAAACATGTTGATGATTCTCGTCACTGCTCCAAGTGCCTGAAGATGTACCAACTGTACAAGTTTAACGTTTGTCTTTGGCAATGCTTGAGGTCCAACTTACCCTTCTTCCGGCTTCACAGGTCGATTTTTGGTGACCCAGTTAGTATGTACTATCTTGGTCAATAGGGGGCGCACTCACGACATTTCCGACGCCCTGCTCCGAAGCCACAAAATGCAAGGTATTCTTTCATATGTTCTGCACGATCCGACAAGAAGCGACCCGGGTCCCAGCGCTGTGGATCAGGATATATGGCTGGGTCCTGGGACACCTCTTGAAGGTCGTAGGTCTGGATCATTGTCAGGGGCTATGGTAGGGGTTCACAAAGCAGCCAGGACTTACCGCATAGGCTCCAGACGGTATCACCTCGCCTGTGTCTCCGATAGGAATGTCTTTCGGGCTAATGTTTTTACGAATCGTGACCAACCCCAGAACCAGTCGAACAGTCTCCAGAAGACAGGCATGGAGGAGGGGAAATTCGTGTTCCCAGGTAGACACACCCAAGCCTTGCAGAACTTGATCTGCAGACTCACCATCCTTCCTATGTTTGGAGACTACTTGGTTCAGTTCTTGACGGACCCGAGCCATCCAATGTGTATTCGTAGCAAGCATGATCAGCATCCACGAAGTCACTGTTGGGGAGTTCGCCTGTGACGCAAACGAGATTGAAAGCAATGCCTTATGAACTCCAGTCAGCCTTTCTTGCGTGTAAGACAATTACGAGTCCCTTTGCTAACCTGCAGCATCGCCCTCATACTCCGTCCCTTCGTTATCAGATCCTGAAGTATGCCCACGTTCTCGGACTCTTGTTTGTGTGACAGCGGCTGCTGCTGCTGCTCCTTCTTCTGATTACCGATGATCTGCCACAGCATCACATACAGTCGCGCTACACCAATCACCGTGCGAAGATGTGATGGATTCAGAAGCCACGGAATAACTATATCGGTTGCTGAAAACGTTCCCTCCAGTAAGCCTAGCAGCTCACCTATTTTCCTGGACAGTTCGGGGGAGCGAGCCACCTTCTCGACTCCCAGCACTGCCATGGTGGACTGCGTATAGTACAAATTCATCTCAGGGAAAGGATCAATTAGTCCTTCGGCCTCAAAGTGATTCAGAGTTGCGGTGATGTACGTCCCTATAGTCTGAGGAACGAACTCGAGGCTCTGCGTGCGCAACAGCCGCGTGCGCAATGTGCTCCGAAGATACGCAGTATGCGTATCGCTGGAAGGATCATTGGAAGCTTCAACCAAGTTTACGAATGGGAGAAGCACAGCGACCCTGCAACGCGTAATCGAAGTGAGTAGCTCGTTTTGGGTCATTGTGTTTGGATGGAGGAGCAATGACCTACCCTTCATCCACATCGAGATCTTGGCTTTCAAAGAAGACCTTACGGCCCTGAGGACCGCATAGACCAACCATTCGATGACGGCCAAGGTAATAACTGTAGTTTCCGCTGGGAGAAGCTGCCTTGGAGATACGACAGAATCCATTTCGATCAGAGAAAAACTGAAGAGCGCCCAGCAGCGGGTATCCCGAGACTAACTTGGGGGCATTGGCGGGAAAGGGATGCTTCCAGAGGAGCCTTAAACATTGCACGAGTAACATGACAGCAATAAGATACAGACACTGGGTCAGCGCATAGCAAGCCGCGCCGAACATGATTGTGATGATACTATTCGAACCGGGCTGTGTTCTCCACATGTTCTAATCGCAATATATATATATCTCAAAGCGCCACCGATGTTTACGCTGAAGAAATGGGGTTCCCACAACCTAATTCCTCTCGAACGGCGGGATTCCCTTGGCTATTGAAGATATTGTGTCCAGGCTGCATTTATTATTGAAGCATAAGTATTCGTGATGGGCGGTGTGCTGGTGGACATGACAGGTCGACCGTTGCATGCAGCCATCACCGAGACGTAGAAATTCGTATGCACTGCGGCCCTAGGAGGGTGAGACGACAGCAAGCAAGTCGTAATAGCCCTAGATTCAAGTTTTTACTCAGACAAGCTCGTATTTGTCGGTTCTCGTGCATAGTCCCTCAGCAAATCTCATATCTTGAAGTCAGCCACATCCCGCCACTTTGCGAGATAGATACTTCTGCTGCCTTGTTATATTTGCAACGACACACATTGCATAATTTCTATTGCATTTAAACATGGTGATGACGTTGTCACATTGATCAGCTGAAAGGAGTAAGTAAATGGCATCCTGCCTGATCGCTCCGCCAAGGAAATATTCAGTAATTACAAATCTTCACGCATATTAGTGATCAGTGATAGATGTGACTGAGAGGATGGGCTCCACTGTGGGACAACCCTGACGATTTAAGAAGTTGATACCCAGCTTTCCAGATGGACGGTTCGATATCCACAAATTCAAATCAGTATCTCTAGCTATGGCAAGCAAATACGCATTGAAGACCAAAAACTGTCTGGGTGACAAATGTCACAGCAATTCTACGGGCCCATCCTATATCAAAAAGACTGACACAGAGGGCTGGCATCTGGTGGCGACCCAAGAACTGGGACGCTTGAAATGGGTTTATATGAACGACAAGGAGGAGCGCAAGGCTCATCCCCAAGATGATACCACCAAGTTCTTTCTGGATATTCCCATAGTATGTCTCACGCAGCTAGCTCTCTTGGGGTGGTCGGGACTGCTAATTTGAATATGATCCAATTCAGGGCAAGCCTAACTCAGGACCTGCAAAAACGGCCTCCGAGGCCATCCACAAGGGCACCCAATTCCACATCAAAACGCAGGTGCGTGACCTGGGATGCTGGGCCGCCGACCTGAGCTGTATCTTTTTTGTGACCCCAATGCTGGTCATGGCCTGGTATATTACTGGTGCTCAGATCGATGAAGCCTACGTGATTGAATTGATTCGCTTTATGTTCAACTGCCAAAACCCCGATAATGGTGGCTGGGCGACATACTTGGAGGAGGACCCTTCGCCGATGGGGACTACATTGGTCTATATTGCACTGCGACTCATGGGGGTCCCGGCTGACGATGAGCATCTCCGCAAAGCCCGGGAATTCTATCTCGGCCACGGGGGCGCACTCTACCTGCCAGCCTGGGCCAAGTTCTGGCTTGCTATGCTGGGACTGTATGACTGGGCGGGTACTGACCCTTACCCTGTTGAGATGTGGTGAGTTGGTTGTTTCCTAAACTCTTTGCGGGTCAAGGAATTGATGGTATTGACTGAATGTCAGGCTCCTGCCCGAATGGTTTCCACTTAGCCCATGGAATTGGTTTGTAATTCCACGCCAAGTTTACCTGCCAATGTGTTACCTCTCATCTCGAAGATTTACATTGTCAACCAATGATCTGTTAGATGAGATTCGGGCGGAGCTTTTTCCACAAGAATTCTCCTCCGTTAATTTCGCCGCATATGAAGGAGTAGTCCGCCCGTCCAAGCGGCATCAAGCAAAGAGTTGGATTCTGCACATTCTGAATTGGATCCTTACCAATGTGTGGGACCCGTGGCTCTGCCCCAGTTCATTGAAGAGAAAGGCAGAAGAACAAGCGTGGGACATCCTGCAAAACATGAACAACGCTAGTAACTCGACTGGAATCATTAGTATGGACGCTTGGCTGAACATGATTGCTGTCTACTGCGGTGAGGGGCCTAGCTCTCCCACTCTAAGGCGCATGCAGGAAGCAAGCCTAGAATATCTTTGGATGGGTTCGTCGGGAATGCAGTCCATGAGTATCCATGGGGGCCACGCGTGGGACACGTCCTTGGCGCTGCAGACGCTTGTGTATACAGGGCTTGCCGATGACCGTGATTTCCGAAATAACACCGTGCAAGCATATGAATACTTGATACAGCAGCAGCTCGTGGATGACTGGGATAATGCTAATATCTGTCATCGTCCTAGTCGTCTCGGAGCCTGGTCGTTTACGACCCGTTACCATGGCAGTCCGTGCTCTGATTGCACAGCCGAGTCACTGAAAGCCATCTTGATGGTCGAGAGTCAATTGGGTTTACGACAAATGAAGGAAGCTAACCTCCGTTTGGCAGTGGATAATCTTCTGATGATTCAGAATGCCAGCGGGGGCTATAGCAGCTTCGAGCCCATAGCCGCGGGCAACTGGCTGGAGTACTTCAATGGGACGGAGATGTTTGGACAAGTAATGACAGAACATGACTACGTTGAGTGCACGTCCTCCTGTATCACAGCACTGGCACTTTTTAGGGCTCGAAACGGCGAGTATCGTCGCAACGAGGTGGATCAAGCCATTGACAGGGGGGTAAAATTCGTCGAGACAAGTCAGCGAGATGACGGGAGCTGGATGGCTTCTTGGGGAATTACGTTTACATATGGTGCTTTCTTTGCTATGGAAGCCTTGCACTATGGGGGCCGAACATATGAGAACTCCTCTGTGGTCAGAGCAGGATGTCGGTTTTTGATTGACATGCGGGAGTCTGACGGAGGATGGGGAGAAACATTAGAGGTAAGTACATTACAACTGCTGCTGTCGCGGAGCTAACACATGCCGTTTAGTCTCGTATGATCGGCAAATATGTACACGCACCTAGATCACACACCGTCCAGACTGCATGGTCCTGCCTCGCGTTGATGTATGCGAGATATCCCGATCCGGAGCCTATAAAACAAGGAATTTGTCTTATTATCAGCCGACAGAAGCCGAATGGAAAATGGGAACAAGAGTATCCCGTCGGCAGTGGCATGCTCACATGGTAAGTTTGCTAGAATTGCCTGTTAATGTGAGTTTCATACTGACCAGCAGCAGTCATATCCAATATCATAACTACATATACTCTTTTCCAATCCGGGCTTTGGCAATGTATGAGAGGCTGTATGGAAAGGGGTACAATGTATAAGATATAGTACATGCAGTATACAGTTTCCTTAGCAGGTATTATGATGGAATGAATGACGAATACCAGATATAGTGATGGGAGATACGAATATGTCGGGTTTATGTATGTCCTTTGGAGAGGTACAATGTGCAGGATCCATACCTCCAAGAAGAACTTGAATGATATCATTCATTGAATGGTGTAGCGTACAATAGAAACACGCTTGGGCTATATATGCAGGCAATAAAAGACCTTCGTTCTTGGCTCCGTCGAGGTGGTCGTGCAATTCTTCGCAACTAATTTCACCGCAATGGTCCGCAACATTCGCGAATCTGCCCTGCTCTGACATTTTCATCTCAATCAAGGGGAAAGCCTGTCACACAGTGATTTCGTGTGTTGAGCTCCATCATCCCGGCCTCAAAAGAGACTACCCCGAAACTACTTCCCAGTCTCACACAGCGGCCCGAACCACGCGCCCCCCGTCACCTCTTGCCAACCCTCGTTTCCAACGCACCGCCAGCACCAAAACACATTTTCTGGGTCATACTTCTTCTTGACAGATGCAAGCCAGTCGTATTTGTCTCCAAACCAGTCTTTTCTCCAGTCCGGGTCGTACGGATCAGCCTCGTTTAGATAGGTGCCCATGCCCGGAGCCATGTCCTTCATCGCTTTCAATTTAATGTTGGTGAGGTCGCTTCGATATTGTTGGATCTCCTCGGTGCCGGCATTGTCGGGCCAGGCATCGATTTGCTGGAATAGGAGGTGAGAGCTCCGCCATGCTGGGTTCACGGACGTATGAGGGACGGGCTCGAGAACCTTTCCACCGGCGACGATATTGAACAAGGTTGCCCAAAGGGTGCTGTTGCGGACTGTCTCCGTGGTGACTGTCTCAAGGAGGCTCGTCAGATTCTTATCAGGAGACTCCAGTGTTTGCCTATCGAAAAGCCATGACGCCATAATCGGCCTATTCGAACCGGGGGTTGTGTGGTGCGTGCTGGAGTAGTATGCATGGAATGACGGGTAACTGGTGAAAGTGGATAGAACCAGATACGAGGTTCCGTTGTGCGGCAGCAGGTCATCCAGGATAAGCCGGTTCATGGCGTTTTTGGCGCTCTCCAGAGTCTCGGTGGAATTGTTGTCAAGCAGGTTCAGGAAAGGATGTGTATAGACCAACGGTCCAGCTATAGCCGAGAGAATAGCGGTGCCAGAGTACCCTGCGTCGGAAATAGCGGGCAATTTCGACATTATGTTGCCAGTTGCAGTGAGAACCGCATCGTCGTTTCCGTGAAGTGCAATGACGTCTAGATTATGACCCAGAACAGGACGCGTCGGGTGGGCTTTGATCGTGGCCGATAAGACCACACCATAGGTGCCTCCACCACCTCCACGGAGGGCAGTAAAGAGGTCTGTATACTGGCATGCGTTGGCCGTGACAAGCTGCCCCGAGGCCAGGACAACATTGTATTCCAGAACCTGGTCTGCCCCAAGTCCGAAGAAGTGGCTTACGGGGCCATGGCCACCCCCTTGCATGAAGCCTCCAAGAACACCGACAGTCTGATCCATTCATCAGTATGGTTGCGTATCTTTCCTCGATCTTGTATAGTGATTAACTTACCGGATCCGCTCCACCAACAGCGATGACATTATGCTTGGCAGCAAAATCGTAGACGTCCTCCCACACGTATCCACCACCTACGGTGATCGCACTTCCAGTCCAGTTAGATGCACAAGAGCCATTTCCAGGGACGTATCCATCGTGAAAATGAAGTCCATCTTTAATAGACTTGATCCAAATGGAGAGGCTGCCGTATCCTTGCGATCTAGTATCGTCAGTTTGCATACAGTCGTAAACTTCGACGTCAAGCCCTTACCGCTGCGAAATGTCATGTCCGGTGTTCTTGATAACTAGCCTCACATTGTGATCCCGCGCAAACTTGATCCCGGCAGCAACATCCGCTGCCGTTGTCGCCTTGACACTATACACAGGGTAGTTGCCCAGGTCGCATTGGGGGTAGCCAGCCAGCATGGCGTTGACAGGGGGACAGCTTTCCACGAGCGGATAGCTATAGCCAACCGGAAAGGTTGCCAGGTATTCATTGTTTGTCCAGTTGGAGCTGATATCCTGGCAGAGCTCGGAGCTGTACCCTGGGCCGTGGTAACACGGTCGGGCAATCGGTTCGTTGCGCGCAAGCTTTCCATTAACGGAGCTGTTCAAGGCGTTCCATGTGTCGGCAGATGGCCAGCAATCATCAGTAGGGGACTTTACCATCCAAAAGTTAGACGCGGTGCATCATTCAGGACGTGATTGGATAATAACATACACATTTGCACTTAGCAAAGGCAGACTGAGCTCCAGCCAGGAGCAGCAGACTTCGAAGAAGCATTTTGGTGTTAAGTTACCTTGATATAATACTGCTGAAGTTGGATATGGATTGTTTCCAGCCATGAGGGTATTATCGAACATTTATATTCATTGTCTCTGCCCATCGCCGAGCCAGTGACGTCGTAAGCAGCGCAATATATTGCGCCCACAAACATGGAACACAGAACGGAAATTATTGTGTCATTTCAGTATTCCGAGTCCCTCCTTTCACGTTAATTCTATCCAGGCGCCCCACTTGATGAAGTTCTACATCATCTGGGTAAATCCTGGGGTACTGTAGACATTGCTCCACGAATTATCTTGGCTTTGTGACCGGCCACACCTGCGGTATGGGGATTGCGCGCCGGGACTAATCGGCGGCCACGAAAGCCTACCCATCTGACAGCTGTAACCTAGTGAATAAAGTGAACATAATTGCTTGGAATGATCCAAGGCCCACAATGCACTCAGACTGTGATATGATTAGTCGCAGCGGAAACATCTCTAGCTGACGGCGATCACTCAGCCTCATGGGGGCCATGGGACCTGGCAATCTTCAACCCTTCCACGGTCGCATTCGTCCTCCATACCCTCCGACAAACCTCAAACTCAATAAATGCAGGGACAAAAAGCCGAACGAGGCCCCAGGGGCAAATATGCTCGTTTAATCTGCCGGGGCTGTCGAGCTCGCAAAATCAAATGCGTGTTGCCTTCCTCCGCGGCATCATTAGGCCCACTGGGCACTCCACAGCCCCCAGCAACAAGCTGTGAGAGATGCCGCAATCTCGATCTGGAATGCATTATCGAGAACACTCCTCTAGGACGTCCAACAGCGAAACGCGCAAATCGCGGAAATGTGGCTAGCAAATCGCCCCAGCCAGACCCATCCAAATCCCCGCGTCAAGGCCCCCACGATGACGAGAAAGCAGCCAAGCTCTCCGAATCGATCCAGCAGTATCTTTTCTCGGGCGCGATAGACGAAAAGCCCATGCTGCAACGATCGCAAGATGCAACAGATCCTGCATCCGACGACGATGGACTGTACCATGCTATGGCAAACACCAGCACTTTTATCGCAGGGGTCTTGGCTAAAAACACTACTTTTGGCTCTGACATTCAGCTGGTGTCCACCTGGAGCACCCCTCTTACAGATATAATCAGCCATGATCTCGCTGCCACACTTGATAACTTGTAAGATCGGGCGCAGAACTACGCTGGTCTGATCAGCTGGCTAACACCGTTGGTAGATTAGTGTGGCAGCGTCTCTTCGTTCTGGGCACACCAAGCCTGCTCCACTTGAGAGAGCGCTTGTTGTCAACCGATCCCAATACCAATAATGTCGCCACCAAGCTGCTTTTTGCAGTGCTCTGTCTGGCCGCATGTGAAAGCTCAGAGGAAGGTCGCCGTCAGAATGGATCTCTCAAAGATAGTCTGCAGCAGGCTGTTTCGTCATACGGCCAGGATTTTATCTTCAGTCCTCCGACACATATCGACTCTGTTGCTGTTTGTCGCTTTTTATCGGCCTTCAAACCAACCGCTTTGGCCATGTCAAAACGGACTGCAAATCAGTCCGTTAAAGCCGAGCTTTATATGGCTCTGGCTTACCGTATCGCAGAGCGACTGAGATTGTTGCCAGAGCCAGGGATCATGCCCTTTCTGGACACGACTTCCATCGACAGTGTGTTGATGGAGCGTGAGCTAATCATGTCAATCCAAGGACTTGAGATAATAGCCGAGGAATTTTTGATGGGCGATTTTCTGACCATGACCATGCAAGGTTTCCGGCAGGTTCTCCAGCGGATGCAACCACATATTGACTCCTACCAGCTGCTCTTGGAGACACAATCCTGTTCACCAGTCATAATCTTCCATATCAAATCAATTACGGCTACGTTTATGCAGATTGAGGCAATGGCGAATTCAAGGCAGTCCTGGATGAATCCCAGTCGGTTGTTCATCGTTGTCGAAGAGGGCGAAAAGAAATGCCTCGCTGAAGTCAACTCTGTCTATCATTTACTCTCAGAGGCAGCCGGAGATGAACAGCAGAATGAGGTGATAATCATGTCCTCACTGCTGGAGCTGCGCTTTCATGCAGTAATTGCCAAAATCTTTGGCCTCGGGCTTTTCTACATATCCGTCTTTAAAGCAAGAGCTGAAGGCAATGGGCCACCAAAGACCACGGAAATTCGCCGCGATGAAGCGAGCCAGATGGGTAACACCGTCATTAACTCCATAATGACAACTCCCGAATCTGAAGGGGACTCTCAGTTTTACGCCTTCCTGCGTCATTTTGGAGGACGATATCCTGACAAGCTGCAAGGGATCCTGGATAAATTCATGGAGTGCGCAACAATCAAGCTGGGTGGCAACCCCTGCATTGTGCCAGTCCGACCAATAGTAATTGAGATTGTGAATCTGTGTAAAAATATCGTGGAAAACAACCTGATCCGATTCAAGGCCTCCGGAAAACTACATCCCAGCTTTGACAAACAACTCCACCTTTTCAAACAGTGCGCCAATGCGCTGGTCGCCATGGTGTCCCAATCAGGAAATACTCCGGAGGCTGCCTTTAGGAGCGGCTGTATATATTCTGCAAGCAGCAAAATGCTGGATGGTCTGTGGGATTTGATGAAGAGTTTGGGATTTCAGGCTTCTCTCGTCAAAGGCTGGGACGAGGCTCTGGGTGCCGTAAATATGTCTGAAACTATGACCGAGCCCTCCGCTATGCCAGATATGCACTTCAATTCCTTCGAGGCATGGAACCTGTGGCCGTATCCGGCTATAATGCACCATGCTTCCCAACCACCGGACGTCTCTGAGTGGAGTCAATCATCTACAGCCACTTGGTTCCCAAACCCAATGACTGATCTCCTCAACACTGACGTGGGTTATCCGGGTACAACTGCTGGGTTCGAAGGCAGCATGCCCCCGTTTGACTAATAAGATGCACCTGATGCGTCACGGTAAAGAGCAATGGAAACGCAAGGATGGCATGCCAAACTTTGCCTCGTGGATATAGTTAGAGATGGAGCCTTGTCCTCTTCATTTATGATATTATGAGTTATGAACGGTTAACATGGTGTGCATGACCCGACAATTACTTGCATTCAAGGTTCCCCCGTGGTGTACCATATCATGCTGCCTTTTCTTTTATGGTCCTACAAGTATAGTTTTGCTTTTCAAGTGGTCCATTGACGGAACCCCAAAGCTAATAATAATCGCTTCGTGTCTATATGGACCTTATTACTTGAACTGCACGCGAGTGTCTGACCAGTTTCTTACTATTACAATTTGAGCTAAACTATTTAAGTTTAAGCTCAACTGTACGGTGTCTAATTGTAGTTCCAGGGCAAATACAGGCCGCGCAAACTTTCCATCGCGCAATTTATTCCCGTATTCTCATGTCCCTGAGGCTGACCGCGCAACTTCGCGCAAACAAGCATGCTGGATCGGCTCCACCAGGCGCTTGGCATACCAACTTGACCGAGTGCATTAAGGCTGCACATCCCGACCAGCGGCTTATTTGCGCGCCTAAATGCGCGTGGCGGAGTGACTCCTCGACCGTCCTTCCTATGTATGGGGATTGAGGCAGCGTGAGATGCCAGGGCTGAGCTTAGCTAGGCTTTGAACCGTGATGGTAAATATAAATTGAGCTGGCTTTACTTCCTATCTAATTTTTAATCAGCGTCCGAAATATTTTTATCCAGTGTTCCTTGAAGTTCGTGTCTATAGAGATACCATATGGCTATTTTAAGTCGAAGTGCCGGTAGCTTTGGTTGCCCTATACCAGATCATCTTGAGCAACGTAAGTATTCGTTACAACCTTCTTCTAGAGATGCAACGAGATAGCTAACATCTGAAACAGATGATGTTGGCCCTATAGTGGGAAATCTCACCTTTTACCAATTTAACATGATCGTATCCGGCGTTTGTACTGCGATCGTGTTATTCCTGATCTTGGGGCTGATGGGACGACATGCGATGTGTATGAGCAACCCTAACGAACAACTCAAGTAAAGCCCCCAACAATATGGAGAAGCTTCTGCGATGCTAACGCTTTTACGGAAAGAATAATGCGAATCTGCAATCTCATCCCCTCTTATCAAGTTCTATCTTACATCTCAATCTGCTTTCCGAACTCTTACATCTACCTACAAGGGTTCACCGAGGTGCTCCAGGGCGTGGCGCTATACGCCTTTCTTATGCTACTCTGCGATTACATGGCCCCTATTGATACGAGCAAAGTCAGGTTCTTTTCTTCTCTTGAGACAAAAAGGCAGTGGCAGCCGAAGAAGAAAAGGAACGGTCTTGCATTCCTGAGTGTAAGTCTTTTGTTCACAGAATATGATGTAATAACCATTGCTGACCGGTTATCCGACTCTAAGTTGACTTGGTACTCGGTGCTTCAATATCCAATAATCACCTGGATTACCGCCGTCACCCAGGTGGTGACCCAGTCATTACACGTCTACTGTCTCGAGAGTAACGCACCTCATTTCGCTCATGTATGGGTATGTACTATGTTGGAATTATTGATTGCGTCGCCGGATGGTCACTTATTAAGATCATTAGATCGAAGTGATCACCTCGCTGTCAACCTCAGTAGCCCTCAACGCCATCATTCAATTCTACATGAACATGAAAGGATACATGACAGAGCACAAGCCACTCCTCAAGCTGATGGCTTTCAAATTGATCGTTGGATTGATCTTTATAGAGAAGGTTTGGATTTACCTACCCCAAGCCAGATATCCGATAAGCAGAAATATCTAACAATCACCCAGATCCTCTTCCTCATCCTCACCGGAACAAAAGTCCTCAGATACCCTGCCTCAATGACCTACATAGACACCTTGATGGGCCTTCCAACCATGCTCATCTGCCTGCAGATGGTGCCGCTCTCCTTCCTAGTCCTCCACGCCTACCGCACAAAGCCGTACGAGATCCCGAACTCAGTACACGGCTTGCGACCCCAAGCATACCAGGCTCTCGAGTCTAGCGGCAACGAGGAGACTTTGTTGAGAGGCATGCCGAAACATTATCAGGGCGGACCTTGGGGATTGCGTGCCTGGACTATTTACTTGAACCCGCTTGTGCTGTTCCAGGATGTCCATTCAGCTTATCTCATGATACATAATGCGCGGGCTTTGCAGAAGGTTCAAGAGAGGGAAGAACAGGAGCAGGAGATGACGAGATATGAGACGAGATATGACCCTGGGGAGAGGAGGTGAGGAGCTTGGCTTGGCAATTCACGTTCATGGTTCAGGGCAGCGTGTGGGAAATGTAGCAGACTGGGGGAGAGGGTTGTAGTGATGGGATGGTGTGATCGTCAGGTGCGCTGGCAATAGAACAAGAATGATCTTTGTATGAGTTGATATTCAAACATGACCGAGTATTTGATGCGGTTGATTCAAGAAATGACGCAGGTACCACTTTCCGCAGTCTCTCATAGTGCAGGCGCTTGGATGGATGATATATAGAGGTTTAATACTAGTTCTAGTTACCGGGAAAGGCATAGAGTAACTACATGCCAACGCAAGAACTAGCAAAAGAGCGATTCCATCTTCATAACCGACTACTCAAATGAATACCTTGCTTAAGATCTCCTTGGCCCATATTATCCATAAGAGCCATCTTTAGTCGCTGCCCGTACTACCATGGCGAGCAGCCATAGTCAAAATCCTCACTCACCCACATTACCCAACTTATACTGCAACCTCAGGAGTTTGACGATATGTTCAGCCAGTGAGCCCAAAGTACCAGCCTTTGTAATTTCAGAGAGTGAGACGTCGAGATGGATAGCTCTCCGTACCCAGCTTCTCATCTCTATAGCCACAAGGGAGTCAATTGCAAAACCGGCTGCCTCTTCATCAGTGAATTTTCGCCCACCCGCAATTGTCCCAGAAATAAGGTGAGCCATGTTCCGTTTGAACTCGGTAATCGCTTCAGCCTTATTCAGCAACGAAGGGTCTTGATGAACATGGTTAAGGAACTCGCGAAGCCGATGCTCAGGTCCGTCTATTCCCTCATCCAGCGACGCCTGCGCTAAGTTGCTGTGCATAGCAAACCGGGCATCGCGCCCCCATAATCGCATGAGCGAAGAGCCCTCATTCTTACCTGTCTTGTCCGCAATACCAACATCCAATACTCCCGAACATTGTGAGTTAGGATGAGAGTCTTCAATACTCACTTGAAATGACTCAAGAACAGCCTGTTCACTTATAGGTTGAGCCGAGGCCACGCTCGTGGTCTGAGCAAAGTCCGCACGTTTACTGATAATACCTACATCCTCGACAGGACCCAGGTTTAGGACCGATGCTGCCAAGCCACGCTGTCTCCGATACTTGGCTAGCCCGATCAAAAATGTGTTCGAAGCAGCGTAGTTAGCCTGGCCGAGGGACCCAGCGGAACCCGCGATCGAACCAAACATGACAAAGAAGGACAGATCCATGCCCTGTGTTGCAGTGTGTAGATTCCAGGTACCGGCCACTTTTGGGGCTAGTCCACTATCCCATTCGTCCGGTGTCATATGCTCGAATGTTCGGTCCTATGAAAGGAAAATCAGCTCCTAATCTTGGCGAAGGGGCCAACAAGCGGTGGCCAAACCTGCAGATGCAGTGCCATCTGGACGACACCAGAAAGTCGTTTTGTACACTTTCCGATTGCTCGCTGAATATCAGCGAGGTCGGTTACAGTCCCCGCTACACAGGTAACTAGGCATCCTTGAACCTCTAGCTCCTTTATAAACCCCCGATGTTCATCCTTCTCAGCTGAGGGTGAGAGATATACAATCTCGCGAGCCCCGTGTTCAACTAGCCACCTAGACACTGACCGCCCGATGCCACCAAGGCCTCCGACCATGAGGTATGCTGCATCGGGGGGGGGGGAAGAAGCCCTGGACCTTACGGGGGCACATGGTAGCTGGGTTGGATCGGGTGTCATTTGAATTACGACCTTCCCCATATGCTTACCAGTCTGTAAATAACGGAAAGCCTCATTGACCTGGGTGGTATTAAAAACATGCAATGGACGAATTGGACGGATCTTGTCCTTCTGGAAGAGCTCAAAGCATTTCCTCACCGTGCTAAGAAGATGTCAGCTTCTCTCTCATTGAACATATAGGAAAGCAGACTTCTCAAGTACCTCATCGCTATATCTGGACGGTCCCTACTAACGTTCGCAAGATTCACTGCATGAAACGTGCGGTCTTCAGAAAAGGGGCTCAGACTGAGCATCCCATGGGATAGAATGTCTCTTCTTCCAATTTCGATCATTTTCCCATAGGCTGCCACGCATTGCCAGGACGCATGCAGTAACTCTCCACTCAGTGAATTGAGTACGACGTCAACTCCGCGTCCATTAGTAGCGTGCATAACATCCTGCACGAATGAAGTATTGCGGGAGTGGAAAATTTGGCTCTTGGGGATTCCATAAGTTTTAGTGAGATACTCTGCCTTCTCCGCGTTTCCAACCGTAGCGTATATCTACACAAAACATTAAATCTACACACCAAATGCTATGATAAAAATCAAATATGAACGGCTTACCGTAGCATCGAGCATTTCGCATAAATTGATGGCTGCGATACCAACACCCCCGGCAGCAGAGTGAATGAGGACCGACTGAATCAGTTTGTCAGGCGATATGTTCCCTGTACCGTAGAGATTGGCTAGTCAACATACCTGTCCTTTCTGAAGGTTCCCAACCAGCATCAACGAGTAAATGGCTGTGCAATAGACTGTCAGCATAGCAGCACCATCCTCCAAAGCAAGACTCTCTGGTAACTTCGAGAGAGTCTCTCGAGGTAGAACCGCGCGATTGCAGAATAGGCCGTTCCCCAACGCGCCAACGTGGTCCCCGGGGACTAGGTCCGTTACATCAGAAGCAACTCGACGCACCACTCCAGTTGCTTCTAGACCCATATCATTCGGATTCCCTATAAGTCCCATGGCAACCAAATTGTCCTAATTGATCGTCAGAAACACGATCAAACATTGAGTACTGAAATGTAACTTACCTTGAAATTCAGTCCCACGTAGCTTAGATCTACCTCTACTTCTCCAGCATTCAAATTCGATGTTATTGCACTGGGTGCCCACTGGAGAGTGCTAGTCAATCCAACCTGCTGGATTCCCAACTTCCGCGGTGTATCCATTGAAGGCTGCATTGTGAGCTCTTGCGAGAGCGACGAGTGGTAAGACCGAGCTGTGTGAACAACGCCACCTTCTAATACGAACTCGTACTCCACATCTGTATCAGGGTTTTCACGTGACTGCTGGATATTCTCATGAAGTTTAAGTAAAATCTCGGGCGCAGGCTTCTCATTGGAGTCCCTTTCCAAGAGTGACAGATCTAACGATAGTTCGCGCCTCAATACACGGGCAAGACCATGGATAATACTGAAGCGCGGATCTGTGCAGCTAAAGGTGCTTTGTTGTGTTACCCATAAGATTCTGGATCCTTTATTCTGCATCAAGAAGCGTTGTAGTACCAGGAATTCTTCCTTGGAAGACTGTGTGAAGTATGGGCTGTCGACCTCCAATAGCGAAATGACGGCTCGACTGCTACAGGGCGAGCTGTTCAAACTTGACCAATGGACTTGATAGCCATTACTCCGGAAACACGCTGCCACATCTCCAGGCCATCCTGCTTCATCTGGGTCAGAGGATAGAATCGTCACCTCCCTGTCAGACACCGTCTCCTGAGCAGGCCTAGAGATTATGGTGAATAATGGCTGAATCGAACCGTCAAGATCACGATCGATTGTTTCGCATCCAGTAAATCCAGCGGCACGAAGTTGCATGTCCCATCTCTCACCCGATATGTAGGGCTTTTCAGGGCGTCCATCGTTTTCACCCACCCACCAGCCGGGGAGCGCACCCTTCAAAATTGAGTCGGAGGATTAGCGCAGTGTCAGGAATATTCAGCCGATATAATGAATACTTACTACAACGTAATCCGTGACAGGTGTGTCTGGATACGTTTCTCAGAACAGACTCTAGATGTTACGGATGGGATTGGTATGCTTACCCGAATAGAACTCTTGTAGAAGGAAACGACCGTTCTTGGCAAGGAGCTTGTTTGTATGTAGCAAAGCCTCATGCAAATTTGGGGCGACATGTATAACCTAGTCCACGGTCAAACTGGGCCTGGTGTTGTATATAATCAACTTACGTTGGATGCAATGATTAGGTCAAAGCTGTGCTCCTCGAATCCTTGTTCTGTTGGATCGCGTGTGATGTCCAACGTTCGGTATTCCATATTGGCTTGTCCCTTGAACTTGTCTTGGGCAGCGGCGAAGAAACCAGCGGAAATGTCTGTGAAGACATAGCGAGAGAATAGATGCGCGCCAGTCGGGGATCTCAGGGAAGAAAGCGCCATTTCGCTCATAGAGCCTGTTCCGGCGCCGATCTCGAGGACTCTCATCAATGGATTGGCATGTCCAAGAAGGGAAAATACTCCCGTTAGATCAGTCTCCCGGGCCAATGTGTCCTCGTAAAACCTTTCTAAACTATTGCTGGCAACAAGTACCTCTAGCGGGGAGCATTTCCCCGACATGAAATCGACGGCGTTCTCATATACTGCCCTCATACATTCCGTAATGGTCAGGCCGGGGAGGACGGCTGATATTTTGTCAAGGCGGCTATAGATTTTCTCCAACAAGTCAGCTGGAGCCAAATCATTCCACTTGATTGAATCTTTGTGGGAAGTAGACAGCTCATCATTGGTTGTAGTCGATGAAGACATCAGTACTTCCTTCATTGCATGTAGAAGACTATCCTGCTTCTCCGGCTGCACTTCTTGGATCCATTTGGCAAGTGGCTGTAGATTTGGGTGCACGCCCACGCGAACTTTGGCTGCTTCCGAGAGAATCCACGATTTCCATTTCATTAGGTGTTGCGCAGACGACTCCATAGATTCAATTCGTTCAGCTGTGGCTCGGATGTGTATCAAGGAAAGGAGCCCAAGAATCCTCCGGTGGGTAGCATGTCCAAGATTGGGGCGCGGAGTTAGAATCTTATGAGGGGGCAGTAAGTCAATATCTGGTTTCCAATGTAGCCGTGACATTAGGTCAATGTCATTTGGGCTTGTCCTGCTGGACCCTGCCAGGCCAGCTAGGACTCCACCTTCGAGGCTGAAGATTGTATGGCCCTCTGTGGTACCGATAATCTTTGCCTGCTGCCCCTTTTCTTTATCTTGGAAAGTCTGAGCTTCGAAGGAAATCGGCGACCAAGTCCCACCATCTACAACAAGTCGCTCAATCCTGGCGGGAATATAGGCCCCTGAAATGGTGTGCAACCTTCCTTTCGATGCAGCTATACCGATCAGCTGAAGAGCTTGGTCAATAACAGCAGGATGTATAGCGTAATAGGTCCCGTTCTGCATTTCAGGCTGGTATACAGTGGCAGCTGCAGCATGGTCAAGTGGGTCGGCTGTGATGTCTTGCAGACGCTGGAACTGGGGGCCGTATTGCAATCCACATCGCTGCACTGTGCGGTACCAGCGTAATGGTTCCACCACTCGGGGTAAAGGTCTGGTTTCTTTATAGTTACCAGAAATTGGGTAATCACTCCCTGCACGCACACAGCCTTTGCAGTGCACTGTCCATTTAGCCCCGTCGCATGCGCATACAGTAAAGTTGTACCACCCGGAACTGACCCCGTCTGCCAATTCAATTGGCTTGAGGCTTGAAATGACCTCAATTGCAGCATCGCTAGCTAACATAAGAGGAGACTCGAATCGGATGTTCTGTATGGAGTAGACTTCGGAGCTAGATTCTCGTTGGTTATTCAGGATATTTAACTGCCTGATGGCCTCACCCGCCATGGCAATGTACCCGGCAGCTGGGAAGACAACTTCGCCGTGCAAGACATGGTCTGATAGCCATGGTACATCATCTAGCCGCAACACATTTCGCCATGACGGTTCCAGGGTAGTCGCCTCCATCGCCAAGGAGCCAAGTAGCTCCTGGTGAGGGAGTGAGCGTAGCCGCCAATCGCGACTTGGTTTACCCTCGCACCAGTACCTGTCAGTATGCGTCCATGGAAAGCGCGGGATATCGCTTAGTAGTCGACCCGCATTGACAATTGTGGAAAGATTGACAAAAGAGCCTGTGTTGAATACATATCCAGCCGTTGCAAGTAGCAGGGATTGTTGGTGATCGTCGTTGCGCGTAAGGGTAGGTATGTACACGCGAGGTGATTGAGGGGCAAGTTGAAACATCTGCCGAAGGGGTGCAGACAAGGCTGAATGCGGACCAATTTCGATAAAAATATTGGTGCACTTCGTTTTCTTCCGAAGGAGCATTTCTATTGCCTTTGAAAAGCGAACAGGGGACTCGAGGTTGCGACGCCAGTACTCTGGCCCCAGTTGAGAAGGGTCAGTGAGGGTATCCCCAACGACAGTAGACAACATTGGCCGCATATGTGAACGCGGGATTACATGTGGTGAGAGAGCGTCCTCATAGGTCGTGCCTAGAGTCTCCATCTGGGCTGTATAATTGAATCAATATATATATATATATATATCAGGGGCTCAACACCGGGTTTCAGGGATGTGAGCTTGTGTCAAAACTTACGGGAATGGTAAGCGACCTGCACTCGTAGCTTCCGACAGAAAGTTCCTGGAAGAGCTGCTGTGATATTGCTGATCACCTGGGCAAGTTTGTCCTTGGGTCCTGAAATCGTCACATTGCGAGGGTTGTTCTCACACGCGACGACCACTCCGTCGAGCAGGAACGGTATAACCTCGTCAAGTGTTAGTCCAATTGATGCCATTGCACCGGAGCCCTCTTGTAACTTGGCCAACTTTCCACGGTAGAATGCGATAATAATGGCTGACTCCATGGTAATCGCACCTGATGCATAGGCTGCTGCGATCTCACCGCTAGAATGTCCTACTACTGTGCTCGGTTTAATACCCCAGTATGTTAAGATCTGGAGCAATCCGAGCTGGAGGGCAGTGCACAGTGGCTGGGATAGTTCAACCTCATTGACACGCGACTCAGCACCCATGCGCGATAGCTCTTCTATAGTCAAGTTAGTATCAGTCACTGCATATAATCCGCTGGTTACTGACTAAGTAATGACCATTCTGGAGGGTCTGCCAACTCCTGAAGCACCTCATCCATCTTCTTGATCGCATTATAAAATAAAGGCTCAGTTGCGAGGAGTTGCCTACCCATTCCTGCCCATTGCGCTCCTTGTCCAGTGAACACGAACGTTATTGCAGGAAAGCGGAGCGTCGTGGATGATGACTGGAATTGTGACAGGTCCACCGGCGTGTCTGGGTAGATTACTGCATATGCCCGATGACTATGATGCTCCCGTCGTAATGCTAATGTATATGCAAAATCATGGACGCTTTTTGGGTTAGAGTTTATATAGCCTGCTATGTCTTGTATACGACGCTGCAAGGACTCTTTATTGTGTCCAGAAACCACGATGAGGTGCGGACGATCTGATCCCGGTGGAGACATCTTCTGCACTCCGAATGTAGCTGCAGAATCCAGAATGGCATGCGCATTCGCGCCAGCTATACCGAAGGAATTAACACTCACACGTTCCTTACGGTCATCCGGCCACGGGCTGGCTTTCACTGGAACCTGTATCCCGGAGCCTTCCATGTTGACAAAAGGATTAGGCTGAAGAAAGTTTATATTGGGGGGGATGGTGCGATTTTCAAGGGCAAGGGTTGCTTTGATGATGCTAGTGAGACCTGAAGCCCCCTCAGAATGGCCACAGTTTGGCTTGACCTGGTCTTACCATTAGATAAAGTAGATGAATTTGCCCGAAATAACTTACACTACCAGTAAGTACGCCATGGCCCTCAAAGACCTTGGCCACAACAGATGCCTCGACCGAATCTCCAGCTGACGTACCTGTCCCATGGCATTCGAAAAAGCCCGTGTCGCAGATCCTATCAATTTGCGCCTGTTTGTATGCCGTTCTTATGAGCGCTTCCTGCGCTAATCCGCTGGGGTTGGTCATAACTGCCGTCCTCCCGTCAAAGTTCACGGCTGTAGACCGTATAACCGCACGGACAGAGTCGCCATCCTTCAAGGCGTCGGTGAGGCGCTTGATATAGACCGCATTGACTGCCTCTCCACGCCCATACCCATCGGCATTGCGATCAAATGTCTGGCATTTTCCCGAAGGGGACAGAACTCCATTTTGGTTCATAACGCTTGTCATCGTCGGGGTCAATATGAGGTTGGTCCCAGCAACGACGGCAGCGGAGCAGTGCCCGGAACGAAGCCCCTGGCAAGCCTCGTGCAAGCCGACCAGCGAAGCGGAGCATCCGGTTTGTATCGTCATGCTGTGCCCTGGTCAGCATTATCATAGAAAGTCACTTTGCGGTGATGCTAGTTATACCTCGGCCCACGAAAGTCGAATTCATATGAAACTCTGTTTGACAAAGCAAAGCCTCCGGTAGCCAAGGCATGATGACGATCTGGACAAGGGTCTAATCCCTTGAGGGACAGCTCTAACCAATCCTCCCCAAACACTCCGACATAACAGCCTATGTCCTTCCCTCGCCAACTGGTTTCGCCGGCATCTTCAAGGCACTCCCACACGACTTCGAGGAGCAGCCGTTGCTGAGGATCCATAAGCCCAGCCTCTTTAGCGCTTACGGAGAAAAACCCGGCATCAAAGCATGCGGGATCCTCTTGCAAGAAGTATCCAGTCATTGGGGCGGTAGCGGGATGGAAGAAGGCATTCGCGTTATATCGACTCTTGGGGACTGGGCCATGGCCACTTTTGCCCGAGACGAGCATGTCCCAGAATTCACTCGCAGTGTGAACATTTCCGGGCAATCTCATTCCCATGCCCACAATGGCAATCGGTTCATTTTTGGTGCATTCGCTCTCGCGACAGAGGCTCGATTCGTTCATCGGAGTAGTCATCTTCGCTATTATTCCAGTTCAGACGTTGTTTAGATATCATGATTCCCTTGTCATGGGAGGAAAACATAGCTTTAACAGTCCCTACACTGGTACCAGTAGCTCAAGAAGTACATGATCGCTTATAGACAATCAGAGCATGCATTATTACATCTTCACCTCCTTGGTTAGCTAATTACATATGTCATCTGATTACAAAAGCCTATGTATGTCTCTGATGCTGTGCGATACCAATAGGCAGTGCAACACAAAATGTACCCAGAACGGCACGTTTCACAGCACCTGCAGACATTCCTTGCGCTGCGATGGACAATATGGTCCACATTCTTGCTCCCGGTAGCGATGCATTAAGTTTGTCCTTCTTCGCCCTACCTCGTCTTGCATATCTACGTCCAGGCCAAGGCAGAAATAAAAGGTCCACGGAGACTTGTGATGATTGTAGTCTAGGAGAATGTCTGGCTGCCCAATCCAAGCCGTCTAGTGACTATCTACGTAATAAAAGTAATGTCCCTTCATGCGTTATTTGTAGCCAATAAGAAAGCTGACACGTAAACGTTAGCGTGTCCTACAAAGTTGACGCCCACTCCTATCAGAACAAGGCGTGCTTGTTGTCACATCGTGCTACCCCACCACGTTCATATTTGAATGCTTCAGAGATCTTTGCAAAAGAGCATACCATGTAAGTGACTACGTATGTGCATGAGGAATTCCAATTGCATTTGCTCTGTATTGAATCGCATCTGCTAAGCTCTGAGATCTGACATCAGATCTGTGCACCTCTGGTCAAAATCACAGAACTGTTCCAATATTCCTGGCGTGAATCCATTCGGGCAGTGCCTGAGAAGTGCTGCCTGCAGTCCTTCCTTCGCATCATGCATTTTGCACAAAACAGCTTGGACGATTGATGATCCGCTAGGGATCTTCTTCACGAAGATCGTCTACTTATATTAGCATTCGTCATGATAAATGAAGCCATCCAGGCAGTATACCTTGCCTGAAGTAGCCACAATAGCTTGAGCCAGGGCGTTGATCATTTCGTATGTAGCAGTCAAGACTTTGTCTTCCTCGTCCCGACCGTCCGTGACCTCGGTAGATGCGATTCTTTTCCGTGCATTCATGGCGCTATCGTAGACCTTATAGGTGCCTCGAGTCAAGTAAAGCAGATTACTCATACCACCCTGGTACTGTTCAATTTGGGTGGCCATATTTTTCATGGATTCCGTGAGCATATTCATTTCCATAACCATGTCCGCTGTCGAAGCATAAGGCTTTCCTGGAGACCGTGGAGCAAATGCTCCTACAAAGGGGATTGAGCCCGCCATAGCGAGGAGTGATTAGAAATTTGACGTAGTGCCTTTGCTTTGAGAGGTGATGAGAGTGGATTAACCTGAATGAAAACAAGATACTGGATATATCTTATGATTACGGAAGACATGATGCCTCTGGAAGTGTATTCTTGGTCCAAGGATGAATCATCGAAACAATACCCTTGCATTTGCTGAATGTGGACTTACTGAATTGGCAACAGATATTCTACGTTTTAGGCGCCCCTTAAAATAGGGTTCGAAAAGTTACACCGGATTATTTGCAACAGAAAGCCAGGGGCGCATGCTTTCGTCCACCCTTGTCGCTTTATCTTGTTCCTACGGCTGGTACTACATGATGTGAGAGTGGCGAATCTGGTATTCTTGAACAGTAATCAATCTGATGATCTAGTAACCCAGCAGGGAAACGGATTGCTTTTCCAAAATCAAGCTCCTCCAACTCAAATGATACAGACTGATAATGCCGTCTGTGTAACAGGCTAGCAGCTACTCCCCTACAGTCAGATTCTCATCCGCTTGACGCGCAAGTGGACTCCATGCTCATGACACATGGTCAGCGTCTGTCTCAATGGAGGGTTGAGCCCTATGTCTGCCCCTGGCTGGGCGCTCTCAATAGAATCGAGGTGTTGCACCAGCCTGAATACCTGTTGGCTAATCAGAATTATGGCAAACTGCTCTGTTCGTAGCACTCTTGTTAGCGAAAAGTCTCATCAAGTACTCTTTAGAGGACACTTGACGTGCGAAGAGGAGGGACTCACGACCAAGGCACGCCCGGGGTCCACCATTGAAAGGCACGAACTCCCACGCTGGTGGGTTGTAACGTTCCCATCTCTCCGGTCGGAAGCTCTCAGCATCTGCGCCCCAGAGGTCACGACGCCGGTGAAGGCACCAGACTGAATACGCGACCATCTGCCCCTTGGGAATAAAAACAGGCGATCGACCATCCGGACCACCGCCCACGGGAATTGTCGTATCATGATGGGCAACTCGCGCATTCACAGGAACAGGCGGAAAGAGGCGAAGTACTATTCCAAATGCTTAGCAGATGTTGAGAATGTGGACGTAGATTTGAATGATATGAAGAGACATTGGCAGAACTATTGCGCAGCTCACCTTCGTACAAGACACCGCGTAGATAAGGAAGACTCTGTATCTCCTTCAGGGTGATATTGCTCGCGTGCCTGTCTACCGCATCGGTGATTTCCTGTTTCAACTTCCACCATGCACCAGTGTCTCGTGCAAGAAGATAAAAGGTTGAGGTAAGCACGCTGGCAACGTCATCCCTGCTAGCTAGGAGAACATTGACCAACTGATCCCTCAAAAATTCCCGATCTTGTGTCTCAGCCGCTAGTGCATGCAGAAAACAATACTCTTCTCCTTTCTGTTCATGGCCAGTTTTGTAGTTGCCAATATTGCTTCTGTATTCGATAGCCTTATCCACGTAGTAATCCACGAATTTATGAACCACACGAGTGGATTTCCTGAAATCGCTCGGGTTGATTAGCCAGTAGTATGAGAGCGCGAGAGTTCGCCTGAAAAGGATATCTTGAGCGTAATCGAACGCAGCAGCAAATCCTTCGTTTCCACTGCCTGACGTTTCTGCAACACCTGTTTGGTTGGAATCCGGCTTCACTAGAGAATTAATGGACTCGCCAAACAGATAGCCCGTTGCAGAATCAAGTGCTAGTCGGAAGGCAAGCGGCTGGATATCAAAGGCATGCCCATCGGGCGGCAGTGATCGCATGAGATTCTCGGAGTGAGAGTCAAACCACTCGATTGAAGGTATCTAGCAGGAATATCCCGTTAGATAGGCCACATGGGAAAAACCTATTGTTGCTCAACCTACCTGATTCTTCGTGAACTGTGGGCGTAGCAACTTCCTCGAGTGCTCCCAAGCCGTTCCATCTGACGTGAATATTCCTCTCCCAAGCAATGGGCGGTACTGTGGATAACGCCATTCAGATAGTCCAAAACTCGAAAACTGAGAGGCTAGGACAGCCTGAATATTTTCCGGCTCGCAAGTAGCGACAACATCGTGACCCACAAGATTTACTTTCAGGGTATTCCCGTACTGCAAATGAACCCCCTGTATCGTAGATCCGACTTGGCCTTCTTGGGCGGCAGTTTTCGCACGCAAAACCACTTTATAACCCAGGATCCCACTAGGATAGCGACATACTGGCTCACAATTCCATTGTTTCGACAGCTTCCTGGATCTATAGCTTCTGCTAACAATCCGATAGAGCTGCAATGCGACCAGGGCTGAGAAAAACGTGGCCAGTGACAGGGAGGCTGCAGACCATGGCATTTTCGATGTGTAGAAGTTATTAACAACAAGTGTTAGGCTATATATTGTATCTATTCAGGCTGCGCGGCAATGGCTACCTGTGGGGCTATTTTCAGTCAGCTATATAAAAGTTGAATAGGACCTACAGTGACTTCTCCGTCCCACGTTTGGCGAGTATATTTCACGTCTGGCTCTTAGAACATGTGATAACAATACACTTAACCTTCCCATATTTTCCCTTTCACGCAGGTGCGTATTGGTGACATTCCAGCACCTTGTGTCCTTCGCATCCTTGCATTGATTGCGTGGCTACGGAACCCGGGTCAGATACCACAGTTGTCGAAGGTTGGTTACACAAGGCAATGCCTACGGGCAGTTAAGTTCTTCGTACTACAAGTCAGTGGACATAGAGTCACTCTGTCTAACAGATGCTATGTCTCCATAGGAGTTCACAAGTTTGTACAACTAGCATAATGATACGCACAAACAAGTCTCCGTAGGTCCTCGGATCTTCATTAGTGTTAGCTAGTTGTTTAACTTAATGTTAACATTGAACTGTTTGCCGTTTAACTTGGCCTACTGGTGACTTTACCGCCAAGTACTGACTTCGAGTTCCGAAAGGGAATATTCCGAAGTCTAATCTCAAACACCACCACTCGCCGAAGTAGACAATATATAGACCCATGATCAGTCCGTGTGAAGAGAACTAACACCTCTGCACATCCCGAACAATGGACTTTTAGAGGAGAACTGAAAGTTCGTATTGAATTAAAACTCACTACGTTCCTCAAACGTAGCATTGCTCTGACTACTCAGCCTAGACCCGGAGACCTTGGAAGCACGGCAGCTCGTTACCCATCCAAGAACGAAGAGACCAAACGTAGTCTACTTGAGGCCTGGTATTTAGACCAGATGCTTATGCACTTTTGGTCCCACTCCAAAAAAGCCGCGGTGACGATTATTAAGACGCTCGTAGCCAGAACCTTTCGTCAGCCTTACTATAGTAGGATAAATACATCCCTCGCGTGTGTCACACCCTTCTACCAGCATTGTTGACATTTACTTAATATGTATTCGATGGTAATCAAATGCCAATGTACCTATCAAAGTGCTAGCCTTATCAGCCCTTACAGCTTTGCCCTTTTTTCATGTCCATATGACCGTAGGAAACCATGGCAAGTCGGAAGATGCACGTTGACTTCATGAAGCATAGGCCGGTTGGTAGTGGTAGTACGGCATATGCACGTCTTCTATTGGTCTGCTGCAATTGTCTGATTCGGAATAAGGGCACATTCAACCATTGCTTTCGAAAATTCCTCCCTGCATCCCTCAATCTGGAAGAGATCAATCAATTGTTTACGAAGAATATCAAGTTCGTGTAGGACACGATGTTGCAGTTCGGCACAAACTTTTCCTTAAAAGGGACCCTCAGCTAGCCACAAAAACCTCGTGTTCAGGGATTCCAACACACCTTTAGTACTACCGAGAGCGCAAAAGACAGATTCTGGCGGCCTACTACCTGTTACTAAGAACCAGCAGTGTCCAGTGCACACATAGCATTTACCACATATCGTCCATTAGTTCGCCAAATTACGGGGGTCACGAGCTTCGTCTCCAGCATAACACAAGACCATTCATTTTTTTCATTATTATTATGGATAAACATATTGAATGGTATCGCGATCAAGTGATTTTCCTGACTGGGGGGACAGGAAATCTAGGAGCATGCCTACTATACAAGCTCACTCTACAGTTGCCCACCAAAAAGATCTTTCTGCTATGTCATGGCTCCGTGCAACGTGCCCTCGATAAGCTGGAGGCAGCAATGGCGGATCAATTTGATGATGTCTTAGACTCTTATCGCGTCCAGTTCATGGTGGGAGATACCTCCAAACCTAGTCTCGGGTTAAAGCCTTCGGATCTGAAATTACTCCAAGAGGAGGTCACTGTGGTCATCAATGCAGCGGCGGACATTTCGCTACAACAGCCACTTCATCTCAGCATCCAGCCAAATTGCATAGCTCATCTGCAGTTACTCACATTGCTTCGTGAATTCAGTCGTCTCAAGTCATTCCTCCACGTATCATCTACATCTGTCAACAGCTTTCTTCCTGATGGTATTATTGAAGAACGTATATACCCACTTTGCGATGAGGATCCAGACCCAGAGAAAGTTCTGTCACAGATTCTCAGTACTGGACAGTCAGACTACACTGAGAAATTTATCGCACCCTACGCATTATGCAAATACCTTACGGAGAGGTTGATCTTGAACCAAGATAACCTCTCCTTTGACACACTAATTGTGCGACCATCCCTCATCGGGCCAGCCATTCGCGACCCATATCCATTCTATGGCCACGATGAAGGCATGCCCTTACAGTCTGCGATCCACAGCCTGGCGACAGACCCTGATTATGGGTTAGATAAGCTTGGTAAAGGGATCAACCTGGATGCTGTCTTCGACGAGATCCCTGTCGACCTGGTCGCCAATACTTGTCTAGCCCAACTGGCCGCGGGTAAAGTAGGGATTGTCCAGGCTGCGGGTAGTCTCTATGTGGCATCGACCACTGGTGAAATTGCTACCACCATGATTCAGTGCGTGGCACCCATGGGGATAGAAAAGATCCGTCGCGGAGAGATACGCCAGAGTCAGAACTTGGCACCCATGTTTTACCAGGTGGCTCGGAAATATATGCGCAACTGGGATATTCGCTGTGATCGATCAGAGCATCTGAAGGAGGATACCGGTGTCTTGGGGCTTAGCTTAAATGGGCATGATCCGAAGGCTTTCATGAAACATCGTTGGCAGAACGTGTCTAACTCGGTCTTCGGTTTGTCTGCAACTTAGTCCTCGAAACCTAAATGCGAACAGTACCTTTATAATAGTATCGCCGAAGCACTCCATCATGTCCCATTATTTAGAGACGTTGCGGAACAACACATAAGCCACCGCTTTCACCGTGTGCCTTTATAACAGGAGCCGCTGGGGGCAAAATCCTATTGGAACACCGAAGCAGAAGCCCCAGCCAACCTAAAGGGAGGTACCTATTCAAAATACCTGAAAACTGAAAATGCAGTAGTCTGTTTACCAGCAAGGCTTCCGCTAAAGTGTAATGTTATCAGTTGTCAAAGACGTATATCAGAAATGTTTGTCGTGTGTGAGTCCCTGAACCTGGGCATAAGGTTATCCCCCATCGCAGCCTGCAGTCTTCTGCATACATTTTCACCCTAGGCCCTGCGTCTTGCTATTGACCTGTCGTAATCTATACCTGCCTGAAACATTTCTCATTCTCTCCTCGTGTCTATCACATATACTACACGGTGCTATAGAGAGGTGGGTTAGCCTTTCGAAGGAGCAACGGCTGAAGCCAAGTCTAGCCTGCCCCAAAGAGCTTATTACGGCACGCACAGTAGTGTCACCAACGCAAGGTACGAAGAAATGGCCAAACGGTATTACAGATTCCAAAGATCTGTTCAATAATAGATGTTTGGGGATGTTGAAGGGAGCAGACCTTCCGCTATCCGTAGTAGGCGAAGTAAGAGGACATGTAACCAGAATATTGAAGCCGCTTCAGTTCCTCGCAGGTAATTGTATTCAAAGGTGGAAGGTTGAATCCGACACTTTCTTGTAGACGCCCTAGACCTAAAATCAAGAAGTCCGATCAGGCAGGTGAAGGCAAAAGAAGGGGGGAGGTCTTCCTACTCCATGTTCGGCCCTCTGATTTGAGCGTTGAAGCAGAAATCTCTGTTCTGTGCGCCTCATCAATACCTCATTATGTCGACTTCCTCACGCGAGACATAACTCTGAATGATGATGACATTATATGTAGTCGGGAGATCGTAAAGAATATCCTGGCATTTCAGATTTTCTTTTCCTTTACTTTCACTTCTATTCCTTTCACTTTTTCTTCACCAACTTCTACCCTCACACAATCCAGCATGTTCCCTTCAATAATTCTCAGATATCCTTTCAAGCCTCTCCTTAGGCACTATGAAAACAAGTCCCATCGTGAAGGTGATATGGAAAACGCTCAGTTCTGCCGCCTACTACAGCTTCCGAGGACCGGCATTCTCCTCCTATCAAAAAAGAAACTCTGGCAGCCCGTTGAAAGGTACGTCCAGATGGGCTTCAAGCTACGCTTCTGCACCCAGCGTGAAATCTACCTTCAAGCCAAGCATGACATGCTCTACGAGAAAATCAACGAAAACCCATCAACAGGAGACACTTCCACTTGGGTGAATGAGATGCAGGCCTACAAAACGGAACTCAAGTCTTTGAACGAAGCAATCTGCAACCTGGAACGAGAGACGCATCGCTGTATGAGTACAATTCCCGACGGTCCCCTGAAGCGGATGCTATGTGCACATGAAGAAAAGGAGAATTGGTATCTGTCGAAGTTTCTGCGCGAGGAATGTACGCGCTCCGGGGGATGCTGTGGCCGGGATTGCGGATGCTGCGAGAAACTGAGAAATGATAAGCGTCCGCTCCATAGAAGCCATTGTACTTCGATGTGCCTATGCTGTGAAAAGGCAAGGGAGTATCCTATCAACGTTGATAAATATGAGGATGACCCGATGATCGTGGATGTCTTTCTTCGCGGCTGGCGCGAGTTCTCCCATTCCTATGCGGGAAAATGGGTGAATGCTTATGTCTTTGGATTTAAAACCCTTGGATCCCAGGCAGCTTAGCTGGCGGCTTCAGTGAACCCTGTGCGTTTGCTAGAAATGTCCCCAGATTCTAAAAGCTACATACTGAGCAATCAAGTCGACAACCTTTGGAATCGCAACCTTGCTGCCTTGGCCGTAATAGCTTTTTTGTTCTAGCAACGACGTGATTCAGTAGCTGTGAGTGTGCAGAAGTGACTGGAATAATAAGCCCAGACATCTTAGTGCCTCAGGCAATCTTTTCTTACTTCGCTTCACATAAAGTTATGTCATGTCATTGCTAATGAACACAATCTATGTCGGTATCTTCATCAAACTAACTAAACAATGCAAACATGACTATATGCATAAAATATCTAAAATAACACGATGTACAACCCCTTATGCAACCATCATATCTACAGCATAAACGCAGCAACACCCATGGCGAGCGCCAGCACCGAGTAATCCAAGACACTCTTGATCGCACCGCTAGTAGCAATCAGCACACTAGGCTCATAAGCCCCCGGTGTGGTGCTGTTCGTTGTGCCGTTCCAGCAGTAATCGTTAAAGCAGGTGGTACAGATATCTGGCAGAGAGGTGTTCGTCCTGTAGGTCGAGCGCTGGAGTATAGCGCATGCCACGCAAGACGGGAAGTTATCATCAACGGTACCGTTACCGCGAGTGACCACGTTCCAGCCGTTGGTGATGACGGAATCACGCTCCTCGTCGCTGTAGGTCAGCTTGAAGGTGGAGAAGTTGGAGTCGTAGGTGTAGGGGCTGTTAGGCAGATAAATGACCAGGGGGGCGGTGCCGGAGATGTTCTTGGGGTCGCAGCCGAAGAAAGTCGGGCGGGAGTTGAGACCCAGGTTGACGAAGGTGTTCTGATCCGGCACGGCGGGGAAGGCGGTGCCGTTGGCGATGCTGGGCTCGAGACTGCGCTCGTAGGTCGCGACAAGGGAGGTACCGTTGGGCCAGTAGTAGTCTGTGTCGGCAGAGGAGTCGATGGCGAAGATGACATCGACGGCACGCTCGGGCTGGATCAGCGGGTGCAGAGGGATGTTCTCGCCGTCTTCACCACCGTCGACAACGTCGAGGTCCTTGGCTGTGGCGTAATCTTCGCTGCTGTCGCGGTAGCCGGAGAAGGGGTTGGGGGAGTAGACGGCGATATCGTCGTTGCGCTCACCGAGGTCCTCGAGGATGTCAGTGAAGGCATCCTTCAGGATCGTGGGGATGCTGGTGCTGTTGATTTGGAGGAGGAATTGGTTGAACAGGGTGGAGGATGATCCCATGATGAAGCCGGCATTGTCGAAGCCGCTCACGCAGGTGCCGTTGTCCGGGATGGAGCCGTTCTCGAATCGAGAGCCAAGGTACTGCAGGGGCGCAAAGGCATAGACGCTGGGGTCGAAGGAGCCGAATTCCCAAGGGTTCACTTCATAAACGGTGGCATTGGTCTCAACGATGATTTCGCCGGGGTTGCGGCCGTCGGCAACGACAATAGGCATGGGGTACTGGCCGTTCTTGAAGTCGTCCATGAGGGCAATGGAGGACCAGGTGTAGTCGGGACCACCCTTGTCATCGGAGGCGTTCACCAGCTGGTAGGACAGCGCACGGCCCCAGTAGTCGGTGAAGGAAGTGTTAAAACCAGCGTTAGCCTTGCCGTCGACTTCCTCGGTGATGTCCTTCCAGTATTCCACCGTGCTGACGATCTGGATGTGGTCGAAGTTAGGTCCCTCGAGGAGGGACTTGTCGAAGCGCCAGACCTTCTCGCTGGCTTGCAATTCACCGATGGAGGAGAAGTTGTTGACGAACATGGATCCGACCAGCCAGCTACCACCACTCAGACCAGAGACGTAGGTTGCCGCCTGCAGCAGACCACCCAGTTGACCGGAGTTGGTGGCATTGTCGGAACGGCTGTCGAAAGCCTTCAGCGCACCAGCTCCGTTGGTGAGCGCACGGTATCCACCACCCGAAGCCGCAATTGCAATGTTGGGGATGTTGGAGATGTTGCTGGAGTGTTCATTGATGTAGGAGGTGGTATCAAAGCCCGTGAGGTTGAGACGGCTAAGGAGGTTCTTCATCGGGGTGAGGGTCGCATTGCGACGGACCTTGAGCCACTCGGTCTCGTTGGTGGAGATGCCCGAGGCATCACGAATGCTCGGACGAGTCGAGGGACAGGTGACATTGGACGGAGTGTAGCCATCGGGGGCATTGGGGAGGGCGCGGACGATTAAATCGGCGGCGACGGACGCAACCTCAGCCTCGGCCCTTTCGACAGGCAGGGAAGCGGCATTGGCGAGGCCAGCTGCTGCAGCAGCGAAGAGAGGCAACTTCATGATCGACAGGGACGACGATCGCGGAGGGAGGGACTGGGGGTGGAGGGACGGCACGAGTAAGGGAAAAAAGTTGCGAGAAGGAATCAGCGCAAAGAATGCCTTATAATAATATCATCCCGGGAGAACAGCCACATCTTGCGGATCGTCCGGAAGGCTTTGGGCAGCCTTGGCAAATCCACCATGTGAACCAGAGTTTCTGTACAGAGTACAGTCAGCGGCTCTAGCCGGAGTTCGGCAGGAATGTTTAGGGCCATCCCTCGGTCTGAGGGACCCTTGATAGGCCCAAGAGTAAGGGAACAGCCCCATCCAGGAGGTTTGCTGTCCCTGGAACCACTTCATCCTAGGCAGCAAGATTGCCCCTGCGCCACTGATCCTTCCGAAGGAACTGAGTTCCGTGGGGGCCGACCAGGCTGAATCGCATTTTTCGGGCAACGAAATCTTGGTTTGCTTTGATCGAGGGGGGTGAGAATTCTCCCAGAAATGGGGTGATATGACATCGACTACTGTTTATCTGCAGGTGCCAGGATGAGTGATACAAACGCGCATGGCCTGCAGTGCCGCCATGATTTCCGAGGAAACATTCCACATCTGGTTCCGGTGTGCAACGTGACAGACCACTCGACAGGGAACCAACCTGTCAGACAGAAAGAGGGAACGAACAAACGAGCAGCACAAACAAAAGGATAAATGCAGGGGATACGAATACGGGATGCGGCTGGCTGATTGCACGTGATCTGACATCAGAGACAAACATGAATGACATAAGCAGGGGAATGCTGACATCATCACGATGTCATTCACGTGACTGTAAACCAACTGATTTCATCGCACAGAACTATGCGCATTTATGTGCATAATTGATGATTAACCACTTCACAAGATCTACATATGCCGTCGATTGAATCTCAAGTAAAGACTCGGTGATGCAAATAAAGACGGAGATCCCGTCCATGACATCACCAACTCCTGTTCCAGAGTCTATCACTAAGCACTCCCTCCAAGGTATAAACATATGTAACATCCATCCCTTGCATGGACATTCCTGTTCCTTACAGACATTCACACTCTTCTCTATTACTCTTAATCGAATTCATTTAAGTTAACACACATCAACATGGACAAACTCTCCGGTCTCGCCTCGAAGCTCGGTGGTGGCAACAAGTCCGGTGGTGATGCGCAGGGCTCGGGCTCCAGCGGAAACCAGGGCCAGGAGGATTACCTTGATAAGGGTGAGTATTTTTCCGCACCTGCATGACACTTTACTATGCGCCATCGTGATTGGAACGGAATGCTGATATTATCTTTCTTCGCCTTCTTGTAGGCCTCGACTCGGTCGAACAGAAGTTCGGTGGTGGCAAGATCGACTCTCAGAAGATGCGCTCTACGAATGAGAAGATCACGGACACGGCGAGGAACCAGTTTGAAAGTGCTACCGGGTAAGTTTGTTTTATCGTGGAGGAGGGGGCATTGTTTGCGATGATGAGGCTAATGTGCTTGGGCGTACAGAAAGAAGGTGCCGGAGAAGTTTTCGAACTAGGGACGCTACGTGACATGACTTTGTTGACGATCGTATGATGGATAATGAATGTTCCTATAAGAATATATTATGCTGGTAATAACAACACACAATCACATTCGCTGAAACGATGACAATAAGTTCTGAAACCCCCCTGAAGTCCTTTGCGGCATTATATATCTTGTGTGCATCCGGCACAACTGCAACATAGTCTGCACCTCCTGGGGCACTGCCGCTCCACTCTCATGACATCCTTCGACTACCCGCTCGTAGTACCCCTGTGCCTCGACATACTTCTGCGCCTCCATGTGCAACTTGCCCAACATAGCCAGCGTAGACTGCACCTCAGGACACCCCTTCCCCAGTCGACTCTCCGCCCATGTCAAGTATCTGCCCAACCATGGCGTCGCCAACTGCGTATTCGACTGCTGATGCAAACCATACAGACCAGCCACGCGGCGTCCCTGCGACGCATACATCACCCCCATCAGGGCCACGATGCTCATAGTTTCGGGATGATCCGCCCCTAGTTCCTCCTCTGCATTTGCCAGCGCCCGTCGGAACGTCTCCGATGCTACCGTTGTCCCGTCCGGATCTAGCATCTGACTGCCACCCTGCAGCCTCAATGCCCGAATGGCGAGGGGATGGCGCGGGCCAAGCAGATCAGTGAGCTCACGTGCAATCTGTGCAGCCCCTTGCGCTAGCTGATCGACTTCTCCGCTGAATTTCATGACCATCAGTGCCCTCGTATCATTTGACCGCATCGAGAGCATATGGTCGGCCGTATCAAGGATGGAAGCATACACGCGTATATGATTAGGTCCCAGTAACTGCTGCAATCGTTCGGTGACTTTCTCTGAGACCTGGATAGCTTCTTGTCGCCGTTCGACAGCGCCGTAGGCGACCGCCAACCTTCGTCGTGTGTCGAGAGTGTCGAGATCATCTTCTCCGATAGTCATTTGCTGCCGGGCCAGGACATTCGCGCATACCGACTCTCCTTCCTGGCCTTTCCCCTGATGGCAGAGGATCTCGCCCATGAGACTTTCCGCCTTCATGGCTAGTGGGTGACGCTTGTCAAAAACGCGTTGACTGTTGGATGAAACCCAGCTTGCCCATTCTGCGGCTTTGGAGAGATATCCGGATTCGAGGTCGATGGAGGCGAGATGGTACCCGATCTCGAGGGTGCTATGGTGGTCTGGTCCAATGGTGCGCATGTGTTCGTTAAAGATGTCATATTCGAGTCTCCGTGCCTCGTCCCAGCGATAGTTGTTCTTCAGCTCGGCTGCCTTGATGGAGCGAGGGTCGTTGTCGACGGGGGTGTATAGAGTGCCGATGACGCGTTTGGTGGTGGGTTCGGGCGTGGGCGCGGCGGGATATGGGATGCTGCTGTTTCCTGGAAGGCGCGGAGGGAGAGGAGGGGCTGGATGAGGTGATACGGAAGGTTGCGGTAGATATCCTTGTTCTGTAATGAGAACTTGGTCTGCAATTTGTTTGATGTTTCCCTTGATCAATTTATACATTGGGCCGCGGCTGCCCACTTTGCACATCTGCGAGTGGTCGGCGTCCAGCTTCAATCGGGTTTCGCGCTGGCCGGGGAGCCCCAGGACGGCTGACTCCTCATCTACCACTAACTATAGAATCTCAGTTAATACTTGAAGTGCTAAGAAGAGCTTTCACTTACGTGGCTCACAGAGGCCGGTCCAGCACCGCCCAAGAATACCTCCTTACCCTCCACGAAGCTGATCACACGATAGTCCTCAAGCTGGTGTGAGAACCGGCTCGTCATCTGCCGTGTGAATAGTGAGTTGTGTTCCAGGCAATCGAGCAAATCGTTACTGGCGTGTCCTTTGGCGACGAAGCGCGCCACTTTTGCTGCAATCTTGCCCAGCTCAACACCTTTCGTGCCCCGATGCGGGCAACCAAAGAAAACCAGACCAGATGTATTGTTGCGGATCGAATTGTACTTGGGATCTTCGTGTGCATTCAGCAGTCCCTATCAAATCAGTTGTGGTTCGTTTATCCATCAGGAGAAGTCAGACTAGTACCTGTTTGATTACAAGCCCACCCAGACTATGGCCGATGAATATTATCTTCGGCGGTCGCACATTCTATTACGCGTTAGATACCGTTGCTCTCTCCATTGCTCCGAAAGAGAAACGTACTAATTGTGGATTGCGCTCGAGGTCCAATAGATTCAGCAGTGTATTCGCGTGATCTTTGACGCTGGCAGTCGACATGCTCTGGGGATTTGTGATGGTGGAGTTATAGCCGTAGACGAAGATGCGTGCCTGGGGGATATCCTGAGGGAGGTAGTCCCGCGGCCAGAAGGTGCCATTCTCGTGCGTCCATGTCTCAAATGGGTGGTTGTCTTTGCCTCGAGGGTTCAAGCCGTGGACGAAGACGAAACTACAAGATTAGGCGGACTGCTCCTTTGCATGATAGCGTCCGGTATATAACTCACTCGATCTTAGGCTGCTCCGCAGAGTAGACCTCTTCAAGGAACGGAAACTCATGTCGGGAGGCAGCCTCCATCACTGGATAAGGAACGCTCTTATGCCTCTTGAACGTTGCTGTGATGTGGTGTATGTTACGTGGATATGGTGGAAGAGAGATGAGAGTCAATACTTGCCGCCAACAAGAGGGCGCACCTCATGTGATGAATGAATGCCAGCCTGGAAGAGGCGAACCATCCTCCAATCGGCTATTTTTACCCCAGACATACCTAAATACGATACCAGGAACGTGAGCTATGCAGCTTGTTCCTGGACGTAGTGCAGCCTCGCGGAGTGAGGCGCCGGTCATGCCGAGGACGAGGTCAGTCATGCTTATCGTCCCCTACGATAGGGTAGGGAATACGAGGAGCTCATGCAGCTTAGTCTTGGCTCAAGCACAGCCCGTGCCTCACTGTCATTCGGGGTCGTCGTCTATCCTGTTAATAGAAAGGGTCGTGTATGTACATATGATTCCATTAAAACGCCGGCTGAATGCGATTCTTGAAAGTCCACACCAAGCCTGATCTGCCTCATGCACACTACCAAGCACCGACGATGCCTGCAATGGGGATGTCAATGCCAGTGGTGTAGGAGCTGCTATCGCTGAGCAGATACACGTAAGCACCTCCCAGCTCTCGAGGGTCGGCCAGACGAGGCATTCCTCCGTAGTATTCCATCTTTGTATCCCAGTCCGGGGCGGTTTCCACATAGTAGGTCATCGCGGTGCGGACAAAACCAGGGGAGATGCTGTTCACGCGGATGCCGTGCTTGCTCCACTCCATCGCCAAGGTGTGACACATGTTGCGCACTAATGGGGATGCAGTTAGTATAGTGCGGAAGCTATCAAAGAGAATAAGATTACTTACCTGCGGCTTTAGTAGCGCCATAGGGTGCAGACGGAGCAGCCTGGGAATCAATCAGCACAACTCTCACACCCCGATGGGGAAAAGTACTTACGCGATTCGGACGATAAGAAGTCATACTAGCAGTCATAACGATGGACCCCTTAATACCAAGCTCCATGAACTTGCGAGCGACAATCTGGGCGCAGAAATATGCACCGAAAACCTGCGCCCGTAAGTACCCGCGTGCTGCATGCATGACGCGACCAAACAAAAGGTCCACTCACATTTAGGTTGAACATGCGCTCCAAATCCGGGCGCTCAAACTTGAGCGCTGGTTGGTGTTTGGTCATGCCCGCATTAGCCACCAGCCCATCAATTCGCCCGGTTTCTTCCACAATCTGATTCACTGCCTTCTCGATACTCTCCTCGGATGTCACGTCGGTCTGGATATATCGGAAGTTCGGGTAGCGGGTCTGAAGGGCAATGGTCTCCTCTCCAGGCTCCATGAGATCCATTGAATATACGAACTTTGCGGAATTGGCGAGACACACTTCCGCAATGCCCAATCCAATGCCGCGGTTGGCGCCTGTGATGGCGATCACCTTTTGCGCGAGTGTGACCTGCCAGCTGAAGGTCGAGTCGGGCATGGTGTTGACAAAGGGTGTGGAGGTGCCATTCTTAGCCTCTGCAGCGGAGGCAGTATCTGTAGAAGTTGGCGACATTGTGAAGAGGAGAATGAAGGGATTTGGAGTAGTTCGAGAGGAGTGATTGAAGGCGATGTTGGACTGCTTAGATAGCTGGGAATCCGGGGTGTCCCTCCCCTTTTGAACCCTCTCTGCGATCGTACAGGTTCGGCACGAGGCAATTGCATCTTGATCGGACTTTACGTCACATTCCTTTAGAAACTGGCGCGGATTGACCCCGAATTGCCCTCTGACAGTGCGGGGGTTAACTCCGATAGTAGTACTTTGTACCCCACGGTCGGCGATCGGCCAGCCCTGCGGTCGTCTGCCTCGACTCGAGGCACTCCGCTGGACAACTCATCCTCTCCTGCCAGTAAATCGATCAAACAGACAAACTTTGAGTGAAACAGTCCGATATCGTGTGCAATCTCTGAATCATTACAGGTGGCCTGATTGTCTCGGGTGCTTCGTCGGAAGACTTCCACACCGCCCGTCTGAGGACTTGCAGATGAAGCAGTTCCCGAAATATATAGTTACGAGTATAGTAGACAGTACGGTAGTTCAACTTAACATGAGACAAAGTACCATCATTTCAGTGACTCATTCCTTCATTCCTTCGTTCTAATATACAACTATGATTATGAACCTATAGTCCACTATAATGTGTTTGAAAATGTTTCAGGACATGACTTAATGTCGCCAGGCTTGTGCTGGTGATTTCGCAGTGATCGCACTGCAGACGGTCGCGTGGGGGGTAAATGCAAGCTGACAACTGTGCCTAATGCCTCAGCTCACTGCTTTTGCACCTGAACTGCATCCCGTCGATGAAGCCAATAGATCCCACGAAGTACCAGCTGCTTCGTATGAACAAGCATTGATTGTGGAAATTCTAGGTCGTGAAACCAGAAAGGCCATCCTTACGGTATTCTGATTCGAGGTCGTTGCGTAATGAATATCTAGGCCAACAGACTCTGCTCTCGAAAATATCGATTAATTCGAGCAATGCTGCCCGCTCGTGAGGGGTATGAACGCTCATCCCAGCTGCAGAAAAGGGTCAGCAAAGAATCATACCACGACAACAAAAGACCCTTCTTACCCCCATATATACAATACAGTGACATGAGGCTGGCAGCGACGTTGTCCTCGCTTATAGTTCGAGCAATGCCACATATTGTGTTCACTGACGTAGTAAGCAGCTTTTGAGCAGCCCGGTAATCTTGGAACCCGTTCACAGTCGGACGGTGTGATAACACCAGAATTCTAGCTAAGCTTTGTATTTGCAATGCCGCTGCATATGGGGGCGGATGGACCCAGATCGGTGGAAAGACGGTCGCGTCCTGCTCACAAGGGAGTGGATTGAACTCCGGTGGCAAATAATCCTGCCATTCTTGCAGCATGTAGAGGAGCTCATTGCCCCTCTCCAATCGACTCTGTATGTCTTTAGATGCTGCCTCTTCACGCGAGGCATAGTTGACGCATTGTCCAAGGATGTATGAAACGAAGCCGGCCAGCTCCGTCGGGGACAGCGAGGAGATGTGTCGCTTGGGCTTCCAGAAGCTGAAGACTCGACGTCGCTCCCGCATTGCTACCCAGACATCCTGCCGCAGCCATGCCCACCAGATGGCTTGACGCAACCCCCCACATTCTCCATCGTTGTTTTGGTATCTTTGAATCCAGAATACCCCTTTCAGATGCCGCTCCCAGTCGCGATTGGATCCATCCACCATTTCGTATGTGCTGATCAGGAGTGACGTGGTAATGATCTCGTGGCTGTATGCGTAGCTGGGATACTGCATAGCCTTGTTGAGGTACTGCAGGGTCTCGTAGTAATACTGGACGGCAATGTTGCGATCGACATCCGGGAAATCCATCATTCTTCTTCCATCTTCCCGGGATGGAACAAGCCCTGAACCTTTGTAGGTATGCCAGATGGAAAGATGGCGTGCCGAGAGGGCCAGAAGGGCCTTCATTACACCTATATTTCTCATTGCCAATTGCGGAACCTTACTCGAAATCTGTTGCGTTGGGTCAAAGAAATCATACCAACTAGACATGTTCCGTACAAAGTGTTTGAACATGAGGTGTTCTTGTTCCGATAACTGAATGGGCGCGGCAGTACACCAAGAGGACGGAGCATCGGGAAGCTTTGGATGGCCATCAGCTGCAGGCGATATTCTCTTCTCGATATCCGGATCACGTTCAAAAGAAGCGGCTTGAAAGCTTTGACATTCCCTAACATTGTGAGGTCGCAGGTTTGCGACCGATAGATGGGTTGTTGATCCCTGGCAAGCAGGATTCACGTCTCGATGCGGTGATGATAGGAAAAAGTTCCGGTCCGCATTGACAGCATCGTTGGCCAGAAGCTCGAACCAACTCAAAGGAGCAATTCTCGTCGATACCGAGGAATCTGTAGCCGGAGATGGTGCGAAGTCGTGGATTGAGGCCGAAGGAGAGACATGGCTGTGTTGATGTAGACTAATCTGAGGCGGCACACTGCTGTGTTGGCCCCTTGGAGATGCCGTAGCCGACGCTCGGTGAGTGGAAGCGTCTTCATGTTGGCAGACATCTACCAAGACTTGCAGGGGCTCGTGTAGCTGCACCTGTGGAGTCAATTGTGATGAAGGAGAGGAGTGCACTGGGATGGTTGTTTGTTTGGCCCCTATACTAGGAGTTCCAGATTCATAGCTGCTCCCATAAACACAGTCGCGTTGGCCTTTGGCGCAAGGGCCGCATTGTGGGCGAGCCTGCGTCCGAGTCAGCAGGAAATATTTTTTGCGAAAGAACGTTTCGCTAAATTGCCGTACCTCATCACACTTGACATGGCGACGCTTGCAAATCAGGCTGTGGCAGTCAGCAGGTCCGTCCAGCAGAAGGAATACTAGCACTAAAAGAAATTCGGAGGATTGGTCACTGACCAGCCAGTGGTGGCCCGCAATCCACGGCCGCGGGATTTGCGAGGTTTCCGAACGCCACGCGAGGTCCCCTGCGTAACATCGGCCATTGTACCTCACATCATCGGGGTTCTTCGGCTACAGCATGCGAGGATGCGAAGCGAAATGGGAAACAGCCGGATGGGGAGATCGATAGTCGGGGGGTGACAGGTCGCGACGAGGCCCGGATTGACGTTGGTTCGGGAGTGGAGCAAGCGAGAAAAGCCGAAAACTATCCACTGCCGAACTGCCTTCCTGATTCGACAATGGAAACTCACCGAATCACCTCGTGACGAGCACAAGTGTCTGCTGCGGGGATCGAACCATGGATGATTCCTCCTTCTGGAACATGACTCGCTCTATTCCAGTATTGGACGGAAGTGAGAAGTGTACACCGCACGATAGAAAGGCATCGCAGCGATCGTGTGGGGTACTCCTGTGACCGCACAAGCGCATGAGCTCACAATAACAAGTATAATATCGAGCATATAAGCTTTGCTGCTAGGCCGTAGACAAGTATAAGGTTCCCTCGTGTCGCACAATTCTTCCCTTTGTCATTCAATCAAATATTATCCCTCCTTAATCCAACATCACCGACAGCAGAGAATTCCTTGGTCCCCTATTCATGCATTATAATAGACACCATCCGTAACAAGCAACAGATGTTGCTGACTGTGTGTAAGTCGATCTTTGCTGGCATGAAGACCGACAGACTCCCAGAATCTTCGATGAACGGGTGATTGTGGCAGAAGCTAAGACCGAGCGCATCGAAGAGATCATATATCGCTTCAATAGCAAAACGTAAGCCGGAGGAAAGTAACACGTTAACGCGATGTTGTTAGGAAAGCTGTTATTCGATCTTAGTACGGCCCTTGTGATAGTCACTATTGGCAGGCTAGTCTGAAGCGCAGGGCGGATGTGACTGACTCGCGCTGCACGGAACGAGCGAGTACCCGTTCCAGCTTCTGTCACGCACACAGTGCATGCAGTAGGGATCTCAATTCAAACTGATCTTGAATCTGCATTACGATGATCAGTGTGAGAAGATGGAAATGCTCTAAGAGAGTGGTTGAAGGAAAGGTTGAATGTCTTCACTAAAGGAGTGGATGGATGGGTGGGGAGCAGCTGCAGAGCTTAAACTAAAAACAGAAACAGAAACTGAGGGACAGTACTGAAGCCTCAGGCAGAGCATCCATGCGGGCTGCATTAGTGACAAACAATTCCACTATGTACTATATCTCGGCCGAGTTACAGCCGCAATCCTATATACAACTTGCAGACGCTCTCGTAGGCAGCATCATTTAAATCGCCAACCAAAGTACTTATACAACCGGCCATCCGCTAGAGAAGTCGATCGTGTTCCACCCAAACTGCGCGTCAGAATCCGCGTATCCAATCGTGGTGTTCATGTAGTGGTAGTAAAGAACCGGACCAAGGTTGGGATCATCATACACACCCCTGAAACATGATGAGCATAAATATCGGTGGGGCAGCTGCAGAGTCACTTACTGTCCGCCAGGGCCATAGACTTCTCCATGGCTTTCGAGAACCATCGTGCCCCCGCCGTCCGTGCAGGCCGTACCGTCGGAGTCAACCTTAGCATCAGGTTAGCTTTTCCTGCTTACTACTTTCCCTAGATGTCGGATATACTTACGAAATCACCCGTCGGCGAAGTCGAACGGCAGACTTTGATGTGATACTCCTCTCCGGAAGCGGGCATGGATGTATCGTATCCACAGCAGATACCTGCCGAGTAAAAGAGGTAGTAGTAGTCACCGTACTGAAACATATAGGAACCCTCCTCCGCATGGGTACCCGACGGGTCATACGCAAGATTGTAGGAGGAAGAGGCAGCTGCCGTTGGGGTCGACTTCATCGGGACTTGGTAAATGTCATCCCAGAACGACCCAAAGTTGATGTAGTAGGTGCCATCGGCGTAGATCAGGTTAGGGTCGATCGCATTATAAATCTTGGCTGAGGAAGACGCAATGCCAGTGGAGCCATGATCCGTCCAAGAGCCATATTCCATCGTCTCGGACGTTGCAAGTCCGATGGCGGAATCTTGGGATCCAAAGGTCGACACAGCGTAGTATACATAATAGAGACCATCTACATAGGAGACATCCGGGGCCTGGGCTAGTGTCAGACAGGCCAATCATGTTTGCAGTGGGACATAGTTACCCAAAGATCATCGTTGCCATCGAGATCGATGGACGATCCATCCGGCAGCATAGACCCAACGCTGGTCCATGGTCCTTCGATGGATGATGCAGAGACGTAGGA